ACAGCAGACAGACAAAAGTTGGCAACTAGCTGGTGAACATGTTCCGCTGCTCCCAAGTGGCTGAAAAATAGGGTAGCTTGCCATTACGATACCTGGGGGCAAGTTCTTTAGCAACTTAGCATTGTTCTTCCATAAAGTACGCAGACTTGCAAGGAACACTTTTCTTTATTGTCAAAATTGGTGCAGCAGATATACAACTGTTTTTACAGTCTCCCTATGATTAATTCACTGATCTTGATGTGTAAAACTGGTGCAGATCTGACATTTGTCCTCGGCACTGAAATGTACATAGTTTGTAGTTTTGCACGTATGGAATTTAACGTGTGAAAACACGTTTACATGGGTTTCACACAATACACCTTGAAAATGTTCCAAAACCACGTTTCTCATGTGAAAACTGCAAAGCACGTTTCACATATTTGAATTATATTCCCATGTCAAATCTTCATGTGAGACCCATGTGCTCCACATGTTAAAACCTGTGGCAACATGTTTTCCACTCCTTATCAATGGGAAATTCATGTGGTTTATTTCACGCTGACTGGGAAGGTGCAGCAAAAGACTTCCTGGTCCCCTCTTGTGTTTTGGGTTGGGCTGCTGGAAAGTTAAAGACCATAAAATGAGTTTGGAGCAATAAATTCGCCCAGCTGAGGGGGTTCTGCCTGGACAATCAATTTTTGGATGAAGTTGCTAACCATGCTATGCTGCTGTGGCCTTCCTGAGTCAGTAGAATGCTGAGTGGGATGCAGTGTGTGTGTGTGTGTGTGTATATTGACACTGGGGTGTCTGGTTGAGTAATGGGGGCGTAGCAGAGTTTAGATGGCTTCTATCCTCCTTCCTATCCAATGCTGGAGAAGGTCATCACTCATACAGACAGAGGGAGAGACAGAGAGAGGGGGAAGTGCACGAGCGGGCGACAGTGCTCATCCAGGCAGGAAAGAGAGAGTGTGAGCCAGTGAGAGAGCTTGAATGAGACATAGATCAGAGCGGTACTGAGAAGGACGAAGATGATGGTCGGAGCATGAGAAACTCTTGGTAGACAGAGGTGGGAAAACGTGTGTTTGTGTGTACTCTAGCATGCACGTAAGACAGGTATTCTGTCTGCGGGGACACTACAACGATGGTGTCCAACCTTCTGTCATACATGTATTTTCACATTTTACAATGCAGTCTTCATACGCTGACCTGCTTCCTAGTGAGGACTGTTCTCAGCCACTAGCTCAGCCACTACAAAGCCCTAAAGCCTCATTAAGCACAGCAAACACTCCAGCCTGTGCCATATCCGCATCAAATCCAGACTCAGTCACATGACCATGTAGTAATCACACACTTGCTAGTTAATGTCTAAATAAAGATCTTGGATTGGATTTGGTGGACAGATCATTCTCTCATTCGGGTGGAAATCCACACCTTGAATTTGTGCCATTGCTCTAGTTACTTGTTACTCTGCGTTTCTGCTCCAGTGAGATGAATTTGATGGCTAACAGCTCTTTATGTAGAATACTGTCCAAAAATCAAACCTGTAAGACAAATGATAAACAAAAGACCACAGGCTCTGCAGCTTTTCATTTCCTAGTTTTCACTTGCTCAGGTTTCATGGATGATGTATAAGACGGGCTCCCTAGACAGAGGAAACATCCGGCCTTAGATGGTGTCTCATATCTTCATGCAGTAATTCTAAGACCTTACTTTCAATAAGTCTTTACTTTCACCGAACAGCAAAGAAAATACTTTATTCAACTTTGATTTAACAGACTAATCCCGGAGCTGCTCCACAGTGAATAATGTAACCACTTCTTAGAGACTGGAATATGAGAGCATTTGCTGTTTAACAGCAGGAAGCCCCAAATACTTTTCAACTCATGTGAATGAAATACCTCAAACAACAAGACTGAGAGCTAAGCCATACTGTTAGCTCTGTGAGGCTGTGCTTAGACACAGTGCTTTCGGCTAAAGAACATCACAAGCACAAGAAGACCTAAAAATGATTTTACTAACATGCTGATTTTTATATTGATAAAACAGGTCACACCCTGAAGTCAAGTGAAATCCTCTTCTTTTGGAAACAAGTCTCAGTATATTGACTGAAACTAGGCAAAATAAAGTAGATCACTCCTTATCGATCAAGCAAATATTACATTGTGCAGTGGCGGATGCAAGGGCGTCACTTTGTGTTGAAAAGTGGTGGGGACATTTAAAGGTTCAGATTAGCGTTGTGACAAAACTCTTAGCTCTTGAGACGTGACGATGCAGAATATTGGGGTCACGAGAACAAGACTAAAAGATATTTTAATACTATTTAAAAGAAATATTCATTGATGAAATACAATGGTGGGAGTGAAGGTCCTCCCTCAGAAGATTTTGAGCATTAAGCACTTAATTCCCTGCATTCTAGAGACATTTTCTGCACCAATAAATGTCTTTATTTATATAAAGAGGAACACAAAATTGAGGTGGCAGGTGACAATTCAGAATATAAAAATATAAATATAATGGAATATAATGCAGTAATCAGTTAATTGTTTTTTTTAGCTTAAGTAATTTTTTTGGACAATACAGTGAGGAAAATAAGTATTTGAACACCCTGCTATTTTGCAAGTTCTCCCACTTAGAAATCATGGAGGGGTCTGAAATTGTCATCGTAGGTGCATGTCCACTGTGAGAGACATAATCTAAAAAAAAAAATCCAGAAATCACAATGTATGATTTTTTTAACTATTTATTTGTATGATACAGCTGCAAATAAGTATTTGAACACCTGTCTATCAGCTAGAATTCTGACTCTCAATGACCTGTTAGTCTGCCTTCAAAATGTCCACCTCCACTCCATTTATTATCCTAAATTAGATGCACCTGTTTGAGGTCGTTAGCTGCATAAAGACACCTGTCCACCCCATACAATCAGTAAGAATCCAACTACTAACATGGCCAAGACCAAAGAGCTGTCCAAAGACACTAGAGACAAAATTGTACACCTCCACAAGGCTGGAAAGGGCTACTGGGAAATTGCCAAGCAGCTTGGTGAAAAAAGGTCCACTGTTGGAGCAATCATTAGAAAATGGAAGAAGCTAAACATGACTGTCAATCTCCCTCGGACTGGGGCTCCATGCAAGATCTCACCTCGTGGGGTCTCAGTGATCAAAAGAAAGGTGAGAAATCAGCCCAGAACTACACGGGAGGAGCTGGTCAATGACCTGAAAAGAGCTGGGACCACCGTTTCCAAGGTTACTGTTGGTAATACACTAAGAAGTCATGGTTTGAAATCATGCATGGCACGGAAGGTTCCCCTGCTTAAACCAGCACATGTCAAGGCCCGTCTACAGTTTGCCAATGACCATTTGGATGATCCAGAGGAGTCATGGGAGAAAGTCATGTGGTCAGATGAGACCAAAATAGAACTTTCTGGTCATAATTCCACTAACAGTGTTTGGAGGAAGAAGAATGATGAGTACCATCCCAAGAACACCATCCCTACTGTGAAGCATGGGGGTGGTAGCATCATGCTTTGGGGGTGTTTTTCTGCACTGTATTAAGGAGAGGATGACCGGGGCCATGTATTGCGAGATTTTGGGGAACAACCTCCTTCCCTCAGTTGGAGCATTGAAGATGGGTCGAGGCTGGGTCTTCCAACATGACAATGACCCGAAGCACACAGCCAGGATTACCAAGGAGTGGCTCTGTAAGAAGCATATCAAGGTTCTGGCGTGGCCTAGCCAGTCTCCAGACCTAAACCCAATAGAGAATCTTTGGAGGGAGCTCAAACTCCGAGTTTCTCAGCGACAGCCCAGAAACCTGACTGATCTAGAGAAGATCTGTGTGGAGGAGTGGGCCAAATCCCTCCTGCAGTGTGTGCAAACCTGGTGAAAAACTACAGGAAACGTTTGACCTCTGTAATTGCAAACAAAGGCTACTGTACCAAATATTAACATTGATTTTCTCAGGTGTTCAAATACTTATTTGCAGCTGTATCATACAAATAAATAGTTAAAAACATACATTGTGATTTCTGGATTTTTTTTTTTTTAGATTATGTCTCTCACAGTGGACATGCACCTACGATGACAATTTCAGACCCCTCCATGATTTCTAAGTGGGAGAACTTGCAAAATAGCAGGGTGTTCAAATACTTATTTTCCTCACTGTACATATGTTTTTTTTCTATATATTCCACTGTCTGTTTTCTTATTGTGCCAAAAAACTTTCTCATAGCATTTCATTTGTTAACATTTCTTGTTGCGAGCTATTTTTCAGAACATTTTAACAAATGCTCTGAAAAAGCGGTGGGGGCATGTCCCCACTATCCCCAGTGTAAAGGACAGCTATGTGTGGATGGGAACGTCTTGTTGCTTTAAAGAAAGTCAGACTGAATACTACCTTCCGTGGCTCAGACTTTAATGCAGTGTTAGCAGATGATTCATGGCCATGAGCACAGAGGTCTAATCTGTAACAACATTTAAACACACTCCTGTGAATATGGGTCAACTTTTTATTTCTGTGTTTGAAACAATCTGGCGAGTTAGCTTCTTAAAAAATTGTAAGTCAAAAGTAAATAAGTATATTAGTGAATCAACAGTGATTAATTTGACAATTAGATGGCTATTTTTGCTAAGCTAACTGGCTCATATTGAACAGATGACAAGAGATTCATTCTTCTCATCTCTTGGCAATGAAATAAATTGTTTTTCACAAAAATGACAACACATTAATATTAACTATTATAGTTTATAGAGTACATGTAATAGTGAAGTCAAACTTCTGCCATGTTACACGTGAATGAAAGAGGAAGAACTAATCTTAATGTAAACATTGGGTTTTTAATTCCCTGAATAGATTGAGCTCATTTTTAGAGATTCATCATTTATCGAATGGCCGTCAGACGCAGATGGAGTCCTGCGTAAGATCTTAAATATCATCATAGTAATGTGTTGGAGAACATCTGATTGAGTTTTCTGATTGAGGCTGTGAAACCTTGTTAAAAGGACACAATCAAATTACACAAGTCATTTAATTAAAATATAATTTATTTCAGACATAATTTAGTCATTAATAAAATAGCAAATGTCAAATAAAAACAAAAACCTGCAAGTTCTCTGGGACAGAGGTTCTCTGGTGCAAACAATGATTTAACGAGTACATACCCGTAAGCATAATTTTTCAGACATTCATATTGACATTTCCATCCATGATCCTCTGATTCAAGGACAGACGAGCTGTCAAAAGAGGAAGGCCCCTCCATGCCTCCGAGGTCCTACGTCGTCAACTGCTCCCTCCTCGACGGTCGGTCCAAACGTTTCAGTGTGTCCAGTGTTCCCGGTCGTGTCCAGCGATCCGTGGCGACAGTTCCTACAGCCCTTTGATGGTTGAGATTGTGAAGAAAAAAACGGGGAGGGGAGGAGTCGTTGTCGTCGTCAGACAGATCCACTGGTCCTGATGAACAGGGGCAGGGCGACGGAAAGTTAAATACAAAACTTAAATACCCAACTCGTCTTAAAATCCAGTTGTTTGCATCTCTCCAACGCGTTCTCATCTCTGAAACAACGGTTTCAGACAGCGTGACAAAGTGTAATTATTTTACGCTAAAGGTTTCCTTCAGCGTCCGTATAAAACGCCACCGTTTACTACGTCGCAGCAACAAAAAGGACATTTGAGAGTCTCTCAAATAACTACGTTTTGTCACTTTTTCTGAAAGCGTCAGTATTGGACGACCTGAGATGAGAACGGTCTCATCTCACCTGCTGCAGATTAAATATCTTCTGCAGAAAAATGGAAATGTTATTCTTTATCCAACTAGACTCAACATGGGTTCCATGGTTATTTGAATACTGTCTGAATGGGATGACCCCTGGGCTTTGGAAACCCATTATTTAGACATCTATGAAAAATAGTCAACTTCCTTCCTGAAAAATACCTTTGCTGATATTTGCATTCATTTTGAAACGAAACTGAAATAATTACATAAAATATAACAACCTGCAGAAATTATTTTTTGAAGTCGTACCAGCTGTGTTGCCAAGGCAACTGAGAGCCCTCAGGTGACCTGTCCTGTCCCGGCTCCTCCCCTCACCGCCGGGCTCTGTTTCCCGCTGCAGTCTGTTCCCTGTGTGGGTTACTTCATCATCATGTTGGCCAAAGGGCTGGCTGGAAGCAGCATGATCCTGAACCGATCAGGGGACGTGAAAAGAAGAATTTGTGAGTAGCATAGTTGTAGCTTTTGAGCTCGTACGGTTGTTATTTAAACTAAAGCTGAAACACAACGTGTCAGAAACCTGTGAGGTGTGTGTGGTGTGTAAAGCAGGTACCTGGGGGCGCTGTGACTGTTTGGCCAGCCTCCTCCGCTCCCTGGCTGACAGCAGAGGGGTCTTCTCATGCTCTGGGGTACGCGGCGCTGGAAAGGCATCGCCTAGGGGGTCTTAACACACCACACACAAGCAAATTTAGCCCAAGGCATGTCAACTACACAAACCTAGAGGACAGAATGTCCTCTAGCAGCTCCAAGACCTTTTGGTTTAATTATCTGCACAATTTATGATGCAAGGTGGAAAATGTTGCACATCTTGAGTCTAATGACGACAGTATTACATATCTGTATCATGGTGTTCTTACCGATGAAAGCACTCTCTGACTCCAGCAGAGAACCTCTTGCTGACCCCCCCATCGCACTCCTCTGCAACATAAACACACTTTTTTTTTAAAACTCCACTCCAATAGTTACATGTTAGTTGTTACAGTAAATACAAACATGGGGCCTGTACTACAAAGCAAGTTATTAATCTTGCACCAAATTAATGCATTTAACTTTAAAATGTACACAATTTTCTTCCAGGGGGGCATGCCCCTGGATCCCCTGAGAGGGTCCGAGGCCCACCCACCATAGTCTCTTAAAACGCTCGTTAACTACTAAGTCAACCCAATCCAGCCATGTGTGCGTTCACCTGAAAGGGCCGGTGTTTGCAGCATATGACAATATGGACAAATCTACTGGCAGCAGAGCGGCATAATTTACAAGCAAGGAGCAAACTATGATAATGGAGAAATACGAAGAAGGCAAACACAATCCAGGCTAAAAGCAACACAGCTGCAGTTGCCACATGCAGGAACGACAGCTGGCAAAAAAAACAGCAGATTGTGTGAATGTGTAAGTTAATAGGCTTATAATCTCACTGCCCCATCCTTAGGGCATGAGTAGAACTGACTATAATCACGTGTGTGTTCCATTAAATTAATGTGTTGCTTAGATGAATTCTTACAGCGTGTATGTTGCAGCAGCTGTGTGTCAGCGTTTCGACATTTAAACTCACTTTCAAGAGTTCGTCACTTCAAACATCAGATTAATTTCACACACAAACATTGTTCTTAATTAATTTTATAAGCCACAAAACTAAATAATCCATTCATGCCATAGAAAGTGCTAAATAGTGATCAAAAACTGTATCTCAACATTTACTGAAAACTCACCCACATTACCTGCACCCAAATAACAAAAGGTGGGGTGCTACATGACCAGTCTCTGTAACATAAATAGTTATAGCTACCCAAAGTTATAATAAAAAAAATTTAATAACTTAAATACCACAATATATGCTCATAATACTTAGCCACACATAAAATGAAAACTTTTTCTAAAGGCTGTGACAGGCTGTGTGAAACAGACTTGGGAGCAAATAAAAATAAAACACTTATTATTTATTATTTTATTAAAACGTATTTCAAAGCATTAAGTAGGCTAACTGTCAACAAGTACAAGGCTTTTGTGCCACTCTCTTTGGAATATCGCTACACATTGCCGCATCACCCACAGCAAAAACTAAAAGTAGACAAAAGTCTGCGATGACGCCATCCCAAGACAATTGATTGGTCGGTAGGCTTTTAGAGCGCTGATCTCTCATCTCAAACATAAGCTGCTCCGGAGAAGGTTAGCCGTTCAGCATAAGTTACCATGGCGATGTACCCTGGTAAGGAGTGAACCACCGTCATGGTACTGAAAACCCAGGGTTAACCCTGAAGTTACCTCGCTAACCTCAAATCCTGCTTCGCAGTACGGGCCCCAGGAAGAGAATGATTGTAGCTGAAGCACAGGCGCTTTTTTTCACCCCCAACTCACCAGATAATCACTTTGCTGTGGTGGGGCCAGGTCAAAATAATCTGCAACATAAGGAGGACATTTCTTTCTTTTTTTTTTTTTTTACTCTGAAATACTTTTAAATATCAAAAGCCATAGACCCCATTTACAACTGGCATCACATGTGATCTGCTCAAAAATTCATTTTAAAACATTTTAAAAAGGTAATTTAAACCTTGTCTGTTCGGTTATATAATGCTGTAATATTTTCCCCGCTGTGTGTGTTCATGTACAAAACAGATAGAACTGCGTTTAGTCACATGACTCCGCCCAGTCCAGTCCTGCTCAGCTTCCAGGCCGGAGTCTGAAGCATAGGGAGATGTTTGCTAGTGCTAATTGCCTTCCCTTTCCAACAGTTGGGTTAGGGTTAAAAAACAAATACAAAGCTAGCACTGCAAAAGCTACAGGTAGTAGCAATAAATAGCATGCATACAGGTAATTAAAAATGAACGATGCCTTCCCATGGCATTGTTTCTCTGGACTTGGGACTCTCCACCGTTTGTTGTGTCAGCCCCGCCAAACATATTTTAGCATATCGAGATCCAATCAAAATGCGGGCAGAATCAAGACAACAAGAATGTGTTAATACCGTGTGCAAATACAAAAGCTTGTGGATTTAATTTTATTATCCAGACACAGATCTTGTCAACATCAGGTATAAATGGGGCCACATAGGAGGATCATCAATCATATATAACTTAGTATAATATCAGTGAATGAAAATAAACTGTTCTAGCACAGATACATCTCTAATTTACAACTTCTGCAAAGAGATTAATAGGTCTTCCAAAAAAATTAAAAAAAAACATGCATTGAGCACTAACCGTCTTGGACTGTAGACCTCTGGCTGCTGAACTGGTCATATGGATCCATGTAGTCCCGCCTCCTCCTGCTGGTCACAGCCACTTCCTCCAGCTTAGGGACCTCACTGAAGCCCAGCCTGGACTCACAATCTGACTCACAAATACAAAGCAGTCACAGCTAATAGTGTTGGCATGCAGTACAACAGAAGGCTGGAAGACCTGTGTATTACCTGTGTATTACCTGTGTATTACCTGTGTATTACCTGTGTATTACCTGTGTATTTGAGCTGAAGGGAGTCGTGGAGTCGCAGCAGGTTCCTGGAGTTCGGCCTTCGGACCGGAGCCTGGAGCCGCAGCCTGGCCATATCAAACACGTCCACAACGGGACGCTCCCGATGTCTGGACGAGTAAACACAAGAACACACACACACGATTACAAACAAAAATAATGTATAACTTCAATTAATAGCTCTGGCTTTTATTTGCTTTGAATAATAAATAATAGAGGAATGGACACATATCTGGTCTGATATTCTGACTTAATGTCCACTTCAAAGGTCGCCAAGAGCTGCTCTATCCAAAGAGGTCCTCTTAAAGGCAAGACCAGGCCTCTAATTGAGACCTGCCTTTATTTTTTTAAAACATGTAGTCACACCAGGCCAGTAAAAGGGACAGGTGTCTAATTGGGACTAGGCTTTTAATTTAAGTTTTACAGTATTTACTTAAAGATATCAGTGACTCATATGGCAGAATCCTTACAAATCAACAAATCATGGCTTACAATAAATACGTGTATGATATTTGTCCCCATCACAAACCTCCTTTTCAAGAGCAGATCAGGAGTTGAGTTACATATTTGTATCGGTCATTATAAGATGAACATTATATAAAAAGGCAAATTAGCCACAGTGTGTCCAACTGATTAGTATGTGACATATTACTGCTGAGCATACTTTTGTCAGGAGAACCCTGTCAGCAGCAGCCTGAGTAGCAAAGGCCCACAGACAGGTGAACTGCAGTCTCTCAGGAGCTGATTAAAAAATAAATTTAAAATAAAAGGTGGCGTTTTTAATTGCAGTGGTTGTCATCGACAGACTGACAGAGAGGACAGAGTTACAGAATCTCAGGTCAGAATGTTTAACTATCAATTTTAGTCTTATTTATTTTAATAATCTGGGTTGCTCGTATATACAAAGCATATTGTCTGTGACAAAAAAAAATTGTCTCTCCCAAAGTTAAAACCAAACCTACACCCTAGCTTTTAGCTAATTAAACTTTGTATCCGTTACTTTACTTTAATATATTACAACCATTTATCCATCACTTTAAGCAGTCGTCACTTCTCTGCTCGCTTGCTGACTACTTTACGTACACTTTCAACATGTGGTGTTCAGGTGTTCCTGCTGACTCAATGAGGATAACATTCCTTATCCAAATTGTAATTCCTCATTTTTCAAATTAGTGAGCTACTCCACTATCTTTCCACATAACACAACTGCAGAACTCCTAAGGTATAAGTACCTCAAACATTACATAAAATACCTGTGTAATGCTCAACATATATATATCCTATTTGTAGTTGAATGTTAAGTGTCAGCACTAAAGTTAAGGAACCTACGCATGTATAAATCTGTGCTCCAAATGCTGCACTTTGTGATAAATATACCAGCTGCCTCGGGGCTGACCTGTCACTCAGAGGAGAGTCTGATTCGTCCCAGTCGCCCTGCTGCAGACGACCCTCCAGCCGTTTCTGTTCACTGCGAAGCTGTCGACGCAACACTGACAGCTCATTAAACACGTTGCGCTGGTCACCTGAAAACACACACACACACACACACACACACACACACACACACACACACACACACACACTTTGACACTGTGTTTTCACCACAAATACCAATTCTCAGTAATTCTCAAACTTCTAACACTAGATAATCACATATATGAAAGACAACCTGAACCAAACACTAGACACTGCAGATTCAGCAAACAACTGGGGAGTCAATTTTAACTTGCCAGTGAAATGATATCTTTAACTGGGTAGATTTTACTGTACCTGCAGCTCGCAGCTGATTCCTGCAAGCAGGGACAGGAGGGGACTGGAGACCAGACAAAGAGCGCTCCTGAAAGACAGGAAGTGACAATGGTATGGAAACAGAGATACCCAGAAGGGCAGAGAACACATTAACTAACCTATATTTATCCAGGGAAAAGATTTTGTCAAGTGTGTGTGTGTGTGTGTGTGTGTGTGTGTGTGTGTGTGTGTGTGTGTGTGTGTGTGTGTGTGTGTGTGAGAAAGACTCACAGAGAGGGGGACCATGGAATGCTGGCTGTCAACAGTGGGGGGCCTGGGGGTGTACTGGTGTAGCCCACGTCTGTTCTGCAGAGTGGGGATTGGAGGCGAGGGCTCCCTGCGGACCTGACACCACACAAATGTAAACGTTTCAAAGACTATGGATAAATTCAGTTTAACTTGACGTCTGTATTTTGGTGTAATTCAAGACTGCCAAAAAGGGAATATTAAGAGTAGATACAGATGGTAACAAGGAAAATGTTGCCAGACAGTCTGCATGTTTTGACTACATTATAGCGAGTTATAATTTATTATTTTTTTTATGTTTTTCTACTGCTTAAAATAAATGCTAAATAGGGGGACTGCCAGTTACTACAAAATGTGATTTCACCCAATTAGCACATATTCAACAATAAAGGGGGAACAAAAGGTTAGGTACTGTTTGTTAATGAATAAAAACCTTTGTCTTAGATCAGGTGCCTACACCTGCCAAATTATCCTAAGAAAAACAATCAACTCTCGTTCTGCTCAAGCGGAGCAGCTCTGCTGCCACCGGCTGATCCTGCATCCTAAACAGAGAATGTCCTCTTTGGGTGATCAATAAAGCAGAAGAAATATTACTATTTACTTAAGGGCCCTTACACGCCACGGTTCTGTTGTTGATCGACTGCTTACTATTGTCTGTACTTTCTGCAGTATATTCAGCCCTGTTGGCGCAATTGGACCTTAACGGCAGCTGTATTCAGCTAATAACGCAGGTTGGATGGAGGAGGCAGTAAGTAAGAGAGCTCCTTGGCTGGTCTGCTTAACAAATCAGTGATTTCACCCATTTAAGCCGTTTCCCCCCCCTTTTCTTCTTCCACAAGCTGACAATGCCAGTGAAAAGCAGAGCAAAGCAAAACGTTACAGTGCCAGCTGCAGCAGCATTCTAATGAGACAGCATGAACAGATTCACACAAGCATGAAAATGGCAGGCTGCTTCATTTTATTTCTTACCAGTGTTTTCAAACTTTTAACACAGACAACTGACCAGCCATAAGGCAGGGAGAACACCACCCTGCCCATCCATGTGTGTACATGGAAAGCCCATAGCAGAGAAAGCAGCAGCACAGACCACAGAGTTCGACTTTGTTGCCTCCCTACACAGTGCTCCATTTCTTAGCAGGTACATGCTCACTAAGCTTACATAGCTAGTACTTTAAGATTACTGTATGATCATTTTAAACTGTATAGTAAAATATCTAACAATTACATATTTATTTTTATTTACTGCATAGACTGCAGTGTGATGGTGTTTGTTGAAATGAGGTTGTCAAGCCGTCAGTGAACTAACCTCCTCCACCCGAGCCTGTCTCTCCCTCTCATACTGCCTCCTCAGTAGTGCGTTCTCTTTCTCTTCCGCTTCCTTCTTCTTCCTCTCTGCTTCCATCCTTTTCTGTTCAGCCAGCTGAATCAGCTCTTCATTCTTGGCCTTTTGCTGAGAGACAGAGAGAAAAGAGAGCAAGGCAACGATACGGTACGGGGGGGGGAAGAGGGCAGAAAAAGAGTCAAGTACAATTAATAAAACACAGGTGTAAATTCTGCCCACTGAAGAGTCTTTTTAGCTCCTCACCTCCATTTCTTTCCGTTTCTTCCTCTCTTGCTCTTCCTCATACTCCCTCTGGATGCGAGCCCTCTGCTCCTGCAGCCTCTTCTCCTCTTTCTCCTCCTCCAGTCTCGTCCGTTCCCTCTCCTCCGTCTTTTTACGCATTTTCTCCTCAATCTGTAAACAAATGACATAAAACCATTACCCCAAATTACTTTTACTTGCAGGCTGGAGGGCTGAGGCAAATCTCTAGCATGGCATGAAAAATAAAAAATAATAAAAAAAACTTTCCTTGCTTGTGCTGATAAACTCAAATTCACTTGCACTATTCTAGCAGCTAGCTAAATTCCTAGAGGACAGAAATCCAAAACATGATCGTCCGCCAGCTAAAGTGATGCTCAACAAGACAGCCTACCACAACAAAAACGCAGGCAGTAGAGGTACCACCAGCTGCTTATAACGGTACCTGCTGTTTGAGGTAAGCTTTGTACTTGTCCTGCTCATTGAGTTGTTGTTGGGTGGGCTGGCTAGTAAACACATTGCCTCTGGCAAACTGGGGGCTTTGGACATGGTTGAAACCTGCAAAATAAGAAAACATGAAGTTTTAAGTCAGCTGGACCAAAACACATCCTATTCTGAATACGTTGTCCTTCAAGTCTCGGATGAAACTCACTAAAGCAGTAGCCCAGAATATGAATATGCTAAAAGACGTAGCACCAATCTTTACTGGCATTTTATGGCAAACATAATGTTCTATGCAGTTTCATTTCTCAGTTGAGAAGCAAATATGAAGTTTTTATATGTTAACCTGAATGACCTCTAGGCATCTGTGTCAGCAGTGCAGTTTTCTTAGTACTCTACAGTGCTGTGTGGAAAGTATGTAAAACAAAGTAAAACACTCTTATTTTCACGTTTTTGTCTGTTTAATCACATTTTTCCCCCTTAATCAATAGGGTTGGGCTGATAGACACAGCCATCGTTCATCGGCGATGGCTGACAGACATCACGACGTTGAGCCGGCATTGTGATTGTAGAGCCCCCGCCCCCCAAGCAAAAAAAATCTCTAACTTTCACATTATACCACCCTGTGAAAGCAGGTTTTAATGACCACAAACATTCTTATTATTGTTTTTAAGTATGCTTTGCACAGTCTGCCTCGGAATTCTCTTCTCCCCACATTCTGACACACTCACACACACCTACACCTCAGGTAAACACCCCGGCTTGCCCCGCCTCTCTCTGTCTCTCTCGCCCCATCTGCTCCATTTTCTCCATCAGCAGTATGTTTTATAAAGTCGCCTAAAAGTTGAGAACTTGTCTTTTTCCTGTATATTTCCATCGCCCAACCCTTTTAATCAATATTACTTTTGTCAAAGCTCCATCCATAAGACCTGTTGCTTTACATACTTTCCTCAGTGACTTTCAGTGAGATCTCAACTTGTGCCTGTTTTTTCCCGCAGGTTTGATCTACTGTGATGCTAGAAATGTTCTAATGGCAAAACACTGCTACAATACATTAAGAAGAAAAATGGTTACGGTACCAGAGAGCCTGTCACTACTGTCATGGCTACTGCACTCTGCTACAGTACCAGAGACCCTCTCGCTGGGGTCAGGGAGCTCTGCCCGGCGGGCCGTTATGGCAGCCGTGGCCCTCTTCTGCCACTGCTCTGGGTTGCTGTAGGCCTCCTCATTCAGCTTGTGCATCTGGTTGAGGTCAGCTGGCGACAAGAGTAGGAGCTAAGAGTTACAATTCTGAGAGCAACTGTAATTATCTTGCAGGGGGGGACACACGTATTAAAAAAACAGACACTATTACTCTGGGACACACCGATAAGATTTCCAGTGCTATCTCTGAGTGGGGCTCCTCCTCCACCTCGACCCCAGGGCTGGTGGTTCTTCATCTCCACCTCCAGCTGGGCCTCGTAACGCTCCATCTCCTCCCTCTCCAGGCACCTCCGTTCTTGCTGCTCCTGAATCTACAGTACAGTATTTTGTAGGTTACATCAAAATAAGCTTTTGTCATCAAAATATATCACATTTATTATTATTGAACCATATTACTCTAAAATGTATCATGAGGCTCACTGTGTAAAACCAAGACTATATACATAAAAACACAACCTTTCACACAAACCTATAATACTTTAGTACTATGGTATTATTGGGATAGCAAAACAATTGGTGCATTTTGAAATGTAATGAGTCACATTTTAGTTGAACTTATTGCAGGTGCAACTCATGAGCTATCAGTTCCAACGCGTATGTGTGTATCCCACAAGGGTAAAACAGGGTTTCTGTTTGAATAACAGAGCCAGAACTAAGTTCCGACATCAGCCTGACAAACAACCAAAGCACATCAGCGATGAGCCACCTGGTACAGAGCCTGCAGCCATCATGTGGCACAAGAACAATGCAAGCTGGGAGGATTAATGTAGCTTCAGTGTCACAGAGCAACTAGAGGAGAAAGATGAAAGACTAGGGTGGGACTGAGGTGGCACGGGGGTGTTGGAGTTGACACCTGAATAGGGGGGAGATCTCACAAACACTTCTACTGCCAAATATCAAGGAATTAATGAGGATCTGAGGGTATAACTTAAACTATCTTTTAGACTGAACTACATCAATTTTACCTTGTTGAAAAGCTCGCTGCTCCCTCTCCTGGAAACTTCCTGCCAACATATCACAGACTAGGATGCAGTGAAAGTTCAAAGTTACCTACAGCCACTTTACTTCATTCTCCCTAACAATGTTATTTGCGACCAAACAGGACCTGAGCCAAGGTGATACTGTTCATACACAGCCATTTGTGTGTGCACTTAGGTATCCAATGAATGTACAAATCCTTTACTTCAGTTCAAAGCTTAGTCACTGAATGTGTTGACTACAGTTAAATTTACTTTAAATACAGACAACACTCAGAAATGTTAAGACATAAAAAAATCATATCTTGCATTTCAGAAAAAAAGGTGGTCCCTCTGCTTTCGCGCAGTAATCAATTTAGATTAAAAAAACAAACAAAAAAAACTCGTTTATCATTTCATCCACATATCTGTCAGAAGGATATGTGGATGAAATGATACCCATCCCTTACAATACCAGTACCAAAACCAGTACCCTTAAAGTGATACCGATACCAAAGAGCACTTCATTCGATACCGATAATTATAGTACAGCCATTAGCCCTCATATGCCTTATAGTTCTAATGGGTGATGAATTCAGTGGGGATCTGTTGAACCAATCTTGGAAAAGACAAGTCATTTTCAATGTAGAGTAAAAAATTAATTTAACCTACCTGTTGTTTCAAAGCTTCCCTGTAGCTCAGAATCTTCTCCCTGGGTGATCTAGAACTCTCTGAAGGGAAAGCGCTGACTTGCGAGTCCACAGTAGCAGCCTCATTGCTAGGCCTGCCAGGAGAGTTGCAGAATCACACAGTTCAGATCTGAGCATGACTTTTGTCTTACTTCACCTCTCGGCTGCTAAAATGACATCCAAACGTACTTGACACAAGAAACTCTATTACGGTCGCTGGTCAATTATCCAATTTAATGAGACAATAAAAGCCTATTTCTCCATCGGAACACAAGCAGGTGCGAAAATAAATTATAAGGAAGTTTACACAATTATCTTATTTTTGCTCATATGCATAAACAATTAGTTTAAGTGTTAAGTTGAAAGGCCCGCAAAATTACGATAAGATGTCTGTGTCCTGGTAAAGCAGATACATTTACTGCTACTTCATTTTAAAAAGTACTAAAAAGAGGTATTTACTGGTTTGCAGGCTCAGGGAAACTGCTTCCACTGTGCTGGCTGTGAGGGCTGTACTGGCTGGGGGCAGCGCCACCCGGTGGTACGTTCCAGTAGGGCATAGGAGGGCCAGCACCAGGAAGAGACAAGTGACCATCTGGACAGACAAATGAAACGCACATTGGAATTGTGACGATAATGCTGAATGTAGCATATGTGTATAGCCTACTACCAGTATGTTCACAAGTGTGACAAATACGGTAGACAAGAAAGTTGTTTTAACAGGAGGAGCCCGGTGCGTACAGTAGGCCGCGTTTGGGTCAAGCAGGTTCCTGGAGCCGTAGTAGTGATGAGTCTCTCCATAAGGGTTTCTGTAGGCTTCACTGAGAGTTGAAGGAGGAGGAGGAAGGAACAGGTTCATTCTGGAGATACAAAGTAGTATATCAAATAATCAATGAAGTTATATAGCACAGCGTCTCATTTATAAATTAAACATTTTTATATACTGGCTGTATTTGAAATTAAAGTGTTCTATATTATGTATTATAATAAGAACTACAGAGTAGGAGGTTAACCAGCGAGGCTACAATAATTTTTAGTTTAAAGTTACTTTATACTGAAGTTCATTTTTGTCAAATGACTTGCTTTATTGTCAAACAGTCACAGGAAACACCCCAAACATTTGTCACCGAGCTAAGCATTATTGTTCATCAGCAATGAGTCTGCAAAAACAAGAGTGTCATTTTTGGTGAATCAGTTTAGAAAACATTGCAGAGAGTACTGGAACAAGACGGAGCAGCAGGCGACTGCTTGCACTGTACAAAGAAAAAAATCTTTATTTTATTTATTTATTTTTTTTATCAAAAACCTTGTGAGTTTGTTTGGCTGCACTTTAAACAGATATACCAGTTCTTCTGTTATCTAGCTGCTAAATGAGGGTTTATACCAAATTAAACTGCACACGGTAGTACCACAGTGAGGACACGTATAAAGCATGATGGAAATCCTGAATTATATACAGTAAATGGTTTACGTTCAATGGATACCTGGGAGTGTCCATGGCTCTGGGGAAGGAGAGGGCAGCAGGCTGGCTGGTGGGAGACAGGCCTCCTCCTGCCAGGCCCAGGGCAGAGCTGTACTCCAGCATTGGGGACTGGAAGGCCACATGGGGCTGCTCAGGAGGAGGAATCTCTTTGCCTCGAACACCTGTGTTGGCATTATTAGGTAGACGCCTAGATGATTTTTCACTTTCTCCTGTTGCTGAAGGCTCCAAAGCCCAATGATCTTTTCTCCTGCCCAGTCCAAATTGTCTGATTCGGTCCGGCTGATTTGTGGACAGAGACAAAATTGAAAGATAAACAAATATACTGTAAACGCTATATAAAGAAAATCCCTTTGATGTCTCCCCTTAACTCTAATTTCATTTTTTTATTTTCTGCACAAGCATTTTACAGTTATATTAATTTTGGCAGGGCACTCTGGCCTTTGACCTCATCTTGGTGATTTAAAGGAGAGAAAAAAGAAAAAGAATTAAACTTGCAGAGTTTGCTATGAAAAGAAATATTAGACACACCAATCATTCAAAGATGATGTTCTACAAATGTGGCTGTAGGGTAAAATACTCAAAAGGTCTGTGAAGTTGGGAATTCGCATCCACCCACTGGTAAGAGTTTGCCACCTGACCTGTTTCTCAGGATCATTTGCACCCGTCGCAGCAACTTTCAGCTCCAAATCTTTCTCCCTGCAACAAGGACACACACACACACGTTGCTGAGCATTTAATGACACTCATCCACAGGGACTGTCAACAAGTGTGAAAGTGTAGGTTCAGGGTTTATCACACAAGACCCATTACACAAAAGCAGTGTTGGGCAAGTTACTCAGAAATTGTAATATATTACTAGTTAGTTAGTACTCCATAAAAAAGTAATAATATTACTTTACTTATTACTGGGTGATAAAAAGTAACTAGTTATGTTACTCTCTAGGTTACAATATACTTTCACTACCAACCAAAGCAGTCTCTCCTGACTTTTTAAATGATATTCAAAACAGCAGCAAGCAGTGGTTTTTTTATAAAATCGTTTCTTAATGCCACCGGCTAAAATAAAACAAGTAAATACTGACTTTTGAACTACTGTTTTTCTGCGCATTCAGTATTTTTGCAAAAGATACAACGTTACTTAACGCCACTCTCTCCTGACGAATCCAAGCATCAGTGGCAGTAGCTGCAGGAGTTTCTTTCTGTATCGCGTCGCTATGCTGCTTCAGCAGATGCTTCAATAAGTGTAGAATGGTTTACGGTTAAAAGCTTTTTGCTGGTCACACAAAATTTACAAATGACAACAATGTTCTCTGCATCTGTGACACAGTAATAGCAGCAGCTACTTACAGCTGTGGAAAGAACGCCTCTCTCCCTCGTTCTCCATTCTTCCTTTTCTATCAGCTGACTTGAACAACATAAGATCTGGTGCCGCTGAGCTGCCGTACAGTCGCGCATTCACGTCAAGGATGGTGCTTTCAGTAACGCAGCGTTACTTGGATTAGCAACTGTAATAATATTACTGTTTTGGAAAAGTAATTAGTTACGCTACTGAGAAAAGCAATAATATTACAGTAACGCGTTACTGCACAAACACAATAGTGATTGTTATACACTACATTACATTCAGCCAATATTTCCTCACAGTTTTTCTGTTTGTGTGCTCTGAAAAACATTTGGTTTCCCTACGCAACTCTGGAACGGTAAATAGAAAATGAAGAAAGTAGTATTTGTTTGGCAACTGAGTTCAAATATCCAGAATCTTCTACTTAATCACTTAATCTCCCTTTCAGTGTTGCCATAATGGTAGCTGTCCATATATTTTAATGTGCATTCAGTTGTACAAAGGCTTATCATACATTCTGTTGCGGTTGTAGTAATAGAACGTTAAAGCTTCTCTATTGTGGCAGCAATTGCAAGTCTGTTTTAATGTACCTGCCTAAAATGTTATTATTTCAGGCATTACATTGTTCTGAAAAAGACATGAATCACTGACATTGTACCTTTTCTTGTTCCTATGCTGTTCTGCTATCTGCTCCTGCAGCTCCTGTCTGTAGCGCATCTTCCTCCTCTGTAAGGCATCTTCTGTGTCAGCTACTCCTGAAAAGAGACCACCTTTTCTTTTTAGCATATTTAGTTTTAGTCCTTTGAACTTTTCATGCCATTTAAAGGGTTTGATAATCTATCATTTCAGAATTCTTTAATTATTATTTTGTCTTTACCAACAACATTGAAAGGATCCATCCTTTTCAGAGGTTACCACACATATTTAAAACAAATTTTGTGCAGTCATTTCTTATTAGGAAATGTTCATTTAATGTTGGACCTTTGTTATTTAAAAACAGACTTTTCAGGTGCAAAATGCAAAACGTCCTTTAACCTATTATAAGGCCAGTGGCAAACTCTGCATCCTCATTTTTGTTCAGTGCTTTTGGTCTTCTGCCTTCTCTGGCAGCACCATCTGGATTCTCCCTCTTCTCCCTGGGAAAAGCCAAAAAGCAAACAGATTGAAAGAAAAGAATGAATAAGGACAAACAAGTCAACATGTTTTTAAACATAAATAAAAAATACACAGGACAATTTTCCCCAGGTACCTGCCATCACTCTTATTGGGTCGCCACTTCTCATAACTGGGCCCAACCCCCGTATGCCTGCGCCTTCGGCCTTCCATCAGCTCCAGCTCCTCCTTGAAATCTTCCTCCTCTGACTCCTGGTCAATTGGCTTCCCCAGCCTGTCATGATACCTAGAAAGTGCTGACAACTGCTCCTCGTCCTCTTCAGAGCAGAGGGTCTTAACCTCAGCGAGACGCAACGCCCTGTGAAATCCCCTACTGTCCTCTGTTAGAGTAGCTGCATCCCTGCGCGACGGAGGTCGCTGTTTGGGAAGAACACCTGCCTGGTCTTCAAGCAGGTCTTGCTAAAATGAAACATGATTGTAAAAAACAGGGTGTGAAGCTATCATCACATCCACATCAACCATTTTCAGCATAGATGTCAAGTTTAGAGCTTTGTTCGATGTGGTTCCCAACCTTTTTTGGTCAGACATTAACCAGACAGTAATGTCGGATGAACTCCAGTACCCCTTTGTCAACACTATCTGTAATGTTATTGATTTAAACAGATATTATCTAACATAAAAAAATATATATATAAAAGTAGATTCCCCCCCCCCCCCCCATTCCTTTTAGCAATATCCACCATTTTGTTATTACTTTTGGTTAACTGTTTCAAGTGTTTACTTTTAGTTAGCGGTTTCAAGTGTTTATCCATTACTTTTAGTTAGCGGTTTCAAGTGTTTATCCATTACTTTTAGTTAGCGGTTTCAAGTGTTTATCCATTACTTTTAGTTAGCGGTTTCAATTGTTTATCCATAACTTTTAACTAGCTGTTTCATCCATTACTTTTAGTTAGTGGTTTCAAGTTTAGCTAACTGTTTACTTTTAGCTAGCGGTTTCAAGTGTTTATCCATTACTTTTTAGTTAGCGGTTTCAAGTGTTTATCCATAACCTTTAGCTAACTGTTTCAAGTGTTTATCCATAACCTTTAGCTAACTGTTTCAAGTGTTTATCCATAACTTTTAACTAGCTGTTTCATCCATTACTTTTAGTTAGCGGTTTCAAGTTTAGCTAACTGTTTACTTTTAGCTAGCGGTTTCAAGTGTTTATCCATTACTTTTAGTTAGCGGTTTCAAGTGTTTATCCATTACTTTTAGTTAGCGTTTTCAAGTTTAGCTAACTGTTTCAAGTGTTTATCCATAATTTTAACTAGCTGTTTCATCCATTACTTTTAGTTAGCGGTTTCAAGTGTTTATCCATTACTTTTAGTTAGCGGTTTCAAGTGTTTATCCATTACTTTTAGTTAGCGGTTTCAAGTTTAGCTAACTGTTTCAGGTATTTATCCTTTACTTTTAGCTAGATGTTTCATGTGCTCATCCATTACTTTTACATAACTATTGTTTTAGATATTTATTTTAACCATTTACTTATGCAATCCTTTTAACTAACAATTTCAACTTCACTGCTTGCGACATAACTGCTTTTCACTATGTGACACTTTCTGTGTGACAGGTTTCTGTGCCACTTATTCCTTTCGAGTTAGTCTGCTTTACCATAGATTTTGTCTGGCATCCAGTAATAAGCAGGTGTTATTTTCTTTCATTAAAAGCTGGCTAGTAACACAGTTAAATTTGTTATGCCAGCAACAGTCAAAGACATAATTTTTTCAAATCAACTGACATCACGAGGTCATTAAAGAGACATTTACCTTGACAGACCTCTTGTTATCGAGGTGGATTAATGTTCCAGGGTCAAAGTGTTTTTTCTGTAACATAAAATGTTACTGTTACCAACATTGTGACTTTTACTCTTCCTACAACACATTCTCCACAAAAAAAAGCAGTGTTAACCTAAGGACCAAACTAAAGCTAAAATGTAAAGCTGAAAAAAGCTGACAGCTGAGGCAAAAACTAGAGCCACAATGTACCCACCTGTATAATTTTAGTGTAAACAATAACTAGGTATAGAGTGCAAATTGTGGAGTGGAGTTCACACTAGATTTCCTTAATAATTACATTATGCAGTAGCTTTACTGCAGTATACTGCATATACCCACTCAAAGCCAAATGCCTGGTAAACATAACTTGGTCATGTGATATTTCCAAAAGTTTACATGTTGCTGAGGATACCTGAACACTATTTGGATCATATGATACTGAGAGCTACAAAGGATTCAACAATCAACCAGGACTGAAATACTGACAAACGGCTGCTGCATTTCATGACCACATTTGGAAGTGGAAATGGGACCAGCACTGTTGCCACATGCAACATATTCAGTTTAACAATGTTGACTTCAGTGGATCCAGTCCTGGAACAAAGCTTTTGTCAATGTTTCAGAAATGGACTGCGAATACCACACACAAAGCTCTCCTTACGGTTTTCAGCAGACCCCTGGAGCAGCAATATCTACTTTAATACTATACTAAATAAACTATAATAAAATACTGGCAGGTCTAGAACAAATCTTAAACTGATCTTCAGGCTTGTGAGCTAAGGCCGAACACAAATAAACAGGTAAGTCTGTATCAGTCACCTGAGCCATGTAGCGCCTGTAGTCCATACGGAGCTCATGCTGCAACCTCTGTTTCTTCCTCTCATACTCTACACCCAGGGGTAGAGCCACACCGCAACTCTCCTCTGCCAAACACATCCATCAATGTTTAATAGAGACACCAGGTGAAGAGTTTCATTCCAAAGCAACAACTGCCACTTGAAACAACGTCTACCCCCACAAACATTGCTAACATTGCATGGGTTACTATTAATGATACACATAGGTACTTACTTATTTTATGAAAATAATCACACAAAAAAAGGAGGGAAGTGAGGTCACGTACCTCTCCCCTGTGCTATAGACTTGGGAGGAATGTTCTCTTTAACAGCAGATTCATAGGCCCTGTGTGAGTTTGCCTGTCAGTCAAAAATACAGGAATACAGTGCATAAAAAGGATTGCAATACAAAGGCATTAGGCTTGCTGCAAATACGTTATCAAATGACCTGCTTATAACTTTACATTTCCAAACAAATACTAAAAAGGGGTCAAATAATCCATACATCAGTTACACTACAAAACGTTTGTAAGTTTCCACTTATGTCCCCAGAAAATGAAGTGAAGCCTTAGTTATTTGTGTATTTTATCTTTGGGGGTTAAATAAATTAAATCAGAATTGAATAATTGGCAATAACAATCATTCCAGCACACCTTCATTTCCATGTATGGAGGGTCTTGTTCTAAACTGGCTTTATCTGCAGCTACTCTCGCCTTCCGCTCCTTGATGAAGTTCTCCAGCTCGTCATCCATCTTCTTTTGGCAAAGTTATACAACCCAACTGAGGACATAAAATGCCATGCTTGCTTATATTCTTCACTAACGTTACTGCATAGAGCCAAATGTATACAGGTCTTCGGCTCTGTACTGTGAGAAACCTCGCAGTTCACTTTACTGGTGCATCATCTGTGATTAGCTGATGAACCAAGAAAAGTCCGTCTTGGGTGCAGGTACATTTTGTTTTTCATGCAGCTGACAAAATACACATATATGCACGAGAGAGGCTGAGGTTACCCAAATCAATTAATGTTTAAATACTATTACGGAATGGTTGATATCAACTCCAGCACTCCGGGTCCTATATTGCACGCGTTGTAACGTTACTGTCACTTTAATTTCCCGTTGTCAGGCAACCACAATGAACACGATAGCATCACAGTCCTCACAGATAGCGTTAACCCGCTTAACCGTATTGGCTTAGCCACTATCAGAACAATACAGTTATTATGAGTATGATGAGTAAGACGTTTCACGCGTTGTATGCGATGATGGTTGCTTAGTTGGTTTAAAGTAACCTATAGCTTACCTTAGCTTAGCTTGTTAGCTTTAACTAAAGGCAAGACAAACCCAAAGTAAAGCCAGTAAATTAAGAATGAAAGGAAAGCTAAACCTAGCTGGTGACTAGCTCCTCGCCCAGCTAGCGTTAGCGCTCTAAGGTAACAACCAGTATTAATGTTGTTAGCATTAAACAAAACCTACCATTGACTTTCCAGGATAAGGTACCGTTTGTTAGCTTGGAAATGTTGGCGGCGTCTCGTCTGAGCCAAACATCACTGCACTTGTAAGTTCATGACAATATTACACTACTTCCGGTTTCAGGAGTCAAAATAAAACCAGCGGCTGCAACAGTTTTCCTGTTACATCATGTATCAGCTGGTTATACAATTGTGCAAGGCTGGAAGCATTTGATGTGTCTTGTGTTGTAAAAGGGCCCAGACGTTATGCACCAACGTACATTGTTTTACCTCACTTATCTGAGCAAAATCTAAAGTTAATTCACAATGTATTGTTTCCTTTATATTTTACTTTTCATGGTCACAGATATTGTGATGTATTATTTTAGATCAATGTTGTGAAATATGTAGACATTATCAAGGGCAAAATATTGCGTGATGATACTATCATATGGCAGCTGACCCTATGATCCCATTCCCATGCTTACTACTGTGCTGGACCCATAGACTGTGGCTGGACCTTTATGTGCCCCCGCTTTGCTGTGCACAACCCTTTGTTTTGAAGGCAAAGTGCTACACTTCCTGTCTTCTGACGTACTCTCTCTGCATTGACAGAACGCGGCTCAGCTGTGCAGCATCGCTTGTTTTGCCACATTTGGTGTCCTGTGAAGACATCAGAGTGGTAACGCTGCAATGCTCACGCCCACTCCCGCTTGAGACTCAACCCACCGTGTGTGGAACACATGTCACACTGGATCAACGCACAATCTTTGTAATGACTAATGTTAATCTTTTACATGTATAATACTTAATTTTAGTCAATCTTGTAGTTTCAAAGTCCATGATAAGAAATTCAAAACCGTCATCAACTTTTTGTTCGCAATTTATTGCTTATATAAACGCTCTCTAAACAATTTTTGGTAAAAATAAAATCTATCAATAACAATCATAAATAAAATCATCACAATGACTTTTACATAACATTATATTGCACAATTATAAGCCTTAACAAGAATCACAGAACACAAGTGTTGCTCAGGTTGTGTGTAGGAGGAATGTTCAGAGGTCATCGACACATACTGGTTGCCTTTAGAGGGCAACAGGAAATCTGAACTTCAACTGTCTTTGCTGCATTTAATTGAGGTCTTTAGATTATCAGCTCTACAAATTAATAACCAAACAATCAAGTTGTTCACGTTCATGATCTGTTACTCTGCCGTGTAATCTATAGACCGCCATGATTTATGCAGTAATAAAACATTTAATTTCAATTTGTTGTGGTACAAGTCTGATGTTTCTGTGCTATTGAAATAAGAAAACTACAGAAGTGGGTCACATAATGTCAAAAATACAATTTGTTCTTGAGTGAATGTGGACTTTTCAGTACAAACATGACTGGTGTAGTTAGACTGCTGCCTAAATAGGAAGAAGTCGGACTCTATGTGGTTTCTCCCCGTTCAGATGTTCAGATCTGTACCACAACAAAGTCAAACCACTTTCAGTCTGGTGTCAGCCCGGCTTTTCATCATTTCACAGCAAAGTTCTACCAACAGAATCAGCATGTGTCCCAGCTGTGACCAACACGGCTGCTTTCTGTCTGAGGTTTCCCGAAAAGGCCGTGTCCCTGTCTAGCTTGGCAGTTTATGATTGGTCAGCTACAGAGAGGCCTTAAAGATCCAAAGACTGTGTGTGTAAAGTGATACAAGTGTGTTCAGATGCTGTCCACCTCCGCGCTGAGTTCAGGGCTTACTTCCTTGAGTAACATTTCCATCAATACCTAAGGGAGGGAGACAGTGAGACAAATTAATTATTATAATAATAAAAACCAGTTTTATGACAAATACAGTGTTTGACATAATATGTATCATTCTTACATAGAGAAGATGTTTGTTGGCACTAGCCTCCTGCAGGGCATTGAAGATCTTGATGATTCCGTAGCGGGCGTTCTGCTGGCCAACTAGATTTGCTAGTGCATCTGATAAAAAAGATCATATTAAAACAAAATAATGAGGTCAGATGAGTCACGTTTCCGGTGTTGATAAGTTTAAGATCAGCAGGTCATGTTAACATGGGTTTCAGTTTCTACCTGGGATATTGTCAAGTAGTTTCTGTTGAGCCCGTTCCTTAGTTTCATTGCGTTCAGTGTCCGTTCGGACCTTGACGTGTGGCGCCAACTTCCCGTTAGGCCAGAAGGTGTCCCTGAACACACTGATGTAACATACCAACATCTGTTCACAGAAGATCCAGTTTACTGTGTCCCGGATCTGTCTGAAATAAGAGCATTGAAGATGTTAGCCTCGCGCCGGATCTCAGAAAGAAAAAAAAAAAAAAACACACAAACACCAACAGGCTCAGGAGATCCAGTGTCAAACAGGTCAATAAAACAATACCAGGATTTTGAAACTTTATTTGTCATTCAAAACTATATGGAACAAAACAACAATCCATTGCAGTGGCTCCTAATTAAAAGTAAGTAAAAAATACTGTTGAAAAGAATAGAAAAAAACCACACAGTGCAGCATAAGTACTTAAAAGGTCAAATAAAAGTAAAGCTATAAAAACAGATGTATATAAGAGTAGTATATAAATATATATATATGTACAAGGAAATATAAATATATTGAACCTTTTGATGCCTTTAAGTGTAATTTCTCATGTGCTATAACTGGTTGGCTGTTTGTTACCTGCAGTAACATTACCATAACAACTGATCTAAAGTCAACGGTCAGTTTGTTACTCAAATAAAGTGGCCAGAGGTACTGTGAACAAATGGAACAAAGTCAACTTTATAGCTTATTGTAAGACAGCTCTTTGTAGGTTGCATTCAAATTATTTGTTGTTAGTTGCTGAAACTTGATTTTCCTTTTTAAATGTGACAGCCCCACAAAGGAATGTTTAATTAAAATCCCAACTTGCTAGAACTTACTTGTTGATAGTTCGTCCAAATGTCACCTGGACTAGTGCAATTAGAGTCTTCCTCACCCACTTAAACACTGAGCAGACAGACGACAGTGAGCGAAGGAAACAGATCAGATGAATTCACTCAGATGCAGTTAGAATTGCAAATTGCAGAAAATGCAACAGTGATTAGGAAGACAACAGAGTGCTACTCACTTCCTCTGAGCTCAAGATCTCTCCTATGAGCATAAAGCAGGGTTCAGCCAGGGCGTCTCTCCGCCCGTCTACCTCATCACCGTAGTCTGACAAGTCACTGTCATCATCAGCCTCCTCCTATAAACAGAAATTACACACGGCACACACAATCCAAATGAGGATGCACGGCAGCTCGAGTGACGGTCCACAACTTCCTGTTGCTTTCCTAGTTGCAAATGAAGCTGTACCTCAGTATGGGAGAAGAAATCTCCAGGCAGCCTCTCCAGGAAGGAGGCCAGAGAGAAAGAGGACTTCTTCTGGATTGACATCACCTTCATACATTGAAAAAGATATTGTCACTATACAATATTTAACCACTCAGGAAGGAATTTCAAAGCCTCAACTTCTAACACTGAATGAACAAACAAAGCTTGTTATTGCAGTTGTAATTCAAGCACAAAACAGGACAAATCATACGTTGCAGTCCTGTCTTATTTGAAATGCAAGTATGAAAAATTGGTTACCTTGAGGTGCTCTGGAGACGGGCTGAGGAACGCATAGAGAGCCTCTGACTGGCACAGTCGTTCATCGGTCAGCAGACGCTACAAACACACACAGGGCTGAAGTTATCATGGTGGTCATCATAAATTAAAAGAGGCAATGTGAGCATAGGGCTGGTTGTTGTTCTTAATGCAGTGGTTCCCAACTTTTCTGTCAGACCTATTTCAACCATTTCCCCATTACTTTTAGCTCTGCTTGCTTAATGACCAGTTTTCATGCACTCTTAATCACAACATGGTGTTGAAGTGTTGTAGCTGAATCAATATGTATTTTTTTTTTATATCAAAATGTATTTTTATTTTTTCAAACTAGCTGAATTATTCCACCAGAACATCTGCTTTAGTGTATTAAAATGTGTGTGGCTTTATGTTCAAGTTAACAAGGCTTTATTTGTAAGTGTAAAGAGAAGCACTATTAAATCTGTTACAGCAGACAGGGGAAAAGGCACGAAGCACCAAAGTTTTGCTCTTCTCAAGTTAATAGCAATTTCAGTAAAGTAGTACCCTTACAGTGTGAAATGTTTCCATATTTACCTGGAGGAAGGCATTGAGCTGTGTTTTGCTCTTGTCTAAGAATTTCTGGTCGATGGATTTGAAGGGAAGTTTACTGAGTGACGGTAACTGGAGCTTCTTCAACGATGGAAAACACTGAGAAAGAAAGACGCACAGTGATTGAAATGTGATTTCACAGTGATGAGAGACTTACCACATTAGTGCCAAAACTGAAGTAGTTTGTATTACATTTCCATATGGTTACCTTCATTTTAGATAATATAGTATAGTGTATTAACAGTTCAGTTCAATGGGGCTTTATTGGCATGGGAAACAAGACATTTTCATTGACAAAGCAAGTGTGAAATAATAACAACTACATAAACAAAAGAATTGTGCTATTAAAAGATATATAGACAAGTAAAATAAGATAATAAATAAATATTAATAAATGTAGAATATTTATACACAATGTTTACTGACTTACTCTAATGCGGAGGTGGGTGAAACAACAGAACAAGCAAGGCAACAGTTAGTTTAACTATAAAGCACAGAAATAGCTACTTCCTAAAGAAAAGCCTATTCATTCACATGCAGGTTTGGCGTTACCTCAGTGAGCTTGCGGTGCAACATCTGGAATTCAGTCAGTTTCCTCTGGACGCTCCAGCGACTGTTGGCCGTCTCCTCTCCTTCTACCAGGCTAACACACACGCTGTAACAAGCTACGGTCTCGCCACCTTCCTCTGTAGCCTGGAATACACACACACAAATGTCTAAATGACTACATAATTAACATTAGCTTCATGCTCCAGATCTGTTGACAACAACCATGAATGCATCTACATCACATAACGCCTGCCCAAACAGGTGTAACAAGGATAGTAAATGAGCACTTTTCTCCACAATGCATTTCTTGGGCCATAAAATCATCCGAGTTAGCAAGTCACATGGAAATATTAATTCACTCCTTTAGGATGCTTTACACTTTAATTGTATGTATTTTCTCCTCTGCCAAAAAGCATGTCGATGCCAAGTCAAAAGGAATGTCACCAGAGGACTCCAGTCGCTCAGGTTCTCCACTGGAAATCAGCCAGCTAGTTATGACTAGCTTGTTTCTTCAGCATTAGTAGAACAGGCTGTTTATTGTTTGTGAAAAAAATGAAAAAAAAACACATTACCTCAGCAGTAGTAATAATAGCTCTCCAGTGGCCCAGGTTTTCACACCACCAGTCAGTCCTGGTGATGTGTTGCTGGAGTTCACCGTGTTCTTTCTCCATGGCTCCTATCTCTTCCTTTAGTTTGCTCACTATCTGCAAACACACAGGGACAGACTCTCACTAGCATGCAAATCGTAGTTCAATGAAGACATTACATTAGTGACGTGTGGCGGTTTTCAGGTCAAAGAATGTTTTTAACCCTCTTCAAAAATGCGTGTTATGAGTGTTGTGGATATTCTATCACATTACTGACATTCAAAGTGTACAAATGCCCAAGAGGCTTTTAAGTAAAGCAGATCAGCTAAAATGGCTCTTTATTAGAAGCCTAATTGTCACTTTCTACCTCAAACCACTGAGTTAACATCTCGACACTGCAGAATTCAGGGCATTGTGCTTTACGGGTCTGCATGTGCACACACTAATTCTGATCTTGTGTTTGATGCTATCCTGCTGTGGCCTTCTGCAGTGAATACTCATTTGACGCCAGGGTGTGTTTTGTCACATTTTCTTGTATTTTGTTACCTTCTTATCTGGTTTGGGTGCATTCTGGATGGAGCCAAGGGCCTGTCGCTTGTACTCCAGCTTGTCGTAGAGTTGGCGGAGTTTCGTAGCAGCATAGCTGGCCTGCTCATTGATTCCTTTACTGCCTTCGTCACCGACCTCCTCTCCTGCGTCTAGACCCTGACACTACAGAATAAAAATATACATTTTTATGAAAATGGATAGCAATAGCAGAGGTATACAAATGTACAAATGATAAATTTGAGTATCTTAACACATGAGCATTTTATCAACGTTGTGCATGTCTGACCCCTTCCTCCTTTTCCTCAGTGCTACATTGTGATTGGCTATGGGGCTCGTCTCGTCTGATCAGCTTATCGTAGAGGTCAGAAACCAGGAAGGAGGGGTAGTACCGCTCTCTCATCGTCTCAGCCACCTAGAGGTTGTTTGAGAGCAGCAGAAGATGCGTTATTGTCATTGTAGAACAACTTTGACACTGTGGAACATGAACATGCCAGAGTCACATACACAACAGTGTTGTTAATAAGCAAAGCTCCAAGTCCCTTTTCTTTGTTTAGTAGCCATGTGCCACCAGTTCTTGTGACAGAAATTCTCCAATGTGTCTGCAGTCAGTTAATAGCGAAAACAGCAGTTACCTGTTCCTGTAGTCTAACAAAGACTTGTGTTCCTCTGTTCCCCACCAGACTCTGTTGGATCTCCTTAAGAAGAAACTTCTCCACCGGAATCTCCCGGCTCTCCACAAAAAACTTCTGGTAGATTTCTCCTACGATTTGGGGCACCTCGTTCTGTCGTACACACACATATTAATAAACAAAAAAACAATTACTCATGTTCTTTTTTTTACACCGCATTGATGTGCTTCACTGCTACTATCCAATATTCATATCCGAGTTTAAACGGCCGACACGATCTGTATTCTGATGAAGAAAAGTACCAATATTTTGCAACACCCAGGCCCAGCACTAGTACAGCTCACTACTTCAGGTAGTAGAAAAACATTGTCACTCAGTGTCTATCACTGTTCCCCTAATAGCATATATTATAAGCAGTGTTGAGCTAATCCCTCTGGAATGTGTGTACACGTTACCTTGTTGGCAGTTTTCAGAGTTTCCACCAGTTCCCAGAAGCTTATCAGTGCTCTCTTATCAACTCTCTCCATGTAAACTCGGAAATGCTCCCGGTAACCTGGATTACACATGATGTCTTCAAACTGGAGAATCTGGATGTGAGAGCGGGGAGAGAGAAAATGACAAAACATAATATTCTAAAAAACAAAATAACACTCAAAGATTCTCATTTTCTATTATTTGGCAACTTGACACAGGTTTCAGAAGCTTCTTTTCAATCAAACACCACACCAGCTTTATCACAGTCCACATTATCAGAGTCTTACCTTCTGACTTTGAGGATCATCGCTGTCATCAGCCCCTCCGTCCTCATTGTTCTCGTAGTTTGGTCCACCGAGGAGGCGGATCCGCTTCTCACATTGTTTCTTAGCAACAGTCAGCTGATTGATATATCGTTTCATATCTCTGGCCCTGAGCAGGTCTGCCTTCATGGCTGCTGACTCTTTACCTTTTCGCTCTAAGAGAGAGTGAGAGCAGCGGTTGAAAGAAACGTGTGAGCCAGAATGGTCACACAATAAGACACAATAGCATGATTAGCCGATTTGGAGCCACTGAACCATCAAGATAAAGTTGTTAGACATTGTTAGCTTTGTGTTACAAATACTGTAGGCAAGTTGTGTAAAGCTGATGCTCAGAGAATGAATGTAAATCTCAATGAGTAAGTAAAGAAAATAATACTGTAATAGAAAAACATCATTTGTGAACAAGAAACAAGATAAGTGTGACCGAGGGTGAAGTTATAGATACCTATGTAGAACAATTCATTTATCAGGTCTTAGTTTGCTATTAGCCATGCTAGCAGCATGTCTTGGGCAAAATTTGATAGATGTTCATGGTTCCCTGGATGCTGACTCCTACTGACTTTGGTGATCCCCTGAACTTTGTTTTAACCCTAATCCATCAGGAATCGCTTTTAGCTCTTGTTACATGTCACTTGAACCTTAACTCTCCCATTCAGTTTGCATTGTCAATTCTCGGTGTTCCACCTACTTTCACATGAGGGTAAACTCGCAAGTGATTGACACAAGTAAAGGCCACATCAGACCTTCCCACCCAGCTCTATATAAGGGACCTTCAGAGTTGTTGCAGTAACGTGGAGTAAGTTAATGGAGTTCTGTATTCACTTAATACTTAAGTATTTATAAGTATTGTGGTCCTATAACCGCTACTTCCCTACATGGTGTTAATAGGGCTGAACGATTAATTGCATTTGCGATATTATCGCAATATGATAAAACTAAAGTTTCTAATGGCAAAGGCTGCGATTACTCTCTGGTCACATGACACGCAAGAGTAAAGCAGTCTGCATAAGAAGCATCGACTTCACACGTTATTCTGTACCTTGACTTGTACAATGGCCTTAAGCTCGAGAGAAGCTGACACTGCAGAAACTTTAGTGTCAAACAGGGAATAAAAGTAGCAACCACCACCCGCGGGTAAATTGGTGGAGGTGGTTGAAAATCTTCAGGCCATCCGCCGCTTTGGCGAACAGGAAAAATGCACAACAGAAAGACACGTGTAGTAAGGTAAGCGTATTGTGGCGATGGGCGCCTGCGTTACACAAATAGCCACCAGTCAGCTCAGGAAATATCTGTGAAACGGCGTTGCTGCTTACCAGCATCTGAGGCTTCGGGGGAGAGGGGGACTCCGGCGTTGTCGGAGAACTACTAAGCTTGTCTATTAAACACGAGAGGCATCACTTGGTTTTATTTTCGTTGGCCAACTTTGGAATTGAACCTCAGACTGAGTATTTTGTTTTGTTTGCTTACTGGGATACAGAAAAGCAGGTTTTTGATGAGAGATAAGACTTGTGGAGATTTGAACTGAGATAAGGACTTATTAAGTGTGGGTTTTGTATTGAGCACTTACTGGTGTTATCATATTATTTAATGCCATGACTCTAATTATCTTTCTCATATTTTTATAATTTGATATTTCTTCTCCACAATTGCTCATAGTAATAATTCATGCAACACATAAGTTCATCATAACACAGGCCTGGCCTACAGGATCTAATATTGTGTTGGTCATACTATACACTGATTTATTGTTTGTCCGTTTTGAATAATACAGAAGGTAAAGAGCTTAAAAATGAATTGCATATTAAATTGCAATATTGGTTAAAAAAAACACAATTAGATTATTTTCCAAGAGCGTTCAGCCCTCATGGTATACTAGCTATTTGGTTGCAATGATATATATTTCCCTGTTGCTTTTATGTTTTATGTAAAGCACTTTGAATTACATTGTTGTTGAAATGTGCTATACAAATAAACTTGCCTTGCCTAACCTTAAATTCCCACATTTTCTATGTGGTTGTTTTTGGCCTTTCTGTAATATGGTGAACTGTAGTGTCTCTGTACCTTTCTGCTTCTTGAGCTGAGGCAGGCTGCTGATGGTGGTGGCATGAATAATCTCTACCACTATCTGATACCTGCAAAGAGAGACCAAGATGTTAAATCAGGAATCAATCAATGAAACCAAAATGGGCTGTCTTAGGGTGAATAAGCAGAATACTACAGAAGTAAACAAGATATAATTACATTTGGCATGACACAGTGGTAAGACTTTACATTTAAAGCATGTAAACATTTACTGAATTAATAAAATACACCAGCAACAAGTCAGTGTTGAGCCGTTATTCCTCAAACAAGACAATATTTAGATCCAATATAATGCAGCAGAGACACTGTCTGTTCCCATGGTAACCCAACAGCAGCAAACAGACAGAGTGTCAACACCATCTGGTTAACATGTTTGTGTATATACACAGTATACTTCATTTAAGGACGTACAGGATAGTCTCTGTTTATTAAGGCAGTGCAGGCGTATAGGTCTGTGTGTGCGTGCATGTGCGTGCGCTTTTAGGGTCGTGCCTGAGTTGTTTGAGGAAATTGACATCAGCTGAAGTTGATATGAGTTTGATGAAGTCTTCGTAGGAGGCAGCGTAGGTGTAGGCTTTCTTCTGCTGCTCAGCCTGCTGCTCCCTCTGCTCCAGCTGAGACAACAGCATCCGGTTTATGGAGTCTGGGTCGCTCAGCACCTCGACCAAAGGCTTCAACACTGGAGCACACAGACACATACCAATCAAAAAAGGTATTAAGATAAACGCAGAAATTGACTAATACCTGTTAATTGAGTCTGAGCAGCTGGATAGATATTTAACAGATTTCATTGGGGTCAGAATTTCTGAATTTTCCCAGGAAAATCTACTGTAAGGAACACTTTGGAATGAGAAAGGGATCAATTGATGGTGTAATAAAGCAGCTGTACATGTGACTTGCTAATTCAAAAAAGTAGATTTAGTGTTATGTTACACTTTAAGCCTTCAGAGGGCCAACTTGTGTAGAAAATGCAGTTCTACAGACAGAACAGCAGCTAGATATCAAGGTAATGCATGCTACTCCCATAATGTAATAAAGAATTACTGCAGGGGAGTCGTTTTATTTCATCTGTTATTATTCGTAGCAGGAAAAGCACAGGTGGAATTAACAACACTAACAATGTTGGTTGCATTCATTTTAGGCTTTCCAGTTCCAGCTCCCTGTATTGTATGTGCTAGCTCTCTGGCAGGTTTCAATGGAACATGTCAATGAAACCATCATTAACAGTTATTAGTTCCAGCTGAGCTCCTCGTGCTCTGACAAGTCACAGTGACTGCTGGGAAAAAAAGGTCTATTACTGACATAGCAGACACAATACTACTATACAGGAGGAAAGGACACGGACACACACACGGACACACACACACACACACACACACACACACACACACACACACACACACACACACACACACACACACACACACACACACACACACACACACACAGATAACATAAGTGGTTTTCTGAAAGGTCTGATCAAAGTATCATACATATTCTGTCTCATATCTTCTCTAGAGAGCACAGAGGTTTCATTTATAGCAAGTGAGCCTCTTAACAATGGCTTCAGTTGTTACAGTCGACATTTACCTTCATCACAAAATAGCTGCAAGCATCACAGTGTTTTCGATGTCCACTTTTCCATCTGCCATTGTCAACCGTTAAATGGTAACAATAGACCTTTGTCACCGCAGACATTATCACTTGTCCTAGAAGGTGCAATTAAAAACATTCGATGGCTCCATCCCCATTAGTGTCCACAAAAGCCATGCCAGAAGGACCTAAACAGAATGCAGCCAGTAATAATGCTATTATTATTTGATCTTATGGCTTTTTCAAACTATAGGAACATTTTTGTTATTGTTTAATTTATTTTATCTGGTTTGTATTTTTTATTTTGGAATTTATTTACTTGTATTATTTTTTTTACTGTAAATTTATTTAAATAAAGTTAATATTAGTAATGTTAATTACACCGGTGCTTCTCCTGCTGCTATCAATATGTCTACTGTGAAACAGGTTTACTAACACCTCCTGTGCAAATTATGATTGATCTCAAATTAACCAGTCCATTTCTTTATTTCCCCACCACTAAACTCTGATGACTACAGTGCTGCAAGAACAAAGGATGTCTGGCTTTAGAGTTTGTGTTTACCAGCTGACCCCAAATACAGGTACAATTCAGCATCTAATACAGTACCTGTACGTACACACACACACAATCACAGTACCTTTAGTCGTGATGACTTCTGTGAGGCAGCAGCGTAGTGTGTGTGACTTGGCGTCCTTGTGTGGTAGCAGACATAGCAGCAGTATTCTGGCTACACAGCGGAGGAACGCCAGCTCCGATTCTGGACTGACCAAACAGGGATGGAGAGGAAACGGCCGGGCACACTCCTCTGGTCTGGACACACACATGAAAGAGCCGCGGATTAGCAGTGAGACATAAACAGAAAGAGACAGAGTGAATTTGAAATGCTATTCTGGCAGAGCTAGATGTCGGATCATATTATGCGAGATGTGGCTTCATTGACAGCACGAACACCGCCATTGTTATTCATACTTCAGCTGTGTTGCATTTTCTTCTAAAACTTGACTGAACAAGACAGACTGCTGCTCTGCTGCTAGTTTGTTCCTAAGCTACTAAAGACAAGGGAGGCTAGACATCTCAGTGGTGTGATCAAATCATAAGTCTCGCCTGACTTGGCAGGATAATGAAACCAGACTACGTGTGAACCATCACTCTCTCTCTGTAAGTGCACAAGGCAGACGCTGCCTGGAGATGAAGGAAGTCATTGTGGATTATTTTAATGTTCTATATACTGGACTGAACTGCCGTAATTTCACACCATATGCAAACATAAAACGACGGGTATGGACACTGGACTGGACTGGACTGGACTGGTCTGGTTGGTGGGGGTGACACATAGATAAGATGATTGCCTTTGGTGTGGGAGACCCGGGTTCGATTCCCACTGTGAGACATTCACCATTGTGTCCCTGAGCAAGACACTTAACCCCTCATTGCTCCAGAGGCGTGCAACCTCTGATATGTATAGCAATTGTAAGTTGCTTTGGATAAAAGCGTCAGCTAAATGAAAACATGTAAATGGTGGGCAGGGAATTCTTATACGCTGATATTATCTGTTGGCTGTGCAATGGAAGCTGTGCTGTATATATGGTTTATATGATTTCTGGGTTATGAACACCCGAGCATTTAATAAGCTAATGCAACTTTAACCATTTACAATCATGGGTATTTGTGTACCTTGCAGATGCAGCCTTCAGGTCAGTGAAGTGTGTGTGTAGGATTCGGATGGTGTCATAACACACCACATTGACGAGGTCAATCTCAGCAAGCCTGGATCGCAACTGCCCAATCATCTGCCACCAATCCTCTGACAGCATGGAGTACAACTGACCCTCATCATGACTCAAAGGGATGTACCAGGATAGGATGTAGTCTCGGTACGCGTAGTCAAACACTGGGGAAAGACAGTGAGAGAGAGAATTGGAATATCATTAAATATCAGAAAATAAATACTGTAAGTACAGCTGCAGCAAATGACCATCATTTTGTGCACCAACAAGTGTTGCTGATCGATGCCAGTCCACTTTGTCCGCTGAGATTTCAAGAAGAAGAGCTGTCCATTAACGCTGTGTTACTAATTCACATTTGCTTTGAAGGAAAGAGTATGGTACTTCCCCCTCTTTGTGACATAACTAAAGTAAAACTTCATGACTGTTTGTACATTTTTTCTTCATGAAAGATGTAAATCAAATTAATTTTTCCTTTTCTGATCCATTTCACTTTAGCTTTTCCACTGTAAGCACTTCAAGGGATCTTAACATCTTTACTCTTCACAAGGACAGCACAAGATCAGACAGTAGTACTGCACATGACAGTAGGGTTACAGCAAGTCTAGGGAGTTTTAATTATTCTGACCTGAGCTACAGCTGTCACAGGTTTACTGTATATATTGTCACCATGTACACTATGCGGCCAGTATAACATGTGGCAGACGTACCTTCTTCTTTCACACAAAAACAGCTTTGGCAGATAAATTGATGCCACGTTCTCCATTTCTCTACATAGTGTTTTCTCCTCCTCTCATAGTCCAAATACAGGCAGGTTAGGTGAGTTTGTGACTGTATTGTAGGTGAGAACGCATTTGTCTGTCTGTATGAGTTAGTCCTGTGATAGACTGGCGATTGGCGAAGGTGTGTAGCCTCCAGCCACCATGACCGAGGTGGTGAAAAGGACCAGTGGTTTGGAAATCGTGTACATTAGTCCCAATAATTAAAAAAAAATAAAAATTAACTTGGAAGGCATTGGTACTGATGGGAAAAACTGTAAAAGTATTATTTAAGTGTTTTTATGTATTTTCTTATGTGCGATTCTTAGCAAAATAAGCTAATAAATATAGATCCACCGGGCCGCTAATGCCCTGAACTTCACAGAGCTGGGCACTAACACAAAACTGATACAGAAACGCTGTTCATCAAAATAATCTGACCCAGCAGGTCTTGACTGCGAACCTAATAACGTCATCGTAAACTCAAACCACACTATTTCAAAACACACACAGATGAGCATGTGCAAACACACGCCCTTGGTGTAAATCCTGGAACCATCTGTTACTTGGCAGCCAGGCATCCAGTTCTACTGACTGTGCCTCTGTGTGTGTGTGTGTGTGTGTGTGTGTGTGTGTGTGTGTGTGTGTGTGTGTGTGTGTGACATTATGACCAGGACGTTCGACTGTTGGGAGTGGGAGGGGTCACTGACAGGCCATTGTGACAATGTGACAGAAAAGTCAGTCAGCACTTTTCTCAAAAACAGAAGTATTTCCATGATGAATCTCCCAATGATCCAAATCAGCCAACCAACACACACCAAGTGGAGACTGATTTCTGAGGGAGTAAACTGCGTTGTGTGAAGTGAAGAAAACATTTTTCTCTAAATTGCGTGCTCTATAGTGAGGACTTGTAATTTTGGACACCTATTTGTAATCATTTTGCATCAACACTGTCACACTGTAGTAGTGATGCCCAACTGTAATTCACACATTTGTTGACTTAAAGGCAAGCATTGGGGTGTGCCATATCATATTGTCCGTGATAATAGTGTGGTGATAATGTGATAAAGATTGCAAATATTTTGATAGGTTGAATTATTTATGTCATGACTATATGCAGTACAGCTGCAACAGGCAAAATTCATGCTGCTGCCGCAAGCATATTTGATGCAGGGCACCAAAAATACCTTGCAATAACATGATATTATTCTGAGGCAAAATCCACTGAGGGAATTTTAGGAGCATTACAAAATATATACATTTTATATTTAGAAATCAGACACTCAAATAAAATGGCAGAAGGGAACTACAGTGCACTGTATTTAAGAAGCGCATTCAGACACAACTTTGTTGATACATTCAAAGACAAATCACTGTTTACAATAATGCAAATAAAGGTGAAAATGCATGTTTTTATCCTATACATTTGATAGTGTAAGCTGTAAACATCTGTCATGTGGTCCAATTTAAGAACCCCGAATTATTGATGCACTATGATCTTTACGCTTGCTGTGTAAAGAAAAAGAAACGCTTCAAAACAGCAAACAAAACACTTAAAAAAACTGCTGGCTGATGCGGCCTAGAGAGCCTCAGTGGAAGTGATGTGCATGTTTTGCAGTTTCTAAAAGCATGAACGTGGACATAAGATGCTCATAAAACAACTTTGGAAAATATCTTAGGTGACCCATTACCTTCCTTCAGAGCTTTGTCCACGTTGTGCGACACCACCACCCTCTTGCTCTGGTTTGACTCCTGAAGTGGCACCAAAAAACGGGCCTGAAAAACAACAAGTGTATCAGATCACACCCCTTCATTTCCCATCACAGATGGCGGGGACGACAGCATGAAATCAGGAAATATTGGGCAACAACAGGAAACGAAGGAAGAGGAGATTGAGAGCTGTGCCTCCAACAAGCCTAAAATTGTCACAAACAAGGCAGCGCACATTTTTCACAGCTCATACAACATGTCGACCAGACAAATGCTTGTGACAATAGTCCTCCACTGTCGGCATCAATAAGTCATCAGTGCACCGCAGCAAACAAACACTACTGAAAGGCAGGCAGCCGCTGGGCTGTGGCAGCCTGTTAAAGCAAACCAAGAGCCAATCGCTTTCCTTGCAGAATAAATCACCCTATATGCGTGTGTGTCTAAATCCAGCAGCATGACTGTGCCTCATCTATTATTGAACAACACAGTGAAGATCAGGAGGGTGGGCGGGGAGAGAAGATGGGAGAGTGATGGGGAGGGGAATAATTGAGGAGGTGTGGGGGATGCAGGGGACAGTTGGGGATGCAAAAATGAGAAACATCAAATGTAGACGTGCTCAACCTTTTTTGAGATTTGGCTGTTAGGTGTGTACCCCCAGTCTACTGGAATAAATGTTAGATCTGACAGAGTGTCATTAGATACCAGTAGAATTTGGCAGTGTTTCTGTCTATCAGTGCATTCCAGCTGTTGGTTATAATTCAGTAGAGTGTTGTTCTTATGTAATTTCATACAGGACTGGCAGAGTGTGTGCATGCTGCCAAAGGTGCACAATATGAGAGGGATGAGTTTAAACTAGAAGAAAGCAGTCTCTTACCATGAGCTTGTTGAAGAACTCCAGCCGGACAGTCGACTGCCTCCTGTGTCTGTGAAAGCTGTTGACTTTGAGAGGACTCTTCCTGACTAGCAGGACAAAGCTGCCGGCCAGGAAACAAAGCAGGGCGAAGGACACATAGATGAACAACTTCAAGAAGAAAGAGGTGAGAGTCAGGCCTCCACAAGCCAGGTTGAACACTACTGCTGCCACCACGCCCAGGCAGAAAGCCGGGACGAACCGGAAAGAGGAGCCGACAGAAGAGGCGTGGGTGGCAGACATGGGCCCCTCTTCTCCTCCGATGCTGCTACTCCCTCGAGCCAGGGGTGTAGTGGTAGTTGAGGGGGTGGGCATACTGCGACCCCACCATCCATACACGCGTAACTGCTAGTTAGACTGAAAAGTTGGTCCGCAAGTCTATATACCAAGTCAGAGAGGTAGGTGTACTGTGTATACTCGTGTATACCCTCAACTACAGCACTGTCTCCAAGACGAGGCATTCCCGCTCTGACATCTCCTCTCCGACCCGCACCGCTATGTTTCCCACGCTCCTAGCATCGGCCCGCCCGGCGGCCACAGGCACGGAGCCCCGCCAGCTTATTCATCCAGAACACGACCCTCCGGACAACGGAACACGCCGCCGAGCTTGTCCTGGAATTAGTGATAGGAGCTGACAGCCGCCCAGAAAGCAGACGGAGGGAGACCCGCGGTGATGGGAGGGATGGAGGAACATCCGCCGTCACCTTGGAGACAAATAGGTGAAAGGGTAGCTTAGCTAACCTACAGGGCTAACAGGAAGCTAAACTAGGAGGCCAAAAGAAGTTAGTGTACCCTTCTTTAAAACATGAAAATGCATTAATTGCACAGTAAGAGTCAGCAATAATCTCGAATTACTGTATGGTTTGGCTGCTATGACAACTGCATTATCGACTAGCTAGCTAACTAGCTTATTTGCTAAGAAACGTTAACCCATTCAACGTCAGCTACTGTTAGCTTCCTTAACTTACCTTTTAAAATAAAAAAGGTAACAACGCTACATTCTCGCTTTGCTCTCTGTAAAAGAACGCATCGGGTGCTTTGCAATGGCGAACTAAAAGTCTTGGAAACACCACGCCGAAATATGTCAGGTCCAAAATCCCCGACAGATGAAAACAAGCGACTGTTATTTACCTCGAGCTCCAGCTGACTGACAATCTCTTTGAAAGTGAGAGGGTGGCAGCCAATCAGCGCTTGTGTTCGCCGCGGTGGGTGCGCCTGTTTTAGTAAGCGCGGCAACCCGAGTGGACGGAGTGCTTTGTTTGGACGCTGGTGTGGATGCACTGGGAAAAATATGAACCAACTGGGCAGCCACAGATTGTAATCAAACACACAAGGTGATAAAGGATTTGTTTGACGATTGATTTTTCTTTGAGAGACTGGTTTAAATGGCTGCCTGGAAATATAAAATATCTGCTTTCCGTTTGTGGTGTCATAAATGTTTAATAGCTAAACAATGTGAAATGATGTCACTCTGGACATCTACTGGATATTGTTTCTTGTTCACTTTATCTCTATTTTTGTAAAAAAATAAATAATAATAATAAAAAAAAATTCATATTCAAATAAAATAAAAATAAAAATTATTAAAGTAGAAAACCTGTGACTGACAGAAAAATGATTGGCCATTACTAATCCACAAAGACTTGATGTTCATAAAGGAAACTATATGAATGAAACTGTTTTTTCTTCATCTCCTAATCTATGAATTTATAATCAAATGTATTAATAGCAGCATATTACTTTTCAGTAGATTAAACATTACGACAGATAAATCCAATTTTTAATGTTCATTTTGGATTACTGACATGCATGGATTTGCAAAAACAAATGTATATGCATTACTTAGTGTGGCTCTGCTCTACATTTAGCCAATGTAGTAGGCCCTACTCTTCAAATATTAAATTATTCGAGCATTACATCCCGTCTCTGAATGAGCTTTCTGGGACACTGACACATGAGTAGCACATTAAGTGTGCAAAAGCCTTTAAAATATAGATATCCTTGACTGTGTAATTGTTACAATTGGTGAGGTATAAAAGGTGATCATGCAAGAATATGAAATAATTCAGTGGACAAGAGGAAGTGTTTCCTTGTTTTTATTTATGAATCATGGTTATAATCCAAATGGCAGGGAGATAAAGCTGGATGTATGTTCCCAAGAAGAGTTGTTAATAATAACCTGTACGTGTGATATGAAGTACAGAGTTTACTAAAACCCTAAAAGGAATTCTTTATAGTTATATGGTTTTCCCCTCAAGTAACATATATTGTTGTGTACAGTCCTGTGTTTTCAGTCATGTAAAAGCCTACCACGTTCCTGGTCCATATTCGGAAAATGTAACAGATTTTTTATTCAAGTTTAGTCCTTAAAACAGATAAAGTAATTAATGAAGTGATTTTAACATTCATGTGGATTTTGACAATCACAGCCTTAGTACTGCGTTTATCTCATTATTAGACTGGATGGGCTTCTGTCAGAGTGTTCATAAACCCAGTCACTGTTTTAACCACACCCTCAACCTTGTTCAGGCTTATGGCATGAAATTGAACATTTAATAGTCTTTCCACAGAATCATATTTTATCTGACCACTGTTTAATATCTTTTGAGTTCCTATTGCTGAACTACGCACCCTTAGGCAGAAATTCCTATTCTAGATGTCCCTCTGATAATGCTGTAGCTAAATTTACAGAAGTGATTGCGTCTTCATTTAATTCAATACCATGTGTCAACATAACAGAGAACTGTTATGCTAACTTCAGTCCCTCCCATATTGATCATCTTGTTAATAGTGCTGCTGGCTCACTGCAAATGATACTCGATTTAGTTGCCCCTCTAAAAAAGAAGATATTGAATATTTGTAGCCACAGGCAGAATTCTTATATTTCAGTTGCTTATGTTAAAACAGCACATAGCAGTTGGGCAAACTCCCAGTACCGCACTCAGCTGCTCTTTTTTATAATTTTTAACACTAACCGTTCTTGTTACAGACATTTTCAAGGACATGATAATGGCTCCTTTCATCGCCTTCAGTCCAATCTTTCTGCCTGTGTCAGGCACACACTGATTCCTCCACCAAAACAGACATTTGTCTGTGTTACTTCCTCTTGCAACATTCATGTCTCCTAAACAGGCAAAAAGTTTCACAAGTCCCCTTACAAGTATGTCTTTAAAGATTTTACTATGTTGTTGAAATTTGATTGAGATAATCTTTAGCTCATAAATGCTATATTACTCGACTTAGTTACTGCCACATTCCTCCATCCAGATACAATCTGATAGCACAGAATATTTGTCACCATGTGTCAATGGGGTTGATTAGTGCTTAGTGTGCAAACAAGTCCTCGTGGGATTTGAGAGGATAATAAAAATAGATTTATGTTTAAAGGGTAATTTTGGGAATTTTACCCTGTGCCCCATTTTCACATATTTTTGGTGTAAAACTGATTAGTAGGTACAGTTTTGGAATCCATGCAGTAGATGTCTTCAGCTGACTGGCACGATCCGGTTGCAGTGGCTGCAACGTATTTCTCCACCAAAAGTGATGGGCTCAGACTGTTACACAAGGTGTCTAACAACATCATGGAAAGGATCCTTGCAAGTGGTTTTAAAAGGAAACTGAAGTATTGATCAAGGTCAAATCTTGCTCTGAATTCTCGTGAGTATTGAGGTGTTGCAGGAAGACAACAGTGGAAAGGTTCTTTTCATGATGTTGTTAGATACCTCACATAACAGACTGAGCCTGTCAGTGGCAATCAAAAGCACTTTTTGTAAACGTAATTTTGACAGGAGCAATTGCCTCAGAGGAATATGTTGCTGCTGGCTGAAGCCATCTACTGCATTTATTCCAAAACCTTTTGTATTTAATAGTCATTTACACAGCAAAACATGTGAAAATAGGGGCCAGGTTTAAAAATACTACAATAATCCCATTAGGTTTGTTTTTTGATTTTTGAAATTTGATTTCACACCAATTAATACATGTTTGCCAAGCTGTTTCTTCCCAAAATACTGAAGCCAAGAAGACGTGATATCTGCTCGTGTCTGATCTAGGCAGGTGGTTTGCTATGAACAGCATTGGGGTCATCAGTGGGGTCAGTTGTGAAGTCGCTGGGCCGCAGCTTCATCATGCTGGTCTTCAGGGAGTACCACCATCCTCTCCAACTGTACCAGACTACACCATCATCTGTCAATGCACTGTAGTGCCCATTGGGGTAGTACATGCCATTCAGATGGGCTGAGTGACACCTGTAGAAAGATAGCATGAAGAGAAAGAATATTTAGTCATTTTTTATTTTATGAATGACTGTGTTTAAGATTGTAACTGTGAATGCAGATGTTGCATCTATGTGCATCTTCCAGGGGAAGGGCAGATTCTCGTATCATGAAGCCCGTACTTGTTGAACCACCAGCCTCCTTTGTCTTCCTGGGCACAGTTTCCTTTGTAGTTATCATTGTCTTGGTCATAGGTGCTGAATTTCATGCCTTGGTGACTGGCCCACACTGACACATCAGCCCGATCACTTCCAGACATAGCATCTCCCGCTGTACCTACATAGGCTCCAAAGGTAAGTCGGTAGTGATCCTGCAGAGAGAAACGAGGAGATCAGGGTCAACTTGCATGAGCTTCAAAATGACAGGATGGAAGGAATAGTTTGTCATTTTGGAAAATGCTCTTAGTCACTTTCTTGTGGAGTGTTAGATGAGAAAATCAATACCAATCTCATGTCCTGCCAAAAAAAGTAGCCTATTAGATCTTCACTACCAGTAAACCGAAAGGGATTACAGGGATTAGGAAAAAATGTATAAGGTGTCGTGTACTGTGCTGTGCACTGAGCTTTAGACGTGTTGGAAGGTGGATTTTTTTTGGCTTTGGACAGAGCCAGACTAGCTGTTTCCTCGTTTCCAGTCAGTTATGCTAAGCTAAGCTAACCAGACTACTGGCTGGAGGACAGACATGAAAGTACAATCAATCTTCTCATTTAATTCTCAGCAAGAAAGCAAATCATTTCCCCCAATGGTGACAATTCCTTTAACCACCCCCCGCCCACCCCAATATTTTAGGGGTCAGTTAGCATTATCACCTTTTCATTGGCCAATTTAAAGTTCTTGTACTCTGCATAGCGTTGATAGCCGTCAAAGTCTTCCAGGTTAATCCTCAGAGAATAATTCCCTGTAACAGACATACAATAAAAAGCCTCCTGAAAATAACAAACCATAATCTATCAACACAAGAAGAAGAAATGTTTTCTGTATGTTTTTTGGCAATGTGGGAGCATCAGAACAAGCTGTAAACAACACTGCTGAACATGTTAGCAAACAGTTGACTATTTACACATCCAACAGACACGGAGCAAGGACTCATGTGGAGTCATGTTTCTGGCAACATGACGAAAGTCCAATATTCACTCTGATCCTAGCTCTGTTTGGTCCCCTCTAACTCCTGAGAAATATATCTGGGTCTTTAGCCCCTAAGTGCTCCACTTTTTTTTACACCAGCTAGTGGCTAACCATAGTGGCTAACTTGGTCTGTGTGCTGCCTCCTGCTGTTGGTGGCAGTGAGGGTGATGAGAGCAAAACAGTAAGAAAAAGCTAAACAATTGGCTGACAGGCACTAAAACGCTCAGTAAGAGCTGAGAGGAACTGCAGAGTGGGTAATCATTATCTGTGGGTTTATCACTATGAGCGCCGCCTCTCATATTACACACAGTCATTTGATCCATGGACAATATATAGTATAAATATATTGATTAGAACAGCTTTAAGTTTTTTAAATTTTGTAAACGTTTCTCAGAAGCAGTATTGACCTTGTGTAGTGATGTAATGCAGGTTGTCATTTCCGAGCCAAAATTCTGCATTCAAGTCTCCAAAGCCATCCTTGTACTCTGCCCATGACCTGATAGATAGATAGATAGATAGATAGATAGATAGATAGATAGATACATACATACATACATACATACATACATACATACATTCATACATACATACATACATATATACATAGATACATGGGATTGCTTTTTATATGATTTCATTATTTGACACTAATATTTATTAGACGTCACAGACACACCTGTTAAACCTCTCTGTTCCATTGATCCGTCTCTGAAGGACAATCCAACCACCTCCATCACTCATATCACAGTAGACTCTGACTGGATGAGGGCTGCCATGGGGCTTGATTATGTAGAGACCACTCGATTTGGAGCCAGAATTGAAGAGCTGGGAGCAGTCTGACACACACACACACACACACACACACACACACACACATACACACATACAAATACACACTCTATACTTGGTACATCATCTGGTTCCTGTTAATGCAATATGAAATCTGAAACTGATGTTTTCAACTTAGTTTTCAAATGTTGTTTTTCCAGTCGTGAGGCCGTGGCCCTGACCTGTGTATTGTATGTCCTGGCTCTGGTTGGATCTGGCTTTGTCCTCCTTGCCAGGTTGGTTCAGCAGTTGTAGTCTGTGTAGGAGGAGTTCTTGTTTCTGAAGCTGGCCCTGCAGAAGCTTCTTGTGTTCCCACAGACGAGCCACCTCCTCACTGCAAGTGTCTGACGCCTACACACACATTTGGATTGCTATACTTGTGAGAATCTTCACTTACAGTATATACACTCCCTAACGCAGTGATACATATTGATTAAAGAAAGCTATATGCAGAAAACTACAGTATTTCTTCTTCTTTCTTACATTTCAAATTAAATCACTATTATTTGATCTGTAAAGTACTGGTACTTTCTCCAAGGAGAGGCGAGCTTAGCTTAGGTTAGATTAGCTTGAAAGAGGGGGAAACAGCTGGCTCTGTCCAAAGGGAACAAAATCAGCCTGCCAACACCTCTAAAGATCACTAAGCATCATATTATATATTGTGTGTTTAATTCGTACAAAAAATAGGGTAAAAACTTTAAGTGACTATTTCTTGGCTGGGAACAGTGACTTCTTTGCAGTGATTAACGAAAACAAACAAGATTTACCATTAGTGAACTTTAAAGATGCTAACAGGAAGATTGAGGTATCTTTAGAAAGAGCCATCTGTTTCCACTGTCTTTATGCTAAGATAAGCTAAGCAGCTGCTGGCTCTAGCTTCATATTCAGTGTACAGATATGAGAGTGGTACCAATTTTATCCTTTAGCTCTCAGCAAGACTGCGAATCAGTATATTTCCACAAATGTTAAGAGACATTGAGCCAAAATGTTCTTACTTTAGAAGTTTTTCATGACTTGCAATGTGGTGTTCACAAGCACAGAAATAAAAGAACTCCCTGACACAAAGAAATCACACCTACCATTGACAGGATATGTTTAACTATCCCCATTGTTGTTAAAACAGGGTGAATATTTAAATAGAAACTAAGCTTGGACAAAGTAACATCCACCATTTATCACTTTCACTGGAATTTGTCTTGCATGTGAAATTCATAAAGTAGAATAAAATAGGTAAAGTTTCATAAAGTAAATTAACAATTCTCTCAGCCACCTCTTTCCAAATGTACTCAAAATGCTAATCAGACCTGCCTAAATTCATCAACACTAATTTTTAAGTGGTGGAAGAAGTATTCAGATCCTTTACTTAAGTAAACACTGTGAAAATATTCCTACAAGTAATTGTCCAGTCTTCAAAACCTTACTTAATTAAAAATAAGTATTATCAACAAAATTTGGAGACACATAGTTTTCACTGGATAGGAAGGGCATAAAGAATTGTAATCTGAAAAGTAATTAGTAACTAAAGCTTTCAGACAAATGTAGTACATTTGCCACTGAGATGTGTTGAAGTACAGTACCTTAATAAATATACTTAGTTACATTCCATCACTGATCATAACATGTTTCCAGATATAAAAAATAAACACATTTTCATAAGCATACAATAAATGACTTGAAACATTCCTGTATTAAGTAGCAAAGCAGCCTGACTGATTGTTTGCAGAGTACTTACATGGAGACATTGAAAGCAAGCTGTGATGACCATCAGTCTTGTGAGCAGCAGCAGTGGGCCTTCCATCCTCTTCTTTTTTAGACAGCACAAAACTAAAAGCTCAGACGTCAAAAGACTTCCACTTGTCAGAGTTTAGTTGAATCTGGTCACAGAGAGCACAGTTAGAATCTTGAAATGCTCCCCACACCTGGATCCAAAGAAAGATGTTTTCAAGGAGAAGGAGAAAATACCAGATTCTCTACAGTCATAAAGTATAGAAAATATGCAGGGAGTGTCGAGAACAGATGCACACACAGATGCCAAAAGGAAGACAGACTTTGTTGATTCCAAACTGGGGAAATTCACAAGTAGCCACACTTTCGGGAAAATCTTTTTTTGTTGAATGGAGTAAAGAGATATGGCATATCTAATTAATAGAAGGTAATAAAATAAAAAACTATAATCATATTCCTCTACAAACATTTGCATTTGATCAGAGGAGACCATGCCAAAAGTGAAACAACTGTTCCTCAGCATCCCCGAATCTCTCTCCTTTTGTCTGTGATCTGCCGTCTGTCTGGCCCTCCCTTTTTCTCATTCCTCTCGTCTGTTCTCCGCTTGCCAGCTCTTTGATTTTTCTTTCCTTTAATGGCCAATTATCCAGCCGTAGTATTGTCATTGAGTGTCATTAAAAGACTTGGGTAGTCATTTTGTTGATGAGCTGTATCTTGCCATTTCAAATAAATGTGAGCAGCTGAATACCACTGCAGGTCAGCCCTGAACAAAGCATGAAGACGCAGTGCAGAGGGAGACATTTTAGCTCAAAGGATCACACAGGAACTTTTGTGAAAAATGTGGCTGTTGCTGATGATGATTAACGTTGATTCGTTGCCGTTCCAAAAGTCTTTGACATATTGGTATTTGCTATCACACAGCAGGTGTACATTTTGGGAAATAGACTTCTCTTTCTTGCTGAGACTTGGATGACCCCTCTCATGTCTGTACGGTTAATATGTAACAACAGCAAGGAGCTGGTTATACCAGCTTAGCATAAAGACAAGACTTGAGAATGCTGCTGCTCCCAGTCGAGACAAAATCCTGCACATAACTCCGGAGACGGTCTAGCTGTTTCCCCATGTCCTGTCTTTTTGCTATACGAACCTAACCAGGTGCTGACAGTAGCTTTTTAGGTATAGACGTGAGAGTGGTGTTAATTCTTGATAGCCCTAAAATGGAAAGAAGCATATTTCAAACTATGTCTAACAATTCCTTTAACAAAATATCAAAACTATCCTTTATTATTATCCATTCATGGTATCCATCTAGATGTTTCAATGATGTCACAATCCATATAAACAATTACTAAAGACAAGTATCATTCTTATGCCCGGTTACAGTCTATTGTGTATATGTGGAGGTCACTATCAGATCCTGACTATGATAAAACAAACAAAACCATTTTGTGTGAAAGGGCGCGTTTTATTAGCGTCAAATGACTGTTCACACTAAAAGTGGCACATTCTATGGGAACAATTAGAAATATGTAAAAATAAAAAATTATATGTATAAATAATTATAATGTGACTTTTCTGACATTGTTAATTAAACAAAACCATAATACAATCTGTAGTTCATTCCTCAGGCATTGTTGTGTTTACACGGTGTCATTTTATCCAGCCATCAGTACGACTGGGCAGAGATGTGATCGCTCAGCATCCTCTTGCGAGCTGGTATTGCTTCCCTCTCCTGAGGTTGTTGCACTGATCAGTGATCCTACCCAAAAACACACACACACACACACACACAAACATTCACAATCAGTTTTCATTACCCACAGTATCAAGGACCCGCTCAAAGGCACTGTAACAACACTGGACTTCTGGACTTAATCACAGATTTAATCACTGATGACATAAAAAGTCTGCGTGGTTCCAACAGAAAATTCAGTGTACGGATGGTTAAGCCCTTAAAGGGATAAAACTAAAGGGCTGGTGTTGTCAGACATTGCAGCCAAAAATTGCAAAACTAAAACTTTATCTCAACCCAAACAGAGCATTTGTGTTATTAGTTTTCCAGTTTTTTGTCTGACCTCTTCACCAGACATTTCCTGGATTCTGCTGCTTTTTGTTGTGTGTGCCTGAACAAAATGTGCTCATGGGTTATTTATTTATAAAATTAGCTACTTTAAAGCCGTTCCCTTCAGTCATACATACTTACCACATTAAGACTGGAAACCACCAAATACTTCCCATCCTCTCCATCACACAATCAATCTCTGTGATTCATCAGCAGGCTACTGTCTGTTGAGTCTCACCTTCAGGTCTAAGTCAGACTTCCCCTGGTTACCTTGGGTGTCTCTTCTCCTTGTCACAGCACTGTCAGTTTTTCCTGAACAGAGAAGAGAAGAGTGCTGCTGCACAACCACTGCCAATAATACCATTACTGCTACCACCACTTTCATTTCCACCATTATTATTACCAGCTGGAGTAATACAGCTGCTGATGTAGCACTTCTACCACTCATTACCTTTGGTATCCACTGTGCGCTCTGGGATCTCCAGATCATCTGGTTGAGCATCGTCAGATTTCTTATAGTAATACTGTTGATCAGGAGGCCCAAACCTCTACATGCAAACACACACACACATGATTTGACTGAGGAGGTGGCTTCTATTGGTGGGCAATAACACACACAAATCCGCACACACGTACATGCATAAACAAGCATTATTCTACCTTGTCAGGCCACATGAAGCTAATGAAGAGAATGACAGGAAGTCCAACAGTGAAGACATAGACACTCCAGAGCCAGGGACGCTGCTGGGTGGCCAATAGGAGGCTCTCTATGATGCCTGGCTACAATACAAATAGACAGATAGTGTCACGATCCTGTCCTGAGTGCTGTGTTTTTGGGTTTTGATTCTGGGGGTTTGGTTTTGTATCTGCATGTTAGTCCTGTCATCTGTTCCGTTTAGTTCTCTGTGAGTTTATTCTTTTATCAGTTAGGTATCTGTCCTTTAGTCAGTTTGGGTTTCAGTCCTGTCTGTTGTCTTGTGTCTAGTTTACTCTATGTTTTGATTTTGGTTTCTCTGGGTTTTGGTTTCATGTCTTAGTGTTACTCCTGGTCTGTGTACTTCTGTGTAGGTTGTTATTTGTTTGCCCCGTGTCTGCTCTGTGTTCTGTTATTAGTTCAGTCTGTTCTCCCTGTTACGTCTGTAGTCTGTCGGTATGATTAGGTTTTAGTCTATTGTATGTTTCCTCTCTTGTGTCAGTTGCCTGTGCCTTAAGTTCTGTTCATGTTTGAATTTGTGCCGGCCTAAGTTCTTGTCTTATTCTGTTTCGATCTGGTGTTTGTTTCATGCTCAGTTTTTGCATGCCTGTCAAGTGTTGTCTGTTCCCCCTGTTATCACTCTGCCTGCCTGTCTCTCTGTTTCCCCCTGCTGTCTCTCTGCCTGCCTGCCTGCCTACCTCCTTAACCTTGATGCCTATCACCTGTTTTGCTCCCGCCCTGCTTGTAAGTTCCTGTGTATATATGCCTGGTGTTTCTGTTCAGTCTCTGTCTGGTCATTGTAGTGTGACTACGCTCTGTTTTGTCTCGTGTTTGGAGTGTTCTGCCTGTCTCTGTGTTGCCTGATTCTTCTGTTTGGACTTCTTACACCCAAACTTGCATTTTTGTGTTTTTTGGATTCACATATGTACACCTTTTGTCAACTCTCCAGTGTCTTGCGTTTGGGCTCTCTCCTGTTTGCACTTCATCCAAATTTGTGACAGATAGTGTACGTCACTTGATAAATGGCATTAAGTCAAAGGTCTAAACTACAGTGCCTGGATAATAATACCATGACCACACAATGAATGTGATAGAAAACCTAGGAAATAATTAGAATAAGAGATGAAGAGAGAATATACTCTGTTTTATAATAATAAGTTAAATATGAAGTCAGTATGCAAAACAAATTGAACCATTGTATCTTTTCCTAACAGTGATTAACAGACTTACTTCAATAGCAATAGGAGCAGGTCTTACCTGTGCTGCAGCAGACGCTGGTGTCACACTAGCTACCAGCATCATGCACAGCAACACAAAGCTGATCTCCATGTCTGGAACACAAACCTGCATGCACACACATTCATGCAAGTTTGTGCACTAAGTTACAGCCACACACAAAGATGTCCGCATACACACAGTAACAGTCAATGTGCTGCACGTATACACATGCACACACAATGTGAAACCCATTCAGATAAGTTCACATTCAAAGATCCTCAATGAGGAGCGGCAGGGGGAAAAAAAGGTTTTCTATTGTTGCTTCCTGGCTAGGTCTATTACATGACTGCAAAGATCAGACTGGGAGAGAAAGGACACAAAAGGAGAGAAAGAAGACAACAGACACAGGAACACTTCTGAGGAAAGGAAATAAAAACTAGATGCAAGGAAAGAAACATGCACACACAAGGGGACAAAAAAACAAACAAAGACTAAAAAAAGGAAAGAGAAAGAAGTGAGAGTAAAAGTAAGAGAAGCAAAGAGGAAGCTACAGAGGACTCAGCAGTGGGTTTCTACCTTTTTAACACTGTGATTTCTCAGTTTCCACTCGTTCCTTAAAATTCACTTCCTGAAATCCTAAACTCGTGATGTTGAACTTTGTTCCCAAGTCACTTGCTGACATGGCTGCAGAGCATGCAGCGGCCACATTAGAGGGGTGTGATGTGCTTATTCACAGACACACACACTGACACGGCCTTCCATGATTCTACAGTAGTTGTGTTGTATGTAATTTATCATGCCCATTACTTAATAGTATTGTAATAATAAAGCTGCTGATGTATCATGAAGTAAAGAGATTTATTATAGTTTCACAAGGAGCAAAAAATCATTTAGAAACAATCTGCAAAGCAGAAATAGATTCAATATATCAAAAAAGAGAAAGTTCATTTTTATGTAAAGTCCACTTTGCTGAAGAAAAATATTACTGTAATTTATATTAATTTAATTGATTTTGTTATTTCAGCTGCATTCATTAAGGCTATAAGGGTTGTGATCTTCAGCAGTCAGTACAACATTAAAAAAAACATTCTCTGCATTTTTATTTTCAATTAGAGTGGATGAGCTGTGAAAAAAAGAAAGAACCGCTTGAGAGAACTTGCAAACCCCAATAGAAACTCTAAACATGCTAAACTATTCCTTTAAACTAAAAACACTTTGTATGCTGTGTGATAGTTTAAGCAGTGTGTATGCGCACTGATTTTTATTTAGGTAGTTTGTGATGTTCCCATAGATAAATAGAACAACTTCCTGGACATGTGAAGTTAAAGCTGCTTTGATACCATATTCAGTTCTCACAGCAGGCATGTAATCATATTCATAGTGATTCTTTGCCCCCTAGTGGAAAAAGACATTGTTGAAGACACCTCTTGAGACACGAGTCAAGTGGACAGATTTTTGGCCTAATGAGTAATGTTCCCATAGTAGTGTAGTGGTTAATATCTGTGTCAGCCATGAATTCCTGTGTAAATCCTCCTCTTCAGCCAAAGCATTAGTGATTGGCTCAATGTGTTAATGTATTTTTTACTATTGTCTAAATTGAGTGTCTGCAACCTTTGAATTTGTTTGTTGGTTTAAATGTCTGAAGATTCTCAGTCATCCAGTACAAAGGTTGGTTAAAATTAAGGGCAACTGGACTTGGTTGAAAATACCTGAAGACATTTCACCTCTCATCCAAGAGGCTTCTTTAGTTGCTTTAAATGTTTTTTTCCCCCCTATGCACTTTTATATATAGTACTATGAGCTGTATTTAATGATGAATATACACCTGAAGTTAATTAAATGTACACCAATTGGTTCTTATTCTCCTTCAGTAAGGTAAGGAGGGAGAAAGTTAAAATTAAGACATGGAGACAGCTTCAAAATCAAATAAACACATTTTACACTGAATTATGTCAAATAGTCAGACAGTTAATGTCATACTAAATGAGGTTTATGGTGTTATCTTTTGCACTTCAATATTTATGAATAAATAAAAGTATAAATAAATGTCTGGTGCACACTAGAGGATTTTCAAATCCTAACAGATTTTAAAAACGTGTACCACAGACATAACACACATTTTAATATTTCAATCTCAAGAACACACACACACACCAGTCAAGACGCAGCACCACACACTTGGCGTTTAAACTAAACGATTGCAGTGTGGCGATTCCAGGGACCCGGGATCTCACAGAAACCCTGCTGCCGTCGTCAGCTAGTTGCACTTGCACTGTGTTTTGCGCAGAAAAACAAACTAAGAGAATAAATCTGTGGATGAACCGATGAACTCATGGCTGAGAAGACGACATCAGCATGGTTTATACATTTAATAGCGCAAGAAAATACACAATTGGTGACGCCTCCCGCTCAGCTAGTTGTAAATGTTTGATGTTTATAATTCAAAATCGTGGTGTCTCCAATCAGAAACCCGAAACATCCAATGAGAACAAGCTGACTGGGAAGCTTCACCAACATGTTGTGTTGTGCTCGCACTTTAAAATACACTGTGCTGACCTAAGATTGTGTCTGTAAAGCCCTCACACTACAGGATAATTTGGGTCCATAATCTGTTCTGACCTCGGGTCAGGAACAATGACATGTGCTTTTCCATACATTTCTGTAGTTTGAGTATGCGTTCAGAACCGGATGTTGATTTCACTGCGCACGCCATCACCGCCAGAAACACTCTCGTTGCTGTCTGACAGGAAGCCGCTGCCTGTGGCTACTGTGGGGATGTTGTGTTCGAGGGTTGTGATTCGCTGTTTCAGTCGAAGCTGGGAAGCGTTGAACTCGCTCTGCAGACGGGCCAAACACGTCTGAAAACAACGTCATCATTAGTTATTATCATTAATGACCGTACCAACAGCAGTAGTAGAAGTGGAATAATGGTACTGACCTGTAGCCGATCCAGACTGGTTTCCAGCCTTTCCACCTTCTCCTCGAGCTCCTCCCCTGCAGACACGTTTACTTCCTCAAGAAGCCCCTCCTTCCGCAGGATGTCCCGCCCCCTCTGCTCCAGCTGGGCCCTGGCGTGGGGGAACTCCTGAAGCGCTTCCATCAGGTCTTGTTTGGAAAGGCAGAACAGGTCTGAGTATCCCAGACTGCGAATGTTAGCCGTACGTCTGTTACCCATCTTGCTGCCGCTGATGTTCAGAATGCTGATTTCGCCGAAGCAGCTTCCTGAGGTCAGAACAGCAAACTGGGTGACTCCATCCTCCCCTACCACTGCCAGCTGGCCATCTTTAATTATGTACATCTCCTTACCTACATCTCCCTTGGGAAAACAGACAACAGAGAATATTAATCAGTATTTTTAACAGCCATACTATCCATTCAACAGAAGAACTGAAAACTAGCCTAATAGCCTACTGTAGGTATAGCACTAGAAGTAATGTAGACTAGAAACAGCACTAAATATACAATTGTAAAATTGCCTTGGAAGATTTAAAGGTACCCTGTGAGGTTTTTGACCACTAGCAGTGCTATGGAGTCGTGTTTTTACTAGTGGGCCCATGTTTTGTTTGCATCATGCATCTGCACAAAGACAGCATACAGAACGATAAAAGACACATTCCTGCTGCCTGTTTCCAGCCATGCCACTGATTGACAGTTGGCAGCAGTAATGTGCAAAGTAGTGTAGCAATGCACCAAGGCCACGAAGAGGGAGACTGAAAACTTGCAGACAGCGTGAACCATGCATAATTTAAAATATACAGCTGTGGAAATGTTTTATGAAGACAATTGCATTCAACACTGGATACGCAACATGCATGCAAACTGTAACGCTCGTTTGCAAGACTCCATAGGGTATCTTAACTACAAGTCATAAAACATGCAGCTGGGTAACTTCCAATAATGAAATAGTGCTTGTGATATTGCTAAATATATCAATGATCAGTTGATGCAGGGAAAGCTAAAGGATAGCTTTAAACCCAGACGGTATTCATCATCCAGATTTGATAGCAGAACATAGCAAAATGAGCATGTCTGGATAGAAGGCTACCTACCAGCTGTCCAGCAATGCATTTACTCTGTTTATGTTGTGTGTAGTTAGTGCCCAGGAGCCGCCCAACAGCTGTGCAGTCATTTTTGGTGTCATGTCTACAATCTGAGGTGCTACAGCTTTTTAGTATAAACAGTACATCCTTTAGAAAAGAACAGGGTATATTCTGAGCATAACAAACATTCAACAGCTACTGTGAGCAGAAAGACTTTGGTCCAGTACATATTTAAATGCCACCATTATATAAAGATATTAGTTATGTGCTATTCATGTGAACAAGATAATAGACACTAATGTCCATGCATTATGGGCACCAAAGTTCGAAGTAAGGGAACATTTTGCAGTGTACCCGCTGGTTGACCAGCTGTTCTTAGAATAAATGGACTGCTATGTTTGGACACCTAATTCCTAGTTTAATACATCCATTACAGTGGTGCTGTAGCAATTGATAATATGTCCTTCAACAGTACCAGTAAAAGTAATACTAACCTTTCTACAGATGTAGTCTCCAGGACTGAAAACCTGCGGTCGAAGTTTTAATACCAATTCTATGAGGAGGCCTGCCTCACAGTCCTGGAAGATGCGCACCTAAGTCCACACACCCACAAACACAATTTATTTTGACTTTGTGATGATGACCTCTACATAAATACATTGCATTAATGGAGTTAAGAGAGATGTATATGGAGCTTTATTGTCTGAGTGTGTTTACCTTCTTCAGTGTGTCCAGGTGAACGTTAATAGCAATCTCTGCTCTCAGTTTATTGGGCAGGCTCCTCAGCACTTCCTGCTCATCTATTGTCTTCTGATTGGTCCAGAGGTAGTCAAACCAGCGAATGACACGCTGCTCTAGCACCTTGCTGACGCTTCTGAAGTGCATGTAGTGTTTCAGGGTGTCTACGCGGCTCTGAAAGGCTGCTCTTGTGGCATTCATATTGGAGATCATGGATCCAACATTACCCACAATGGAGGCAAAAATCAGGACACCGACCTTGGACAGAAATACTAGTATTAGCCATTTTTATAGACTGGAACAATTCCAAATCCACGATATAAGGTTTTTATGAATCATTCAAGGTAAGATAATATGAGCTATTACTATGGACTTACCAGGAAGTCAAATATCAGGAACAAATATTCCTCATCTCTAACAGGAGGAGGTGTTTCTCCGATGGTGGTCAGTGTCAGAGTCGACCAGTACAGACAGTATATGTAACTTCTGGTCAGGGAACCAAACTCAGGATCTGATGCATTGGGATAAACCCAAGAATCAGAGCCCAGTCCCAGGACCTTGGAGAAGCTGTAGTATCCACAGGCATTCCAGTGGATAATCACCAGGATGTACAGAACCAGTTTACAGATGCGGAAAGCGTTGGGGTAGCCCGTTCGTGTCTCTGTACGTTCAAACAACTCAAACAGGCGTGGCAGACGCAGCAGCCGGTTGAATCGAAGAAGGGGAGTGTAGCTGATTCCAACGGTCAGGTACAGGAGGTCAGTTGGAAGAATGGAGCAAATGTCAATTTTACACTGTGGGGTTCGTACGTAGGTTTCCCTCAGACGGCGCACATCTTTCACCATCAAGCCTTGATCCAAGAAACCTACACATACATAATACACATGAATAAATGAGTCAATGTAGGTGTCTCTCAAATGACATATGTATTAGTTAAAACCAAGATCCAATCAAATATTTTCATGTAGTAATGGAAATTAAAATAGAGAGTTTTGACTCATTGTTTAATTGTTTCATTACCTGTGTGGAGACGAACCGCTATATCCAGGATATAGACTCCATCACAAATGTAGTCCAGTACCAGCCACACCAACACATTCCTCATCTGGAGATCATCGAAACAGGCCCTACAGGAACAGGCACCCAGAGACACACTAGCAAATTAAGAAAACAGCACGCTGCACCGAGAAAATGATGAAGAATTAGTAAACAAAAATGACCCTTTGGCCACTGAAATAGCAGTTGGTGCAGTGGTAGTAAAGGTACTATCAGAAACAAGAGTCCACCACTATTAGCAGTATCAGAAGTGGTGCTTTCCACCCTAGCTTGTTCTCTACAAGTCCTGCCTATGCCTCCTCTTTGACATGTGCTTTTCCATACATTTCTGTAGTTTGAGTATGTGTTCAGAACCGGATGTTGATTTCACTGCGCACGCCGTCACCGCCAGAAACACCAAAAACTCACCAAAAACTGGCAAAAACAGCCACATATTTCAGAAAGCTATGGGTGACATCATAATCACATTGCTTTCTATTCAGTGCCAAAGCAGTGCAATAAGTATTACTACAACTGTCACTATTATACACTGAACAAAATTATAAACGCAACAGTTTTGTGTTTGCCCCCAAAGGAGAAGTGCTCACTAACACAGATGTTGACAGATTTGTGCACAATATTTGAGAGAAATAGGCCTTTTGTGTACATAGAGAAAGTCTTAGATCTTTGAGTTCAGCTCATGATGAATGGGGGCAAAAACAAAAAAGTGTTGCGTTTATAATTTTGTTCAGTGTAGTTGCACAGTAATAGTTCCCAACCTGACAACTAGGAGAGTCCAGTTATAAAAAACAGCAGCACCAATCACCAGCAGCCAGTTGTAGTATGCATCATCAGACGGTGATAAGACCACGACTTTACACTTCCTCCTGACAGAGAGGGGTAAAACAACAGAAAGACAGATTTATATGTGTCAGTTGATGTTTAGGCATTGTGTCCTTTGTTTGCTTTCTTACTTGCGTCTGGGGCGTCTGATTTCATTGCCTGCATCAGAGCCAGTAAGACTGTGGCTGAACCTGCTGGGCGGGGCCTGGGTGTCCATTTGGGCGGGGCCTCTAAAACGTTCCAAGAAGGAATCTGGTCGCTCTGTCTCCTCATGTAGACTCTTCTGTGCCCATTCTCTCAGAGTCATCACCATACCAACTATCCTGAGGACAGGTAGACAGAAAAATGGAAAGAGCTTATACTATACGGCACCAATAATTTTAAAGAGTAAAAGCATAAAGTCAACTTGTGTGTCATCAGTGATCATTTATCAGATGTCATACCTGGACAGAGCACCTCGCCCCTGAAAGGAATTCTGGGAATTATTAATCTCTCTTCTGTCGATTGCCGCCATTCTCTGAAGCTCTGAAGAAGTGTCATCACACATCGACTGAGCTCTACACAGATAAACACATCACAAGTACATAAAAAACATAGTTCAGGGACTACTACAATAACAGCAACAAACTCCGTCATTAGATTAAATAGAGTAAAACTTGGATTGATGTCACAATAGCAGACAGTAGGAAAAAAGACAACTGTGATTCTGAAGATTAAAATAGAAATGTACATATGTTCATTATTTAAGTTTTTTTTTTATGACCACTTAGGGGCAGCACAACAAGCAACACAGATTTTCCTCTTGTAAAACTGAGATGGTGAAAGTGTTAACAAACTGTAGCCTATTTACACATCCAGCAACGCTAAGCAACATTAGCATTAATTTGGAGTCATGTTTCTGTCCACCTGATGACTGTGTAAGCCAAATGTTGACTCTTCTTTTAGCACTGCCTTGGTCGCCACCAAGTCTTTAGCGGCTAATTGCTTCGCCATGTTCAATAGCTAGTAACTAACGTTATATGCCATTTGGTGCTGGGGAGGGAGCATACAGTGGTTTATTGAGCTTTTTGGCTGAAAACGGCTTCCTGCTGCTGCTTGCTTTAATGAGGGCTGTGAGACTGAACCAAAACAATAAAGTTGCGGGCCATAAAACCAAAACATTGAGTTGAACGAAGATGAAACGCTCTGTAGAGCTGTGGAGAACCTCAGAGTCGGGTGGCATGTCAGGCCATTTTCATTTCCATGGTGTCAAATAGCTTTGTCACATCCTTTGGCGTCTGGTACCAATGTACATGGCACCTTTTCGTGTCATAGATCAATGCACTGGGGGAAACCCTTTAGGGGCATTGTTCAATGCTAAAAGTACTACTATAAATGGAACAGTGTCCATTTCCTGTGTGAAACAAAGTCAGCACTGATTCCTTTAAGTGATAAATACTTAAATTGCGTTACTTAACTTACATAATTTAAGTCACGTAACGTAGTTATCTTAAACCCTGTAGTTATCTTAACCCAAACCAAGTAGCACTGTTGCCTAAACCTAACCAAACTGCAACGTTTTACACGGTAACAAAGTGCCATTTCACAATGATAGCCACTAGCTTTATTTTGAAAATCTAACCGGATGTTGCATTATTATTCTAGCTGACTTGACCTCAAAGCCCTAAACAAACAAAAGCAACACTAATGGGTACACAGGGCTTTTTAATAAATGGTGTTGACAAAGCGTCCATACATGACGCCCTGGGATGAGAATGGGTTCGGCTGGTATTTCTGTAGGTTTATCATTACCGGCAACACCTCCTCCCCCAGTGTTAATATAAAATATTAATTATTGGTGCAGCTTTAAATACGACTTTTTTATGTACAAAAGTGTATATCAAATATTTTAAACGAATCATCAAATATGTATCATCTAACAATATACACAAAACTATAATCTTAACATGTAAAACTGAACTATGCAACACAAAATTGAAAAGACTGAACTGCCCAATGCAGTATCAGTCTACTATGACTGAATGACAGACACTTACTGTTGTCATTAAAACCCTCTCGGTCCTCAGTGGTGATCGGTTGGGTCACAGAGCTTTCAGGCAGGCCAGTAGGCTGTTGTCTAATGGTTTGTGATTAATGTGTAATTTCAAGTAATAACTAAATTGTAATCTCAAATTTGGATAATAAAGATTTAATTCTCAGAAGATGCTTATAGTGTTGGATAATTGCTCATTTATTTTCTTATAGAAGCAGTAACATTATATTGCATACAACACATCAGGATATTGAAACTACAACTAGGTCTCAACAAGTCAAATAATGGTCCGTATCCGTATGTACAGATACCAGCACCACACACAGAGTCATGAAAATGTGTAATGAATGTATGTACGTGTTTGTACCTGCTAAGTGTGCTGTCAGCTCGGTCACTCTCCTCCTCTGTCCATGTCTTCACGGACAGCCTCTGTGAATCCTGCACTGGACCTGTCATCCTACACACACACAGACAGACGGACACATGCCGACATACCCAACTTAAGGTACATACACTGTCACAAAAAATGCTAATAAACACACCTACACATAATAAAACACACACTCACATTAAAGAGACATGCAAACATAGAGAGGCTCATGCAGACTGCCAAACACACACAACTCATGGACCCACAATCAGAAAAGTAAGGTCGTCCTGTACGAGGTCATCCTGTATCAGGCATCACCATGGAAACCAAATGGCATAGCAACAAGCTGTATAGTAGTCATGAAAACAGATTGTAAGAGACAGAGACAGACAGATCAACGAACCTGATAAATTTCCTGATATCCCAACGTTAGCTTGTCAGTCGATCAGTTCAGTTCACATCTGTAGATTTGTTGCATCCCGTCTCTATTCAGGTAGATTCACAAGACATTAATCAGGACAGACAGATGCTCACATGAAGGGATGGATGGATGGAGTGAACAAATGTAACCGATCAAAGGAATGATCACATGGCACTCCACAAAAGCATCGTTTAAATTGCAAATTGTGTGTGTGTGTGTGTGTGTGTGTGTGTGTTCCTTTTCACCTCCAAGCTCATCTGAATTCAAGAACCTTGTTTGAAGTGGCCTCTGAGCTGCAAGTGTGTCTTTGTGTGCGTATATTCTCCTGATTGCTGAAAGAGAAGTGTTTTATGGACACACACCTGCACGCGTGAATTGAGACGTAATTTTATTTCAGCTCCATTCAGAAACTGGATTTTGATCCACAACGCCTCTCATATTTTCCAGTAGAGCATCATATTGAGCTGAGGAATCAATAATTGAGATGGAATGTGTTGTTTGGAGCTGGAAGAAGTGCTCTATGTGTATTCTGAATTCACTGAAATTAAACACAAATCACCCCAAATTATGGTGTGCGCACACACGCTTGAAACCTTAAAGAATGTGCTGGGCAATTGAAAGTATTTCTTAGGGACTGAATGTCACACGTGATTGGTTGAATTAGACCCAGGAAACATCCAGCTAGCTCAACAGCTCTCTCTCAACACCAATTACAGCTATCCATACTGCCACCATGAGGTCATATCACCCACACTGTTGACATAGTAACGGCCTGGCAACAGCATGGTGTTATTATTACAATTGACCTGTCCCAATTATTTTCCTTTGTTGTGCTTTTGTTGTTTGCTTATCAAAAAACAATGTGTTTGTATGCACATACTATTACATAATTCACTAATGCACTTAATATACATATTTTTATATTAATACTGGAAAAAATATTTATCACTTGCATTGAAGAACTCACAGAGAATCATCACCCAATTTAGCTTCGCTCTACGGAGTGTTTTAGTGTCTTTCAGCTCATTGTTTTGGTTTATGGGGGCTCATCTATAAAATAACGAACGATCAATTTTGAGCATGTCTTAAGCAGAAAAAAACTTTGATGTGGAAAATGATCTTTTGTCTTAGCAAAGTATAGACCTATACATTGCCTGGCCTCAATCTCCTCTACCATCGCCGTGATCTTTTCTTCCAAAAAGTTCTCATTTGGTCCATGGTTATTCCTGACTACACCCTCATTTGTGCTGGCATTATATAAGGCATAATTGTTCATTGTGCCATCAATTTTAAGTTAATTTGAGATTTATAGATCACAGGGGACACTATTTGCTAATGGTTTTCTAAGAACCTGTGTGTTCAAGGTTTTTTATGCTCACTTTTATGAATTGAACAGAAGCACACCGTCAGGAATGTTCAAGTTCAAGTGTAAATCTAAGAACACTTTTATGAAAGAGGCCCTTGATGAATCCAGTGTATGTTTGCTGATCACCAAATGGCTGGCAGTTAGCGACTAGCTAGTGAACTAAGTGGAGCACAACTAACTTCCAGATATTGGGTGGTGTAGTTGATGGAGAGCAAAACAGCTAAAAGAGCGGGGAAAATTGGACTTACTTTTATCAGGAGGCCAGATACAAACACTAACACATTAGAGCTACGCGTTTCGCCCATTGCTTCTTCAGGCTTACATAGTGAAATTACAAACACACTTACAGGTGTGTTAAGTAGACCCTGTGCAGGTCATGTGACCAGCATAATCCATGTTTTCCATAAAACCTATAAAATTAACAGCTTATACAAAGCATTATAATATAAACGGCAAGAATGTGCTAATTATCCAAACAAATCAACACACATCATAATACATATATTTTAAACATACATCAGCCACAAGAATCACAACACAACAGAAGCTCATAAGTATATTAAGGCAAAATAGCCTGTCGTTATACTAAATGTGATAATTTAGTGTGATAATTATTAACAGATCGACAAACATCACAAATAAATAATATATATATATATATATATATATATATATATATATATATGTATATATATATATCCACTTTAAGAATTAAACATACACAAGTCACAGGAATTACAACAAGACCTCATAAATAGCCTGACGTTCCTACCTTTAGTATATATCCCTAAAGGGGAGGGTAGGACATTCAGTATCGTAACTTTCTCTGAAGGAAAAAAAAACACCTCAGAGATAAACATAATGATCAACATGACAGGAATGGGCTCAAATCTAGTGTCTCATTCAGTCCATGAGGTTCAATTGTGTTCAGTTCATGAATCCAAAAAGCTTCTCTTCTCAAAAGTTGGTTGATCATGTTACCCCCTCTTGGATTAGGACTCAATCTTTCAATGCCAATGAATTTAAGAGAAGTTGCTGAACCATGGTTTTTCTCTCTATAATGTCTAGCAATGGCATAATCCATGTTCCCATTTCTAATGGCCGCCTTATGCTCTGCCACTCTCGCTTTGAGATTCCGTTTAGTTTGGCCCACATACATTAAGCCACATGGACATTTCAAAACATAGACAACATGGGTAGACAGACAATTAATAAATTCTTTTATGTTGTATTTCTTTCCTGAATGGTAAAATATTTTTTAGTGTTAAATGTGTTTGAACAATGTGCACATTTGCCACACCTGTAGTTCCCATAAAGCTGTAGTGAAAGCCAATTAGTTTGAGTGGGTTCTTTATACGTGGAACTGACAACCAACTCTCTGATATTTCTGCCTCTACTGAAGCAAAAACGAGGTCTAGACACTGCTAAATGATTCAAATTTGGGTCACATTCTAGGATACGGCAATGTTTGTTTATGATCTGTTTAACTTGTTTAGAAATGGTACAATATTCTGACACAAATGTTATTCTGTTTTCAACAGGTTTAGGGGAAGGCTTCAATAATTCTGTCCTATCTTTTCTATTGGTTACTTCCACAGCCTGGTCAATAAGTGTTTGATCATATCCCCGTTCTCTAAATCGTCCAGCCATTTCTTCAGCCTTTATGTGATAATCCTGTTCTTCACTACATATTCATCTTAATCTCACAAACTGACCATATGGAATATTACTAATTATATGGCTAGGATGGCAACTAGTAGCGTGTAAAATAGTATTTTTAGGTTATGATAGAGAATTCTTACTGGCCACAATAGGTCTGCCAGGAGGACTTAATAAACCTTTATGTATCTCAGGCAATAAATAAAACACAGGAGTGTAAAACATGGATTGTGCTGGTCACATGACCTGCACAGGGTCTACTTAACACACCTGTAAGTGTTTTTGTAATTCCCCTTTACTTTTGATTTTTCATAGACTGATCCTGCACCAGCACCTTATTGTTGTTGCTGTGCTCGGGGAATTTCTTGTTTCCTTGTGATAATGTCAGTGTTGTGTTTTTAGCTTATTGCTCTGCCCCCAAGTGACTAAAGAGATTAGTTATTTTAGGTGTAAATAATACTGGTCCAAAATGTATATAGAATTGCAGTCTTGTAATGATGAGGAAAACTGTAAATTCGGGCCGTTAAAGGAATAGTTCAGCCGCTTCTTTGCTTTCCTTCCAAGCAGGAAACGAAAAGTCATGATGTTGTTAATTTAATTTAGTTACTAATGATTATCTTATACTTTGCTTTTTTAATACACAGTTAATTTAATTTAATCACTTTATTATTTTTGCTTTAGTTTTCAATACATAATCAATTTCAATTCAATTCAGTCCATTATTTGATTATAACTAAATACAGACAAAATCCTTTATTAACCAAGTGGCACACCCAAGGCTCCATATAGGACAAACAAACACCAGAAAACGTAATTCAAACTATATTTGAAAGAATGCTTTTATTTAACATTGTGATCTGTTGTACATTGAAGTTTGGATGTATTGCTAGCATGTAAGGCAATATTTTTGCCCACAGCTGCTTTCCAAAGGGCCAATAAAATAAAACAATTGACTGGAAATGCTTCACTGGACACATGATAACAATAAGGGAATGTTAACATCAGCAGCAACTAACCTGGATCAACTGCAGCATTAAGACAAAATGTAATAATATGTAAGACTAATACAGCATTAGAATTTTTTCTTACAGCTGAAGTCATATTTTAATTATTGCTTGCATGTTGAGTTTATACTAAAGCTGAGGCAGCTTTTGACATTTTACATTTCAGAAGTCTACAGTTTAGAATAGAAACTGCCATTTACCATTTAGTCAGTGTTAAAAGGTTTTTAAATCCTTAAAATAATGTGTTGTGATGTGTTCTTTATAAAAAGTTCAAATATATTACATGCATTAATCTAATAATTATCCCCTTAAAATCTCATTAAAATACCTTAATTTTATCTGTATTTATGGCAGGTTGAAAGACTTTCATAGTGTGTTTTAGTTTCTAGTGTGAAGACTATAATCTAGCGCAGCTTTGGTATTCAGTAAGGAGTATTATATTATGGCTTAAGTACAATAAATGCTCATACTGTGAATTGGCTGGCACAGTGGAAGATACACCAGAACTTAGTCAGTATATCATGAGGCAGTGACACAGGGGAAGCTTTGATATGTCAGTAGGTCATTGGGGGAAGAAAGCAGTTATGCAGAGGTAGGAGTTAATTGTCATTTTAAAAACCCTGAAAAGCTGAGGATACACTAGAAAGATCACCACCTTGAATTTTTGCTTTCCAAGGCTGAGAGATGTTAAGTGGCCATTGTCTTTAAATGTTTCCCATGTATCATAGCCTTTACATTTAAAGAAACAAAACCTTTTATATATGTATTTTCTCAACAGGTGTACCCCTCATCAGAACCACAGGAGTCTATCCCAGCATGCACTAGGCACTCAACCAAAACAAATCCCCCAGTATTTACCATGTAGCCATTACAGAAGACTCACTTCACTGCAAACTATCTGACCATTTAGAACATTTAAATTCCTTTTGCACCCTAAGAAGATTACGACTGACTGCATCAAAGTACACAAATATTCACTGAATGCAGAACAGATGGATAAAGTGACACTTCTATTTTTGGCTAACGCTGAATAACCGCTTAAAAGAACAAGACAATACAGCTGTGTTCACTCTCTTCGTGTCTCATCCCATCAAACAGGCGAAGGCAGTCAGTGTGTGTGAATGAGTGTCGTCTAAGCCCTCTTCATGCCTCTCCCCATCAGGCACGCGAAGATGGTCATCACCATTTTGGGGTTGATCTCCACCAAGTCCTCAGGCAGGGCGTAGACTTTTGCACCAATCTTCCTCGCCATGGAAATGGCATACCTGGTGCAGGAAAGGGTCATAGTTAGGATCACTACGGCAATTTTATTTAACTGTATTTTTTAGTAATTTACAAATGCATTTATTTTCTGCTTGTTATTTTCTTTTATAAGCACTGATTTGTCTAAATTACAGTGGGCTCCGGAAGTTACAGTTTCTCCAAAAGCTGTGTTTCAATCTTGAATCAGACAAGTCTTCTCTAGGTCTTCTCTAATGTTTTAAGACTCACATTTAATTATTTAGTCACTTTTTCTTCCCGCTGTATGGATTTATATTTGTGTCAAAATGCAGACATTTTGAACAAAACATTTTTTTCAAGCGCATAAATCATAATTTGTAAGTGACATTTTTGTCAGGCAGAGAAAAATTTTATTTGAGCAAACAAAAATATTTTTTTGCTCAATAAATTCATTCCTCTGGTTGCGCTGATCGACGTACACTAACTGCACAACAAAAACCTCCGTTATACTTCATCGCGCTACCATTCCTGAGAGAGCTTCCCTAGTGACTGATAACACCCCTAGCAACCGGATTGATACAGCTGAAGTACAATTAGATGCTCTGATTGGCTGGAATTGCGGCACACTGTCAGGTTGAGCGAGTGTGCAGGCAAACGTGAGAGCACATAAAGCAGGTATTTGCTCAAATTAAATTAATATAGTTTATGTGCATGCAAAACATTTGTCTGTGCCGTCCTATGGCGCGCTCAGAAAAGAAGTCAGAGAAAGTCATTACTTGGCATTGTTCAGTTTGTCTTCGTCTGACAGACTTCCTGTGTGAACCAGCTCAAAGTTCACACTCTTTGGCTGAATGGCATCAATCAGGTCCAGAACTGGAATACTGGTACCGATTGTTTTGTCCTGAACAGAGGGATACACACACAGCCACACACACAGATCAGCACATATATACAACATACAGTAAAAGTTCAGAACTGACCTTTGCCAGGGGAAGATAGAAATATGTACTTTCTCTTACAACAGTGTCAGTGACACTGCGTACAGGATGGTTGTGTTGTAAAACTACACGATTAAAAACTAAACTAAATCACTTAAGCAAAACTCACCTTGAAGCTTTTGATAGAGGAACTCTTGCCAGCCTCAACCAAAGTCTTGTTGACCCACGAAATTATCAAATCATCTCCTGCAACTGCTCCATGTCCAAGGTTTTCCAGAACATTTAAAGTGTACCTGCATATAGATCGGAAGACCTCATGTATGAATGTCAACAATTCTGTGATGATGGAACAGTGGATAAAACACAGGCCTTTGGTGTGGAAGCCCCGGGTTCGATTCCCCCGGCAACATCCATCAATATGTCTCTCTGACATATACAGCAATTGTAAGTCGCTTTGGATACAAGCTTTAGCTCAATGACTAATTAAACAACCTTATTGTAGATAAGGTATGGAGCTTGGGGTACATTCAGTGAGTTAAATAGTTAGAGGGGGGATTTTGGGGGTCCAAAATAAAAGATAATATGTTGCATATCAAATCAATACTACATTTCTCATAAAAGCCTTTGTTTTCCCTCTTTTGGACTTGTGCGTTTGGTTTGAAACAGTATTCAGCTCAGTATTGAGCGAGCACGCTCAATACTGAGTTGGCAGCAGCGAAACAGGGTAGTATGTAATGTGTAATGTATGTATAATGTAATATATGTACTGTACCCTTTCAAATACGTCCACTAAAGCGCTTGTTTTTGCCACTTACAGGCTCAGATTGTTGTTAAGACAACATTATGGAAATGATCCCTGCAGAGACAGACCTTTTTTAAAAGCAAAAGATCTGTGTTGTTTGTTTATGCAGAAACAGTCAGTGCTATATTGCTCGTCAAAGCCACAGTTAGTTTGTGTTATTGTGTGACTTCGGTGTTTTTAACCCTTTAAAACAAGTAAAATACCAGTTTTTATAAATGGAGTCTGGTGACTTTGAGCAGAGCGATATACAGCGACTGTTTGTGGTTGGACAAAAAGGATTCTACTCGTCTAAAGGTCCCTAAGGTGCAGAAAGACTCGTTTTGGCAAAAGCCTGCTACCCGCAGCCAAAGCAGTCTTGATGAGGACACGAGGAGTCCTGCCTGCAAGGATTACGTCACAAAAACTAGGGAAAATGTTGAAAACTGCTTTACTCTTTAACATCTCAAAATCACCACGTAATGAAGTTAAGTTTTACTATTAAGGGTAAGTCACCTCCTCATCAGCTGCCACACCAGCGCCAGAGTTAGAGTTGGATTTCCATCATAGAGGTCCTGTCCGCCAATTCCCACCAGGGAAAAACCAGCACTTTTCTTACCCAGCTCCACAGCATAGGTACAGTTTTCCATCTGTCACACACACAAACACACACACACATGAAGTTAGTATATTTTACAGTAAACTCAGTCAGGATCCAGGATACACACAGCCGCAGTTTGGAAAGTGGTGTGTGTTGTATGTTATGTTATGTGTCTTTGACCTTTTTTAAATGTCCTCCTCCTACTCCTTTGAATGGAGGGTGGTTGACTCTACCCTCCCAGTCCACCGGCACTTTAATCTTTTCATAAAGCTGGAGAATCACCAAGGCATCGTGCAGATCCCTGCATGAACACACATTTACACACACACACGCGCGCGTGGATTGAAATGGGTGAATTGTGCACTCGTGTGGCAATAAACAGTAACAATGACGACTACAGCGAGCCATTTCAGACAGAGAGGTACTGACCCGTAGATACGGTGAACATGTGGACTGACTCCGAGAGAGTTCATCCAGTTCCTGAAAGTTCTCTCCTCTCTGGTCTCACCTTGAGAGGGACAATAAGAGAGACAGGTAAGCCTCACGTGCAGACGCGTGGTGAAAGAATATGTGAGAGAGGAATAATTCATCCTTGCTTACTCTCCAGATTCCAGTCTTGGTTCTCTGGTTTGGTGAGAGCCGGGTGTTTGTTGAACAACGTGGCTACAAAGGCCATGTTGAGCTTGGCGTTTCCACACACGACATCGGTGGCAGTTACAAACTGTCGGCAGCCGAGGCGCTGGGCCTCTGTGAGCATATACTCTGCTCTCTTAGTAAGATCCTTCTCCTGGTGACACACAAACAAGCACAGGTTTACATTTTGTTGGGGAAAACAGGCATCTGTCATTTGGGATACGGAACATCCTTTAAGTGGTCCCATAGACTAAATGACATATGTGTGACAACAGATCCAGCTTTTCCTGTAGCATTTAAATATTACAACTTTATAGCTGTGGGCAACTTGTCTTTATGCATATCAGCTTACATAAAGACCAGTCATGTCGATCTCAATCTGCGGAACGTCCTCTTTACTGCCGTCTGGAGCAATCTGCTCAAGCAGGTGGAAGTACGCCTTGGAGTCCTGCACAGAAACAGAGATGCACAAACACACAGATAGAGGCTTAGTGAGATACGATAAACCCCACTGATTTATTCTCTTGGGATTTCACCAACATTGTGCTGGGAGTGAAACTGCCACATTAAATATTGCAGTATGTAACTGTACGTTATGTAACTTTTTTTGCAAAAGGTTAGACCCCGAAACTAAGGTAAGGGTTTAGCAGTGAAACACAGTAAGAGGCTTAGATGTTTCCTTACCTTAATATCTCCAGAAAAGTTTGATATGCTCATGCCAACTTTCTTTAAATGGAAATTGGCCCAGCGCAGCAGCAGCTCCTCTGGAGTGAGTTTCATCAACTCTTCCATACTCTCCCCTTCCTCTAACAGCGCTGCTAAAGCTGTACACGGAGAGACAAGCATGACTCTGATGTGCGAGGGTGGAAAGCAAAAACGTCTGTCTGGTGTTTAGTTTTATAACTACAGACAAGTCTGACTCTGTGTGTTTGTGTGTGTTTGTATATACCTTCATTGCGGCTCAGCTGTATATCAGCAAACAGTCCTATCTTGATAATCTGCCAGAGGAGCCCGAGCACCAGGTGAGGTTTTCCCTCCTTCAGGTCTTGAGCTCCGATGTTGACAACTTGGCAGCCGATGGCCGAGGCTGAATTCAGAGCCAAGTTCAGATTCTCCTGTTGTGTGTGTGTGTGTGTGGAGTGGGGGGGGGTAAAGTTGGATATGGCCACAAATTAGGTCAAATTCATGCAATACAATGTATAACCAGTGATGTGGTTTTAGATAAAAAGGCGTCAAATTCTAAGTCACACTAAACATGACACATTACTAACTAGTCATGCAACAGGCTAACCTGTGTGGTGAAAGGCGTCAGTTTTTTTTTATTGATGGTTCTCTCATCAATGGTGTCAGGAACGGAGAGGTTGATGAGTTTGCTGCAAAAGATTACCACATTTTAGCACAGTGAATCCATACAATGCCTAAAAACAGACAGAAAACCGGTTCAAGTTAATGGATTTGGGTAAAATGAAGGATAGAGATAGAAGTTATGGACAGATAAGTACAGATATTTACAAAGTGAGCGATCAATATGCTGAAGAACACATGATTTTGAGTGCTTTGATGTTAGTGAGACTCACCAAAGCACGATGCCGTCTGCCACTGCTTTGAACAGAGCTTCAGTGCTGGGGTTGATGGGCAGGACATGTTTACAGTCTGGATCCTTCTCCAAAGAAGTGTTAATGTAGTTTGCAAAGGCAAAGCGCTCCTGCTCTGGAATACAGAAGAGTCGAGTGTCACGTGGATATTGGAGGGTGAACTCTTCCATATTACTCTGTCAGTAATTAAATATTACTGTGCTAACCAGAAATCGAATGATGAGTTCCTTCACTGGTGCTCTTGCTGGTGCCCCCGATGGCGACGATGCCTTCTTTCTTGTTGAGAGCTTTCCTGAAACCCTGGGCCATGCGGCTGTCCTTCAAATCCTGGAAAATCTGCACACAAAAACACACACAATCAAACTCTGGATGCATTTGCTAAGATACTGATTCATAATTACGGTTTACATGTTGGTCAGTTTAGTGGTTTGTCTTTTGTCCCAGTTAGCCAGTCACTCACTCAAGTATGACAGAAAATACGTTAGTCATCAGTTGATTTTAATATAATCTGATTTGTTAGTCATACGTCCAGTTTGTCAGTTGAAGCTAGGACTCAACAATTAGTTGATGGTAAACTGTTAGCAAAGGTGTGAATCAGTTAGTTAGTTGGTTAGTTAGTGTTACCTACAGTCGTGAACTCTGTGAGGTCGATGCGGCTGTCGTTGTCTTTGTCCAGCTTCTGAATGATTTCTCTGATCTGGTATCCAGGCAAAGGGCAGCCCACCTCACGGAAGAGATCGCCGAGCTCAGAGGCAGTGATGTACCCATTACCATCCAGATCTGGAGAAGTTGGGAAGAGGGGAAAATAGCAAAGTTCAAGCACTGTTGTAATTTGGAGCATTTCCATGCTGCTCTTTTCTAAAGGACTCTAAAATGCTTCATGTGCAATCCTAAACTGCTGCCGCATCCCTTTGATAACGCATCGATTCAAATGAAGCTCTGCAGCAGGCGTATCAAAGGTTTCACTCCTTTCCATAAATCACAGATGCACAAAAGCACAAACAGGAGCACAAACAATGTTTAAGAACATGCGTTTGTACTCCACTTAAAGTGTGATTGACTAGTTCATCATTGTCTGACAGGTGTCTGCAATATCCGCACACACACTTTTACTCACCCACTTTCTGGAAGCCCTCCCTGATCTCCTCCATCTCCTCAGTGCTGATTTTTGCCGACATACTGACACCTAAATAAAAATAGAATAGCAGAAAATGCTGCATTTAGGTACTGTGACGCAACTTGATGAACTCTTTTACACATTATACACATAACCAGAAATGATCCGTTTCTAAAGGTGCCAACACTAAGTACCAGATTAAATCACTGATACTTTACCACCAATTAGCTGCTGTACCTGAATACAATTGAGGGCAACAAATAATATCATAGTTGAGATGATTGGTAGCCTGATGTTTTAAAAATCAATGAGTCAACATAAGCTGTGCAGATTCATCTCAGTCATCTGGATGAAATGGTTTTCATGATTACAAGCTCCTTTGTATTGATGATGGATGATGTGCTACATTGATGCTTTCATAATTTCATGGTGAAGAGGAGCATTGAACTGAGCAAAATGATGACTTATGTGAGGAAGTTATTTCTCCTTTCAGAAGTCCCATGGTCTCACTTTAATAAATCATTGCATCTAGGCTAAGTCCTCTTGGTGATACAGGGTACAGCAGCCAGCTCAACACGGTGATGCTGAGAAGCATGATTCATATTCATAACTTGGGCATCTGAAAGAGTACAACAGGCACAGATTTGTTAAATGTGGGTTAGGGTTAGAGACATTATTGCTCTGTTTACCGTTAAATGCTTGGCTCAGAGTGGAGCCACACTACAGCTCTCAAACAACACAGCTCTGTTAACTCAGCCAGGAAAATAGATAGTAGCTCAATCTATTCCACAAAGAGTCAGTTAGCATCACAGTTACATTCATCAGAGACCCTTTTAACATCTAATAGATTTATGTTGATTGCCTTTGGTGTTATTTGATTCTGTAATGGAGGTTTGTTTTATGGCTTTTGTAGATAGCTAATTACATTACAGCTACTATATATAGATATTTATTAGCTCTCTCTAGAACAAAACCAATACGATATGATCCACATAAGCTTGTATAGAATCGTAGACCTGCATATTCACATCTGGCTGAAAGATTAAAGGATCAAGTCACGCAAATCACAAAAACAAATATCATATTTTTCCACTTGTAAATGACAATCACAATGATTCTATCCGAGTTTAGGGAAGGTGGACATATACTTAATGTTATTGGAGGCATGCTGTATGAGAAAATGATTTTTGTAATGTAAAGACTATGCCTTTGGTGCGAGAGACCTGGGTTCAGTCCCCCACTGAGACCCATACATCATGTGTCCCTGAGCAAGACACTTAACCCCTCATTGCTCCGGAGTCGTGCGACCTCTGACACATATGTCGCTTTGGATAAAAACGTCAGCTAAATGAATAAATGTAATGTATCAAATGAGGCAGCTGACTATCAGATCTTATAGGCAAGGGTGATGCTTTCAGTAGCAAAAAGCAGAGCTCTTTAGGAGGTTTGCAACTTAATGTATCACACAACACATCGGATAATGTTATAGAAAATGTTGGCCTGCGCGGGACACTCCCAGACAGTAGAGATGGTGAAATTAGCCTGAACTGTATATGATTTAGTCTGAGAGAGAGCTTTCTGCTGCAAATAGCAGAGCCCTGCTAGCTGAGACAAGAAGATCCAGCGACTTGATGTATTACATCCGCAGATAATCAATACAAGCCCACCAAGCCAAAGCCATTCGCACAAATCAAGCATTATAAGCCTGAGATATGGCATCTAACTGCAACACCAAATAGAAAAAATAACTTCATCCTTACATAGCTAATGGAACTGAGACAAGTTTAATAAAACCATTCCTCCCCCCTCTTTAGACATCCATTAAAAGATCCGATTGATGAGAAATCTAGAGATGAATGATGTTTTCCACCTGTGAGTGTAAAGAGACATTAGCAGACTAAAAAGATGTTTGTAAAAAAACAACCCCAACAATTCTTAAATTGTTGGTTTTTGAATTCAAATCACGTTTTCACATCTTTAAAATTCACTTATTTCCAATCCAAAAGTCTTTAAAAAACCTCTCACATGTGCCGTGATCATGTTACAGCAAAGGCAAATAAACAAATAGGCTAGGCTTCGGCATAAACATGCAAACATAGTGATTGTTCAGCCAGACACAGATGCGGGCTTGTGTCTCCAAAAACACATAAAAAAAAAAACAACGTTTAAGACACTCCAATACAACCCTAGTGGTCAGCTATCTATTCCCCAGGTTATTTGAATAATGAATGGACATGCAGTCGTATTAAAGCAAACCAAGCCTGTCAACACAATACAGAAAGTATCCTTCAGTACAAGATACTGTACATCTGAAAACCTTAAAATAATTTACAATCAATAGGAAATGCATTAAACTTGAGCTACGCTTAATCTTTAAAGACATTATTGTGGTTTGTGTTTTTGCAAATATCATCATTATAACTTCACACTTTGAACTCTGTTCATGCAGAACACAATATTTGTTTACTGCCACCAGATGTCACTAGTTCACTTCAGAAAGAACCCAGAACTTCATTTTAAAGCTAAAGGATCTTAGGGTTTGTCCTTGTTGTGTTTTCTGTGCATGTTTCTTAAGGTAGAGGTAGTTTAGAGGTCTGTTTATGCCAATAGTAATCAGAAAATCACAGAAAGGTGTTATTAAATAACACAACATGATCATGCAAAGCATATTTTGGAAATATTGATCAGATATCTGTATCTAGGTGGTGAAAAAAATGTCATCAATCATGCATGTAGCTAAAATCCAATCATTCCTGATTGATCTAACATTAACTCTATGACACTGCATTGTCTGGATCATGATTTGTCCTCCGGATTTAGATACTGAGGATTCAGTCACACTAGCAGTGATGCACATGACTAAAGCAGTGTGTTTATAACCTACAGTCACACTCCAGTATTATAAAATCCATTGAGAAAAACAGCTACATTCAACTACATGTATTTGGAAACAACCAAAAAATGTATAATTTATACTTAAATAGCCATAGTATTTACTATTAGAGCCTGCAAGCTGCAGGAAAAACATCTAACGTTAGACCTATTCTTTGCACAATAAATGTTCAACTTTCAGATGGTTAGCTATATGGGATGCTCCATTATAAATCAGCTAGCATACATATATTAAGATATAGGCTATTCATAAAATGATAACTAACAGCTGGCATTTTTTGATTCACATCTCTAAATAATCTTCTAGTAAGCTATGTGAGTTATAGATCTTATTTTCTGCTCCTCAGTAAACCTAACAAAAGACTTCTACTGAATCAAGAGAAAACGCCCTAAAACGCTCCTTCTTCTTACCTCAAGTCCGCTGGTGCAATTCAATAAAAGTCACCTGGGGTAATGAAACCCTGTGTCGGCTTCTCACTAATCCTCTGTCCCATTTTAAACTGACACCGCCCGGTGAGGAGAACCGCTCCGCCCCTCCGGGCCCACCCCTCCCGAAACCAACCTGCCTCCGCCTTCCTCCCATCAGCAGCCAGAAACTAGTGATGTGGGATACCACTTCATTCCTATACGAAGTAATACCCAAGCTGGTATTGCTGATACCCATACCAATACTTTTTCCATATTTTATTTCTAGTTTTATGTGACCTCCCTCTCCTTTTTCTGTATTTATGAGAGAAATAAGGAGTAGGCTGTGGCCTTACCAATTCATAATAATAGCTGCATAATGACAAGACATCAAACTACTGTCATATTCTTTAATTATAATGAAAACATCCTGCTCAGAACTGCTGCTTCATAACATCATCATTATTATTGTGACAGACTTAATCTCAGATGTTTAGCGAAGTTTGCAGTGTTGCTAAAGTATTTGCTAAAGTATTTCACTGTCTTTGCACACACATCACACAGAGCAACATTATTACCTTCACAGCTAAAATACAGCTGACTCTGTATTCAGTCATGGGAAATGGAAAGGGCTGCACTTCAAAGAAGCTCCGTCACAGAGCCATAGCGCAAGCATGACTTTGACAGGCGGAAGGAAAAGTAGTTCCTATCAACCATGTATAATTACACCATCCTGGTGACAGTAAGATACTTATGATAAAACACTCACTCACTCCAAATTACTAAGTTTAGATATCGATTCTTTTATATGAGTATTGATCCTAGAGCAGGAAACGTTGGTATCAGAAATATCAGTACTTTTGGGTCGACCTGCAGATCACTATCAGAAACCATACCTTTATAAAAGAGCCATAAGTAGCACTCACAGATGCCACCAAGCTAAAGGGATGAACTAGCAAGCTAAAACCACTTCTTGTGAATAAGCTGCTTGATGTACTGTTTAGCCTTTGTTTTATTTAGAATTTATTTTTTCAGAGTTCAACAAACTAACAGCTCTGAACCATATTTCATTCAGTTCAGAATTTCATTGTCCCTCAGACCAGCTGCATTGTACATTTTACACAAAAGCTCCTCTTTGCAGTAAGTAAGTGAACACACGGTGTCAACCAAAGATTGTAAAATGTATCAACATCAGGCAAGGTTAGACTGTGTACAAATAGTCATCTGTAGCAGATTACTGATTATTCATTCTGCAAACATGCTTTATCAGTGAGTGTAACTTTGTGTGTGATCTGTCACAGCTCTGCTGCTGCTATACCAGCCTCTACATGCAGGAATTCCTCCTCTCTCCCTCCTCCTCCTCCTACCCATGCCTTTACTTCCCCTTTTCTCTTCCCTCTCCTCTCATATCCCTCTGCCTCTGCTGCGATGTGCTGAATCTTGTCAGAGTAAATTCCTCCCCAGTGGCAGAAACCCAGGAGTGGTGGGTTTTGATTCAGACTTGAATAGTTAGTGTCCTGCACAAACCTGCTCCCTATTATCTGGTTCTTTTAATGTTGATTACTGAGATTGTAACATTAGTGATGCAGTAAATTAAAAGGTGGGTATTGTATTATTGGTGATCTTGGATGATTGCAGGTTTTGATATTTTTAGCTTACATATTTTTAACAGCTGTATTCATTTATTACGGAAAGGTGCATTTATATATTGTCTTACTTACTGTAACGTTGGATTTTTATACATGTATAATCTGCTGTTATCCTTTTTATCTCTCGCATTTTCTGCTGAATTTGCTTTGCTGGTATATCAGCACCTATTATCGGGCTGATGTGTGGTTTTTGTCTGTGTACTCCGCAAAGCTGTTGTGCACCATGAGCCCAAGAAAAAATTCTCCTTGAAGACAATAAAGTTCATCTAATCTAATCTATTATCACAATATTTACTTGAGGGATGCATTCACTTACATCCCATAAAGCTGTGTCAAAATTTAGGTAAGATACTATTTACTGTAATTAATTATGACACCTTTCCCCTAAAAGGGTGAGGCAGCAGGTTTTACTTCAGCTAGTCAGAGAAATTTTGTCTGGCATAGCTTGGCACTGAAATTTAGTATTTCATGTCTGAAAAGTGTCAGTTCCCCCATTTTTAATGATTAAATGCCAGACTTTTCTAACCTTATTTATCGAGGTAGCTTTCAGCTTCAAGTGTGCGTGTTTTCCAGTGGTTTTACCCTGAACTACTCCTTTAGATACCTTCATTTAAACAAGTAAACACCTGAGTAAAACACTGGTTGGATTTGGTTGAGCTTGATGTGAGTGTGCACTGTTAGCCTACCCTGGGTATATGAACGTTCCCTCTAAACAAATGAAAATCCTTCTCCAGCCAAGCTGTGGATTTATCCAGACTATTAAAAAGTGGACCAGACATTTATGTAATTGAATGGCATAGAGTGAGTGTTAACAGACAGGCGAAACAGTGTGGAGCACGCTAACAGCTGAATGTTTCAGATGCATACCACGTAACCGCAACGTCCTCAGCTGGAATCCGGCCAGGGACCTTTGTTGCTTTGTCATTTCCCTCTCTTCCCTTATTTCCTGTCTTTTCCTACACTATTAACTGTCCAATAAAGAAACTGAATTTCTAATTTACATAATAATATCCCAAAGAAATGCCACTTTAAATAATAGATCTTATTATATAATAGCATAATGTGATATCTTCAGATGATTTGTTTTGTCCAAGCAACAGTCCAAAAGCCAATTAAATTATTAAATTTACGGTGAATCCTCACATTGTAGAACGTAACAATAAGAAAAAACATTGCCAAAGGTCAGAAGAGGCGGTCCTCCTTTTATACACATAATTAATAAAATTTAAAAAATAAAAATAGGAGTATTTCCAAGAATGAGACCAAAATCCATTCTTCTCGTCACTCCAAGATGCGAGATTCTCTTTCTGAAATCTTTTCTAAAAAGTGCTGATGAATTACTTTGTTTGTTTTTATTAATACATGCATCTTGTTGTAATATTACTGTAATAGTTGATATTAAATAGTTTCAAGTACCATTTTAAAAATAACCCACACATATGTAATTTAATGACTAATGGAATGTAGTTACAGTAAATGTTAAATTGAAACAAAGACCCCAGTTGATTTGTGTTCCTATGTGAATATGGTAAAGGAAGGACCTTGCATTTCGTCTGCTGGTGCTTAATCAGGGCTGGAAGCTGACAACTTGCTCATGTGATAACACTGATAGTATGTCAACAAGCTCCATAAACTGTTGGCCAATTCACTATTGTTGGCTGCTCCTCTGCCCCTCAGCGATGTGTGTGAGAAACACATGGAAAGGAAGAAATGGAGCCACAGATAGGGCGGACAGACTGATAGACTAACCATTGTGCAGTATTGGCAGGATGCTGTGAATACTTTAAACACATGCTTCTATGATTCATAAACCAAACACACAAACACAAAACAAATGTTGTGAGCAAAGTATGAGTCTCTACAAATTTTAATATTGTGTTGAACTGCATAATAATAATAATAATAATAATAATAATAATAATAATAATAGATGCACTGGTGGGTGAGGAAGGAGACCTTGTATTCAATCCTAGCAGAAACAGGAATCCAGTGAAGTAAATAGAGAACGGATGTGATGTGGTCATACTTTCACACTCTCATCAGGATCCTTTCAGCACTGTTATGAACACATTACAGTCTCTGCAGACTCTTGTTAGGGATCCCGCTGAGAAGTGCGTTACAGTAATCCAGTATGAAGGAGACAAAGGCGCGGACCATTTTTTCAGCATCAGGTAAGTGTGGAACGGAGTTTTGCAGTATTTCTGAGATGGTAGGAAGAAATCTTGCAGAGGTTTTTGATATGGGCTTCAAAGTTGAGTTGTGGATCAAATGGCTAAAATCTGGGTGTGGAAAGTAAACCAAGCAGTACTTGCCCCCCCTCATTTACCACCACTGAGGTGCCCTTGAGCAAGGCCCATAACCCCAACAACTCCAGTGGAGCTGCTTAGTGGCCAGCAGACCAGGCTGCGGTTGTACTGGGCAGCTTCCAGGTGTGAATGTGTAACAGTGTGAATGTGATCAGGGCCTTCCTGCAAAAGAGAGGCTACCTCTCAGTGAAGCTCCCCTGAATAAATTAAGGTTAAAAAATAAATAAATAAAAAAATCCTACACCAAGATTGGTGACTGTTGTGAAGAGGGGAATGTCATGACTACTGCAAGACATACCGGTTATGGAGGATGACTGGATTTGATGTGAGATGCCAACAAGAATTGTTTCAGTTTTGGAGCTGTTCAACTGGAGGAAGTTCTGTTTCATCCACACGTTTATCTCCTCCAGACAGGCGGTGAGTGTTGAAGATGGGGATGATGTTGGTGAGGCTGCACCGGGTGGTGTGTCCGATTTCATGTACAGTTGTGTGTCATCAGCATAAAAGTGAAATGAAACTCCATTGGGGCTAATGACATGACAGAGGTGGAGGATGTAAATAATGAAGAGAATGGAGACAACAACTGACCCCTGGGGAACCCCGCAGGTGACTGTGTGTTGCCTGGACCTTGTACTTCCAAGTGAAATGTCCTCTGTTCTGTCAGTCAGGTACGGTTTAAACCATTTAAGAGCAGTGTCAGTCAGTCCAGTGGTTTGGTGTAGCCGGTGGAGGTGGAAGAAATAATCGATTCTTAGATGCACCGTGATGCGGACTTGGGTGATTCTGACTTGATTAACAATGTCAAAAAATGTATTATTTAAATGTTAATTGATAACGTAATGTTGACGGAAAGCGAAATGCGGAACTCGCAGAAGTGCAGTGCCCGGAACGTCTGTGGAACGCTCCCCCTGTATTTGGCACACCACCTCTGTGGAATGAATAACCAGCCTACTTAAATGTCACACAATCATTAATGTCAATGCGCAAGTGATGATTTTAACTCGCACACTTTGCGAGCATGGTGACACAACGCTTTGCGAGCTCCCTGTTTTAATCAGTAACAAAGTAAACGTTAATGTTAGCTGTATGCCATCAGTACTTACTTGTCCAGGGTTAAGAACATCAGGTACAAGTTAGAAGTTCAGAATAGTCTGAAAACTGGTTATTAAAGAGAAGAAGGTTGTGACCAGGAGGAGCTGTGGTCAGTAAAGTATTAGGGAAGCAAGTTAGTCCTTTTAAGCTAAGGTTTCTTTCAGATTTTACTGTGCAAATTAAATGCATAGTAATTATCCAGAAGTCACATAAAAAAAATATGTATCAAGATGCATCGATAATAGTTTTATAATCGAATCACAGCCCTCTGAATCTTAATCGAATTCTAATTATTATTATGGGGAAATTTATTTTTACCAGTCTCCATGCTGTGGGGCAAAATGTTTGACATTCAATATACATGTTCTTGCCAATAGTGACAACTTCCACATTCACAACTAACATGTTTGATGTTGTACATTCCTTGTATCAAACCAGGGAATATATTCATATTTACATACACACTATGTCAAAACAACAGTTGACTCTGTGAGGATGGTTAGGCATACTGAGGAAATCCGGCATATTTCGCGTGTTTCACCAAACTAACTTCTCTCATGTCATGTGTTCCATTGCACCACACACACACAAGTTTCACTCTGATGGTAATTTCACACACACCCAGATGTAAGAGTACACACCGAAACCTATACACATGCATATGATGTGGAGAGATGTCAGAGTGATTGGATTGCATAGTGAACTAGTACCTCTCTAGATACCAGTCCATAATCCAGATCAACTGGTCCATACAGGACTTGAACCAGTCCTCAAGCCAATCCCCATGGACTAAGTCACTGCCATGAATCACAGTAGGTAACTGTAGATATAATGACTTATCACACTCTGATCTAAGATGACAATTTAGTCTACATTTCAGTAACCTCAAATTAAACTTTAAAGCTGAGCTTAGTTAGACATGGACACAGTCTCTGTGATGTCACCCATAGGTTTCTGAAGAGTGATTGTGTAACCGTTAATTTTGCACAACTTTAAACTTCATGTCCAGAGACAACGAAAATACGACCGGTTCAGGCATGGACAGGGAGGTGTTAAGCAAGAGAGGCAGTGTCAGAGTGTAGAGCCTGAATATTTTCACATCTAACTCTGTGAATTAAGGGTTTATTTCAAACCAGAGTTGGTGATTATTAGAAAAGTGGAAAGACTATAACTGAAACCTACACATTTTAATTTAAAAGCAGCTCCAATGCTGTGAAAAAGCTCAAGAGATTTTGGGATGATTTTCTCTGAGTCTGCGATATCTTAGAATTTGGCAGACCAACTGACATGTTAGCGTTATTTTTTTTATTAACACACTATCCCCTGGTTGATCTTTCTTCAGATGGTAAAATTATGTTAGATAGATAGATGGGTTTTGTAAAATTATTTCTAAAAACAACGTAAGTAAGATGGCCTGGTGGTTAGTGAAGTCATCCCCTTTACCCTAATCGGAGCGCCTGGGTTCAGTCCCTCATGCGTATGCCAAAGTATCCTTTAGCAAGTCTTATTTGCTTCCGGAGTCTTACATGCCAGCTCCAAATGGCTCCACAGCTTCTCTGATTAGTGGATGTAACACACTGTCGGTAGGTGTCAAAAAGGTTGTGGTATTAAAGGTAAATAACAGTGGGATTTAAGTGGTTATTGAGACTGAAAGCTCCAGATAGAGAGGAAATAATGTTGTGAGCCCAGACCAAAAGCCAGTATGACTCGAGGTCTGGGGAATTTTCATCTTTTGCTCTTTTCCAGCGTGTGGGATTGGCAGTGCTGCCTGCCAATAACTAGATGTCCATCACCATGAAATCTTGTCGTGGGTAGATGGTGCAAGAAGGTTGACTTGAGATGTCAACCTCTTTTTTTTCTCAGCTTTGTCTGAAATGACCTCCCTTCTCTTCCTTTTAGGAGAGGTAAACTGTCTCTTTCTTACTGTCGAGAACCAGCAAACTCGAGTTCATTTTAACCTGACATCAAGTAAGAAATGTTGAACATCTGCAGTGGGGAGAGGTATTAAAAGCATTCGAGGATGTTCCATCACTTCCTGTGTTTGTGAACAGGTTTGACTTCTGACCTCCACTCTAGTACAGTACATTCATGTTGCATAAAGGAGTAGGAGGAAGGAATGCTTGTGATCGGCCACTTCCAGTGTGGTTTTATGCAAACTTGCGGAACACAAGCTATTTTGTGGCGCGTTCGCCTTTCATCCAGGCGAATCAAACTCTTCATTGTTTTCTTTGTACACGTTTCACTTCTCCCACTATTATAGGTCTTTCAGGCTGTACATTTAGGGCATCTCTAACCCTTAACTACACCTGCAGTACTCCTCATGGAAGCAACAACTGTGAGACAGTGTGTGCAGCTTTAGGCAGGTCCTCTGGAAAACAATCCACTCCGTCCCCAGACCACACCCATCCTCAAGAGCCCTTCCCCCCTCCGCTCAAGGTAGCCCACTTGTCCTTATTTGGTCGTGCTGACAGCTCAGCTGGTGATTGGTTGAAGGGAAAAAAACATTTTGATTGAGAAACACACCTGTGCAGGCTTGCACACACCCACCCTTGCTTGTTCTCAGCATCTCCCATGAGCCCCCCCACACACACAAACTGTAAACACGGGTAAATCCATGATAGCAATCCTATATATATGCATTGATAATGAGTGTGATTGTTGCTTAAAATGACGAAGCAATTCAATAAACACAGTACCTATACTTTATTATGTATTTAACTGAAAATGTCCTCACATCTCAGGCCCCCATCTTGTCTAGACATGCTGTTCATAAAAATCCTCTGTCTGCAAAAACACACACAGTGCATACCTGCATCTGCAGAAACACCACTGTCTCTTTATCGGTTTCTGCTGACAAAAGGGACTATATGCTCCTTCGGACCCTGCTGGAGGTCTGCAAGGATAAAATGGGACACTCAAATATTCAATCCAGCATGCAAGACCACTTAAATTTTTACAGGTATGCGGCATTTTGAGGAAGTAGCTTATCCATAATATGAGGTAGTTGATCAGCTTTCACTAAGAGACATTCGCATCGGTGTCTTTCCTCCTTAAGCCACATTTCATGCAGAAAATAGACCTCCCATCTGTGGTCATGATAGTGAAGTGCACACTCATGTTATCAGACTCAGGTGTTTATGGGCTCATGATGCTCTTCTCTCCTGATTTTATTGTGCTTTATTATAGCACTATAAAAGTCTGGTTTCCACAAAAACTGAGCTGCAAAGAATCATCTAATGCATAAAAGGTGGGAAAGAAACTGTAAAATACAACACATGGTGGTAAAAGTCCTGTAAAGTCAGCGGCTTGAGAATTCCCTGAACAAGGACAAATAGCGTCCTCTAGCTGACACACAAGAAAAGCATTAGGCGGGGTTTAGATTTTAGTTATGTGACATACATTTTTATTACACAGATATGGGAACAAGTACACTCTCTATGGATTTGCCAGATTGTTGTATCAGTCAGAGGGCTCTCCTGCAGACTCCAGTTCAGATAATACGGATCTGGATGGAGACAGAAAAACAAGATTTTTCAGAAAAGTAAAAAACACATGATACATCATATCATCAATCCCAATAAATCATTTTCCTCTGTAGTTCCCAGCAGTGTAACTAAATATTTAATTCACTAATGTAAGATGCTTCTCCTGTGTTTAAAAAGGGCAGGGTATTATGTGGAGCTGCTTTGGGTAAAAACCTCCGTCCAGTCCTGACAGAAAAACTACTCTTCTTAATTTTGTCCCTGAGGGCATCGATTGGTCCCTGTTTATTTTTCCTTTTGCTCATCCATCACACCTGCCATCTCCATAGATGGGATTCTGTTGAAGATAATACATTGCACCAAAAGCTATGGTCAGGTTTTCTAAAAACTATTTTAGACTGGTCTGTAGTGTTAGGCTAGTCTTTCTTTTGCTCTTAGATTATTTCTGAAACTGTCTAACTAGACTAAAGACAGACTTATTTTAAGTTTAAAGAGATAGACACCCTAACACTAGGCAGACTAAGAACCATTTACAAAGAACTCCTAGCAGATGAGTCCCATATTATTTATTTATTTTGAACCTGTCCTGCAGCCTGGTATGCAGTACGAGGAGCTGGATACCATGTTGTGCCAGACAGATTTTACTTTAACAAAGCAATCATCTAAGATGAGTCCCATTTTAGACAGTGAAGAACTAGAGAGCTTTGGCGAACAGATGAATTTAGACGTCTATCTGAAGCCTGAGTATTAGTGAGATCTAAGCAATAGTCACAGTCTATCTTTGTGAAACTGGCCCCTGGTGTTTCCATAATGGCAGTGATTGACCTAAGGGTGCTAAAAATTAATCCTTGTGTGTGTGTGTGTGTGTGTGTGTGTGTGTGTGTGTGTGTGTGTGTGTGTGTGTGTGTGTGTAGTTAATTTCCCCCCACTCTGAGCTTAGTATGTGATGACGTTTGGAAACCACACTCAATTTTTGAGATATCCTTAGACTTCATTGCTACTAATACTTGGTTTATATATTTCATGTAATTGGTTAATAATAAAATAAACACAAATGTTTCAGTTTATCAATGACAGTTTGTCTTCTGTTATTCTTGTCTCACCCATTACGTTAAACAAGATGACAGACTGTCCCAGATGGAAACATGCTTCCTGCCGTCGTACTAGAATTCCTCTCCACCTCCTCACCTTTGTTCCTCAGTCAGATCAAACTCAGCCAACGTTCGCTTCGCCAGTCTCGGTGTTGCGTTCAGACAGAAGGCTGCAGACAGCTGAACCAGCTCCACTGCCCTTTGCGGAGAGCCATTGTTGAGACACACCAACAGGAAGTCCTCTATCAGCCCCTCGCTGGGGAAGATAAGACAGCAGGAAATGCACGGTTTACGCCAAATGTGTGGCACGTCAGAAGGAGCGTTAAAACGTGATTGCACTTTATTCCTACAACTTCTTTCATCTGTCAGAACAGTTGTGTAATGTGGTAAATATATAAGCCTTCCTTCTTTAGGTTTGCAGTTTGGACTGAGACTTACGCAGGTACTCTGTTCTTGGATTTGAAGAGCTGCAGCATCTCCCTGCAGAGACAGACGCATTTCACTATAACATCATTTGGCAGTGAGCATTAGTGGAGTCAGACTACAGGAAAAGCTCTCCTGTAAATGGACTCACAGACAGACAGCTGTCTCTCTTACCAGGCCTGTTGGGTCTTGTTGGCTCGCAGCAGCAAGGAAGTGATGTGTGAGAGGGAGGAGGTGCTCCACTCCAGACTGGGCCTCCCTCTGTCTCCATCAAACACACGCTTAATATCCAGAGCACATGCTGCAAAGGCCTCCTGAATCTACACACACACACACACACACACACACACACGCTGATGTAATTATCTACTATGCTTGACTATCTCCAACTGATAAACATCACAGTCTCCTCGAGGAAGAATCAGTGAAAGCAGTCATGTCCATGCCTTACTGACCTCAGGACTGTGTCTGTCTCTGGCCATCAGGGTGAGCAGCTCCCCCACCAGATCAGACTTATTATCATGACCCAGAGAACGGATATCTGGAAAACAGGCGGAGTGCAGGCAGACTTATTTTCAGTGTCTCTCAGTCTAAAACTGAAATGTAAAAGGGCAGGATTTCTAACAATATAAACATGGAAGCAAGATTTTATGAGTGATCAACCACTCAGGACATGTGCTCAGTGAGAATAGATTTATTTAACCATGACATTATCTTTAAACTTACCTTTCCATATAGTGGGCAGCAAGTCCAGGCGACTGTCCGTGTCTAGCGACTGCAGCAGGTCCCTCAGACCTTGGGGGTTTGGGTAGTACAACTGCAAACACAGAACACAATCAAAAGTACTGCTCATTAGAGATTATCCATTTTTATGCAAGACAAGTCCCAGAGTAAAATTGAAGCCAAGAGTGTTGACCTTAAACTGCACAGAAAACTCTCTTAGATTAATCTTTGTAATGGATCTTAGAAGAAAAATACCCAACTGTTACACACACTGTAGAAAAGCTGCAGCTTATAATATCTTAAGGTATTATTGATTCTTCATATAATCCTTTATGCGGTCTGGAGTAGAACTACTGAACAGGGAGAGAGAGAGGCAGAGATGTACCGACCGAGGGAATGAGCCGTCTGTACCACTTCAACACCACGTCAATGTGCTCCATCATACACAGCAGGTTGAAGAAGCGACCGCTGGAGAGGAGAGAGGAGAGGCCCAGTTACACGGGACAAACCTTTTGAAAATCATCTCCATAACTGCATCATCGAACCGTCAGATACTAGAACCTCCCAGTCACCCTGAGGTTAGCATATAGAGGTCCAGGGGATGTGTTTTAGGTCGCCAGAAGGTTTTCACTTACTAGTAAATACTCTGTTGGTAGGAATCTCCCAGAAGCCTCCAGTTCTCCCCCACTTCTGTTAGACTGTGGACCTTATATCCCAGCTCCAGATCTTTGCAATCCAAACACTATTATGGCAAAAACAGGCAGAGAGGAAAACAGGTCAGATGGACAAATTTAAGACCTCTTAAAAACCCTTACATGCTAGCGGGAATGTAACAAAGCGGTCAAAACCAGCTGACATCTGATAAACAATAGCTAATTGTTAGGGGTGTGACAAGATCTCTGCTATTAAAATGTGACGATACGCCTCGTCGAGATGAAAAGCTGTGCCACGTATTAGCATGACGGAGTGTGAGGGTAAAATCAGCATAGAAGATGCTACTTTTAAATCGTTTGTGTGCCAGCATATTGGGTACCCGGTGGAAACAATGAACAGCGACAGCGTGACAGACAAGGCACCAACAATATGTAAGCAACATTTCAAAATGCACCTGCTTTGTTTTGCTTTGTGTGACTTTCAGTCGAATAAAAGACAATTTATCTGGTCAGATATTTCGCCACTAAAGATTATTTAAAAACAGTGTTAAAATATCGTCTCCTTCTCGTGAACCAAATATCGTGTCTCGTCTAGTGATCTAAGCATACTGTCACATCCGTACTAATTATAGTTTTAAAAAATGTATTGATTGAACTGGATGATAAGTACAAAATTTGATAGATTTTTGAAGTAACCCTCACTAATAAAATACATCTAGATGTTGGCAAACACAAGTGCTTAATGAAAGAACAAGACCATCCTTGATAAATATTTATACAAAACATGGAACAAAAAAAGCCTTACTATTCTCATTGCGCTGGAGAAGAATAGAACTGCAAAGAAAAAGAGAGAGAATACAAAGCCAGTATTAAAGTCCCCATCCTGATGGATAAATCCCTCTGCTTTGTTATGTGACCACAATTGTTTGTGTGTTTTAAATCCATTTTAAATAAAATAAGTAGGATTTATTTCCTGAATCACTCTACAGATACACCACAACATACCATCATCAGGGTCCTGGCAGGTGAAGCTGGTTCCTGCCAGCTCTGACATCACTTCCTGTAAAATGTCAGTGTTGCCGTGGCCGGAGGTGGCTGGAGAGGAAAGGAAACCACTTAATACAACTTATTATACAGACAGCGGCACCCAACCGGTAATGTTCAAATGTGATGTGACACCGATCTCTGCTTACCTGCTTTGAAAAAGACCGCAAGGACGTGGTCGAAGGAGGCCAGGCTGGGAGCTGACCATGCGGGCACACACAGACACAAAGTGGATTTTTAACAAAAGATCATCATCTTCTTACAGCTGTGTGTCTGTGTGTCTGTGTGTGTGTGTGTGTGTGTAGTCACCTATTCCAACAGCCTTCATCTCGTTCAGAGTGTGCAGAGCTTGGGTTCTGGCCAAAGAGCCACAGCGTCTCAGGGCTTTCAGAACACTGTTGAAGGTCAGCAGGTTGGGCTGAACTTTCTGTTGACGCATCTGGTTCAGCAGCTCCTGCAGAGAGAGAGACACACACACACACACACACACACACACACATGACTGGAGCTTTTAACACTCTGACAATAAGAGAAAAGGCTTTCTGGCCACATTAGGGAACCAGAATCAGAGTGTATGCATGTTGCCTTCATTTGAGGGGTAAAGTCAGTTTTTTCGTTCCAAATGATGCTTCTGATGAGACATAATGACATTTGGTTTTATCTTTTCATATTTCTTGTCAACATATATGGAGCCCCAAAGCATTCAATATTAAATGAAGAAATAATTATGAAATAGTCACATGAATACACTGTGTACAATACAAACATGAATCAATACTTGCTGGAATTACTATACATCAACCTCTACTATGAAGTGGCATTTCATCATCTCATAGTAAGGTTACAGGGTTTTAGTGGTGCTTCTTTTATTTGATTAGATTTTTTTCCTTTCAAAACATCCTTTTAAAAATAATAGAAAGTACAATAACATTTCAAATGTTTTTAAATTATTTCACACTTATTTCAATTTCATTTATTTTTATATTTTACACAAGTAGTTATTTGTTATCATCTTCTTTTTCTCAATATTGTTGTTGTTTTAATACAATTAAAACATTTTTGGGGGCTCCAAAAGCATATACTAATTTATCTGAAAACAACTAACTGATGTTAGAATAGGACATTCTTTCTTGAATTTCCTCTTTCTGAGGAAACCTGGCAATGTGTATTTCTGATCTGTACAACAGCTGTAACACTGAGTAAAATAGTGAAAAGGCTCTTACAGCGATCACGTCCCATCTCTCGTTGTATTTATCTCGGACATCTGGAGCTGCTGAGATCAGAGCGTTGAAGATGTGGACATCAGCTGAAAAACAGACAGTTGGGTTATTAGGCATCTGCTTAACAATACGAAATTAAGCCAATTATAGTTTAGAAAGACGGACAATCTGCGGCTTTTAAGAGCAAATTTTTAAAACGACTATGATTCGAAATTGTAATTCTTTGGCACCACCTACTGGCACTATAAAGAACAACGCTATGACTGACGGCAATACACAAGGTCAAAACCAACATGCAGTGTTTTCAATTGAACATAAATTGAGTAAGTTGTGGGATGATTCATAATGTCTAACTGTGACAACACTACATGCCATTCACAAAATATGACTTTTACCATTACATTTAAATTAAACATGATTAAAACACAATTAAACAGCCACTTCTTGAAATAAAACTGACAGAATTTTTCTTTTTTTTTTTTATAAATTGTATGACAAAAGATGTACATTGTATTAGCCACAGTTATAATGCAATGAATGCAAGAATGAATTATTAAAACTGTACACGTCAAAAGACATCATTGCAACTTCTACTCCAAATATCGCCTTTTAAAATAGTGTTTGTATGCAACAACTAATCAGCTATTTTCTCTTCCTAATGTCTCTTACCGGTCTGTCTGTTGTTCAGCATGTCTGTGTACATGCTGAAGGCCTTTGCGTAAGCTCCATGCTGGGGAGAGACAAACACAAGCAATTAGTGCAAAGGCACCTTCTTCACAAACACGAGGAGGCCCTTCCTGCAGTAGCAACTCCAGTAATGAGCTCGAGTTCACACCTTCACCATGCCTCTGATCAGAGCAGAGTCAGAGCGAGTGTCCCTCTCTGGCAGCAGGTTAAAGATTCTCTCTGCGTTGTTGTTTTCTCTCCAGGTGAACTTCAGGAAGTCTGACGCGCGACGCACCCTCCCTTTCCTTCTCTTCACCTCCTCTCCTGACCCCTCCTGGAAACACACGTACGAAAGCAAACATACATTTATACTGTAGGATTAGTATGATGCCTGAAGTGTCCAGCTGAATGTGGCCAATGTATTATCTCAAAAACCCAACTTTGAGTTTATTGTGTCCAGAGCTGGGACGATTAGTCGAGTCCAGCTTCTCCGATTGTTTTGCTCTAATCAAAATCGTTATGGAAATAAATAGTCGTCGTTACTTGCTGCTGTACTTGTGTCAGCCTGAGGTTCGGATCAGGGATGACTCACCGCGTCCTCCGTCTGCGGTCCTCCCTCCTGGACAGGGTCTCTGTCACAGTAGAGACAGATCAGGTCTAACAGCTCATGGGTCGTTTCCATAGAGACTGCCGTGCCTGGAAGAATTGGACAGTCGATGTAGATGGATTAAAGCAGCGCTCCTTAAACAGAGTGTGTGTGAGCATGTGCGAGTGTGTGTGTGTTCTCACCAGCTTGCAGTAGTTGATCGTACATGTCAACAGCAGCTGTAACTTTCCTTAAGCTGATTCGCTCCTTCAGTGCCTCCTCACTCACCTCCTCAAGACGCAGCGACACCGTCTCTGGCATCAGACACTACACACACACACACACACACACACACACACACACACACGACAAACATGCAATGAGTATCAAACAATACTGTTGTCCAAGACCCAAATCGTTACTGGGTATTTTTACTCATCAGCTCACCAACATTAAAGTAAAACCAAACAAGATGCGTGCTATGAGTAAAGCTACACTTTAACTCTCCTGAACTGAATTCTTTGAGCATGCTCTCTGTATAGCTGCATTTCCACCAAAAGAAACCAAAACTTTTAGTCCTAGGATCTACTGTTCAATGGAGTGAAAGGTTCCTTCAGCCCATTGTTGTGTATGTTTCCAGTGCGGTCTAAAGACCGGTGAATATAGGCAAATTAGTCCGCAAATTACACCGTACACCATACATTTATCCGCCACTGCAGCACCATGGAGGAGATTCAAGTTGTCAATAAGGTCTGGACTTTGTCGGTTCATCTGTTGTTTGATTTCTTGTCCGTAAGTTCTTCTGTTAATGTGTCAAGCACAATAAACATCTTTACTAACTCCTTTACTGTATGCTGTATGAGGATGGTCGCAGACATTTAAAAATGGTGGTTGAAAACTTCTGCAAGAAGCGTCTACTCAAGAAATCTGAAATGTTCGAAACTGCAAACCCCACCTGCCAAAGTTTAGCATTGAGGTCGCTGAAAGGTTCCCAGTTCCTGGGTAAAGTTCTTGGGGTGAAAACGCGGCTTATTCATTTCTACCCCTCCTGCACCTGTGATAATATAGTCTCCAGTTGGCTCTGCGTATTCCCACAACAGTATGTGTGTGTGTTTCTTACTGGTATATGTGGTTCTGCAAAGTCTTTGGTGAAGAACTTGGGATTGCTGTTGACAAAGTATTTGGCTGCAGACATGCCAGACTCCTGAGAGAGAGAGTACAGCTTCTGCAGAGAGAGGGAACAACGACACATCAGCTAGAAAATGTATCACCCATAGATCCCACAGTAGAGAGTGCACTACTAGAGTTTACTTTGATCATGGATACAAACAGAACTCTTTCATTATGTCTACATTATTCACTCCTGTCCAAACCCAGTCCCACAAAAATGCTCCGTCCCGTCCTAACACTCAGAACAGAGTACAAAAAATTAATCCTGTTCTGTCCCATATCGTTAGATTTTTTTTTAATTATCAGAAAATTCCATTTATTCATATTAAAACTGAAAAAATGATCTATGATTCCTGTACCCCCCTGTGTCGTCCCAGTGATATTGACTAGCATCACGTGAGAATCCCACAGGATACCAGTAAAAATGTCAGCCTATAGTTCACATCAGTGCTGCTTTATGTTTACATAACTACATCTTAATATCCTCTCAATGTGGGTGCTTTCATAAATACATAGTGGGTGTGAAAAACAATCTTATAAACGTAAAATAGTATTCACCAAAACTAACTTGGCTACTTAAAAATAAATTTGAGATGTATGTAACCTTTCAAACTATCATTATAAAGTGACAACTGCATTATAAAAGGAGAGATGACAGTAGAAAAGTGAATAGTGAAAAATGAGCTAGCTGAGTAACTTTATGTCAGTGTAAAGGTTAGCATGTTTTAGACGCACAAACTCAGCAGAGGTCCTGGGAGAGAGGTAAGGATCATCCTGGAACTGGTAGGGATATGCTGTAGGATCCTGGAGGAGAGAAGAAAATAAAATAAATAAAAAAGGGGGTTCACACAGACAGACAGATAAACAAGCAAACGCACATACTGAAAGATCCACACTAGCATCAGAAAGACGTGGAGGAGCGCTCACCCTGCTGACAGTTGAAGCCAGAGCCTCCAGCACGGCCTCTTTGCTCCTGTTCATAAGAAGTGACATTAGTTCACTGTCTTGTTGATGCTTCAATACTCGGATGACATGATTTAAAACTGGGTAGTCGATTTAAACAAGCTTTATGTAAATGAGGTTTCTCTGAGCTGCACAATAAGGTATGCAGCGTGGCCTGCACTGTAGGAATCTTCGAGACTTGATACAACTGTGATTTGGAGACATACCATGTTTTCTTCCTGGGGATGACAATAGTCTCTGTCGATTCTGCAAAGACAGAGAGGAAAGGGAATGATTTTAATGTCTCTCACATATTTCAATCACTTTTAAATAACACGTCGCCTCCAATGGAACAGGGAGAATATTTTAAAAATTTAAATGCTCCAATAAATCGAAATATTTAAAAGATCAGTCTGTTTTTTTTTAAACAACCCCACATGAAGATAGAAACCAACAAGAAGTTTGACCATTTCTCAATACTTTCCAACTTTCAAACCCTGTTCCTGGCTTTCATCCCCAGACCATTGCTTCCCGCTAAAGATGTCTTATTAAAAGAACACGAGAAGCGTTATTACTGGGCTGCTAACATTTGCCATACTCCCCGCTGGCTCTACAAGGGCTGAGGGGCAGATGTACAGACTTGGTACACACACACAAGTCCTTATCATGCAGCCTTCTACAGAAGCTTATTACAAAATGTCAGTCTTATGCCTTGGAAAACTGAGTGGGAAGCAGATTTAAATTCCAGCTATTTAAAAAAATTACAGAGCCTGGGGAAAGGGGTGATAATCTGAGTTTAAACACAGAATTAAAGTTTTTTTTTAAAAAATGTTTTCTCTGAGATTAAAGTCATATTAATGAGAAAGAAAATCAGATGTGCTTGTTACAGGCTCTGTATATTAAAAGTAGGGTATGCAGATGTTAATAAAACAAATAACATATTGGCTGCTTTCACCAGCCAGTATTATGAGATACTTCCTTCTCTTTAGGGTGTTTTGTACCCTGTAAAGCACATCAAATTGCCCTGATGTCTGAATTATGCTATACAAATAAAGTTGTCTTCAAAGAAAAAAAAAGCATAAAGAAGATAGATACACTTATACTGTCTGCACTGACAAGAGTGTTTAAGTCTTATTCCAAATTACCTTTATTAGCTTCTGCAACTTGTTGTCGCAGGGCTGCAGTCCAACCAAAACCCCTGGGAAAAACAGAAATCTGATCAACTAAAAAGAAGGTGTAACGTTACATTTAGCAAAACACAGTTCAGTCCTCTGGTAGGCTGTGTTATTCGTATCTCCCCGTGTTGCACATACCGCATCTATTAAACCTGCTGATGGAGGACGTGGCCAAGACAACATCATGACAAACATTATTGAACAGTGACAGAGGTTAAAGGAGGATATACAGAGGGTGACTGACAGGCAGCATTAGTCCTGTTGTAGTTGTGTTTTTTCAACGGGGCAAGATAAACCGTATGAAAGCCTTGAGGCAAAATGTCGTTTACATGCCTGGCACTTACACACATCTGTTTAAATATCTAACAGTTTGCCAGAACTTACTACAGCGACGCAATTTGCCTTCATGAAGACACGACCTCCTGTCAAATGATGCTAGCTGCAGGTCTCACACTCGTGTAGCAACCAAAATTAAATGACAATAAAGCCGACTGGCAAATTTTCTAGTTTAAAACACAGCTATAAAACGTGCCTCACCTGTGACTCCATAACTGCTCGAAGTTATTAAGCAAAAACCGGCTGTTTCTCTGGATGTAATGCCCTACGTGCCAACCGGGCGCCGCCATGTTGTTACAGACTGAAGGCTTCTGGGAGGGAGAAACCATGTGAGCTCAGAAAAGGGGGAGAGAAAAATAATAACAATTTGTATTTTCCAGAAATACAACACTTCGTCCACGCTTAATATCGAGCCAGCTCCAATTTGAATATTGAACTAGTTATTTAAAAGGTAGAACACCCGCTGATTATGCAGGAAAGCCTAGTCACCTGTATTTGTGTCTCCCCTCTAACAGGAAGTTTAGTCTGACGGTCCCACGTGTGAAACAGGAGCAACTTTGCGTCGCATGTGCTTTAACTGTGCGCCATGAATTTACATGAGTAAACAGCTCAAAGTCTGGATAATTCTCCAAAATGTTGTTTGCAAAAGAAGTGCCATGGCGGCGCTTGGAGGGCATGTCGTTTGGCATGTATTCTGCCGAGGAGATAAGGTGAGAGACAGCGTGTTAGCTTTTGGCTTAAGCTAAACATGAGTTCAAAACAACATGCCTGATCGTGGCAGCATCCTGTAACATTATTTTCCGGTACTCTTCTCGCAAATTACGCACATATTTAAGTAAAAGTTGCTGTTTCACGTGCATGATAGATATTATATATTTATTTTGTTGTGCAACAAACCTGATCCTCTGGCAGCCACTGTGAATGTCAATCAAGTAATGAAAATAACGTTAACTGTTAAGTTACCCTCTTTTTCAAGTCCATACCCAGTCCTTGTGTTGTTTATTCTCATGATACTAATATGGGAAATGTCTTTTATATAGGAATAGAAGTCATTTTAACTGATTCAACTGTGGCTCGCTTGTCCTTGAGGATCAGGTTGAACCCTGGCTTGATCCCGTATGGACCTATCAAGATTACACCATATGATAAAGCTACCAGTTAATCAATGTAGTAGTAAAATGACCAAAGAGTTGCGAAGAATCCAGTGTAATTGTATTAATGCACTCTTCTCATTTTCACTGTCCAGAAAGTTGAGCGTGAAGGCGATCACTAACTTCAGGTTCCTCGATGCTGTTGGGAATGTGGCCCCGAACAGCCTGTACGATCTGGCCCTGGGACCAGCAGACAGCAAAGAGGTACATCTCTACTGAAATCAAAATCCATGCAGTCTTTTTATTGTACAGTACTATAATGGCACTCATGTAACAACAGTCTGCTCCTGGCCTGTGGTTGTACCTCTGCACGTTTCAGCAAGTATATAAAATGACCTTTTTCCTGTGTTGCTTTATTGTTTTGACCAGGTGTGTTCGACCTGCTGTCAGGACTTCAACAACTGTCCAGGACACCTGGGACATGTAGACCTACCTTTACCTGTATACAACCCACTGTTCTTTGATGTAAGCATGTCCGCAAATACACACACGCACACGTGTTAATGCAGTACACACGTTTAAAGCTCACGTTATATGAATCAGTATCCAGTCAACTTGCTGTTATGAATATTTTTCTTTTAATCCTTTTCTCTCCTGTATCCTTCCCACTCGCCTTCGTCAGAAACTCTACCTGTTGATTCGTGGTTCCTGTCTGGCGTGTCAGATGTTAACGTGTCCTCGAGCTGCCATCCACCTGCTGCTGAACCAGCTGAAGTTAGTGGAGCATGGAGCCATGCAGGAGGTCTACCAAGTCGAACAAATTATCAACCAGGTGCGTTTAAACATGCTGTGGAAACGAATCGTGGCAGGACTAAAGCAGGCTCTATCCAAAAATAAATTATTTATCCGTTGATATCCTTGTGATGTTATTATTTGTGTGTGAGTGAATGTGTTTGGAGAGGTTTTTTCATTGTCAATGTCTAAGTTGTTGTCTTTCACCCGATTTAAGCTTGCTTTTCTAATTAATGTAGCTTCATGGTGTTTTGTAATCACCATAGACCAACCAGTTCTCTGTTTATACAGCATTTGGTCATTTGTGTGAACTGTGTGTGTGTGTTAGCACCTGGAGGAGAATCCCAAAGCCACTGGAGATGAGATTCAGCAGGTGCTTAAGACGTTTACAGACACGATACTCGGAGCCAGCACTGAAGGGTCAAAGAACACCAAACCGGTGAGTGTGCAAAGACATGCAGACACACGACACTCAAATCCAAACATACACATACCTAAAATCACCTTAGGACAGTTTAATATGATTTTAAAATATGGATATGCATTCAATTTGTCCGTTAGGGTGTGGAGGCACATTGCCTTAATTCTTTAAGTGTGTGTGTGTGTGTGTGTTTTTTCAGATTAAACATCTTGTTGAAAAAAAGAGCAGTCTGATAAATGACTTCTGGAAGACCCACATGAAAACTAGGAAGTGTCCTTACTGCGGGTAACTTTCATTCATTCATTTAATAGTGCTCTAAAATCCTTCATAAGTTTAACCATCTATTACCTTGTTATTATTACTCGTGTGGAGCCAGCCATACTTACAGAAGTATAAACTGTATATACAGTACTGTATGTGGTGAATGTGTTTTAAATATGTTGGTAGTGTACAAACCAGGGACTCATCTCCTATTGGCCACCATAAGTAAAACCATTCATTTGTTCGGCCTTGTCCACTCTGTGTTATGATTTATAATGAATTAAACCGTACTAATGCAAATTGTTATTTACTGAAAAATCCCACCACAGGCTTAAAGATGTAGGTGGCATACTGATGCAGTGCCTCTTTGCTCAGTCATTAGTCAAATTCCTAATTGTCCATTTAACGCTGTGATTATGGTTTGTGTGTGTAGGAGTGGAAGGTCTACGGTGCGCCGTGAACACAACAGTAAGCTGATTGTCACAATGCCATCAGGAGTAAAAACCAGTGGTGATACTGATGGTAAGTAATATTTTAAAGTTAAATTAGATAATCTTTTGTACATATGCAGGTCATTATTGTGCCAACAGCTGTATGCAGGCTGGACAAGACTGAAAATAAAATCACTGTTAACATCTGAGGGATTTTTTGTTGTCTGTGTTACCTTTTACTCTGCACCAACATGGCGCCCGTTGCACATTCTGGGCAAACCCTGCTTTTACATTATGTACACACAGTAAATAGATCTTATCTGGACTTTGTTTTTGTCTTCGTGCAGAGAATCTGATGGCTGGAAAGAGAGTCTACATGACGGCCAGTACTGCTAGAGAACACACCAACAAACTGTGGGAGAAAGAAGGTAGGCCAAAAAACAGTGATATCCCACCACCATATGCATAAAACTGGACTGTTGAAGGGCAACCACAAACAAAAAATGTCAAACACATGCAGGCAGTCTTGTCAGTGTGGCTGCTATGAAACGATGGTAGCTCTTCCCCATGTGGGTTTTTGTGGTGAAAGAGTCCTAAATTCCGTCAGTCACTGTCGTCTTTTCTAAATGGTAACACGTTTCTCCCATCCTAAATGACAATTAATATAAAACCATTACTGGCTAGTGTTTATCCATCTAAACCAACACATGATGGCCAAAATAACCATGTACATTAATCTGCATGGAATTATGCAGGACACTTCTTTGTTTTGAGTTTCACATTATATCATGGGCCGCCCTGCTCTCTAAATTTCGGCATCAGTGGAAAAACCCATATGGGTCAACCACCACTTTAAATTATTAAAAGTGCAGTAGTAATGATGTTAATCACTGTATCTTTTTCTAGAAAGTAGAAATTAATATTTTTGAGAATGCAAAATTGGCAGTGTAGTAAATAAAAGAAAAAAACTCATTCACATTTAGCTGTAAGAAGGAATAACCTTTTAAATATTATTCCACATCATATTTCATATCGCCCTTCTTTTCACCCAGGTTTCTTCTTGAAGTGTCTGTTCTCTGGGCTGGAGGAGGGGACGGCCACAAAGGAAGGAGAGAAGGCTTTCTATCCAGACCTCTTCTTCCTGGAGCTACTGGTGGTCCCACCTTGCAGGTACTGTGTGAACAGACACCCTCACATACTGTTCTTTGAACCACTGGAAGTTTAATATTACTCAAATATCAGTTGTGGCCTCCTCAGCAATAGCAAAACCTTAATACCAAATGTACTGATGTTAGCAGAGGTGGTGCAACCTTATTGCCTTGTCACACCCTTCCTCCTCCCTGTCAGGTATCGTCCCATCAATCGACTGGGTGACCAGATGTTTACAAACGGCCAGACAGTCAACATGCAGGCTGTCATGAAGGACTGTGTAATCATAAGGAAACTTCTGGCTCTCATAGCAGGGGAGAAAACTGCTCAGGAGGAAGAGGTAAGATGACGTGTGTGTGTTGAGTGCTGTGTGATATTTGCGGCAAATGGTGATTGTGAACAACACACGTCAGTCTGTCCTCTCTTGTCCTCCTCAGGCTCCTGAACAGGCGGACCAGTCGTTTCTGTCGGGGATCCCCGGACAGACATTAACAGATAAACTCTACAACATCTGGGTGCGACTACAGACCCACGTTAACATCGTCTTTGACAGTGACATGGACAAAATGATGACAGAGAAATACCCAGGAATCAGACAGGTGCAATGCAATAACCATCCCTTATTTTCATTTTGTCAAAGACATCCCAGTTGCCTAATTGTCCCCCCTCCCCTGCCAGATCTTGGAGAAGAAGGACGGATTGTTCCGGAAACACATGATGGGAAAACGAGTGGACTACGCTGCACGATCTGTCATCTGTCCAGACATGTACATAGGGACCAACGAGATAGGAATACCTATGGTTCGTATGACTGTGTTTCTCCCCCTTTAAAAAACGGGAAATAACATCAGTAATGATCACCAGAGCTCCAAGTTTGATCCAGAATCTTCCATGCTTGTGCAGGTGTTTGCCACCAAGCTGACCTACCCCCAGCCCGTGACTCCATGGAACGTCAAGGAGCTTCGTCAGGCCGTTCTCAATGGACCCAACGTCCACCCCGGTGCCTCCATGGTGATAAACGAAGACGGCAGGAGAACCATCCTATCACCTACCAACCTCGCCCAGAGAGAAGCTGTTGCCAAGCAACTGCTTACACCCAGTCCTGGTCCACAGAAGATGCCCATGAAGATCGTAAGTCAGATGTTATGCCCGGTCATTCCCAAAAACAAACCCTTATACG